ACCTCTCCTTAAGCCCTACTGAGTCCCACTGATAGCTCCTCCTTGTGCATGTCTGGTGCCATGTAGTCTACAGAAGAAGCCAGACTTGGAAAATTAGTATGCTGCTCATATAGTCTGGCGTGACCTGCAACAAAATGTTGCAGTCTGCATTGTTCCAATTCAGGGTTCCAGCCAGCCATGCTCTTTTCCAGAATATTCCATTCAGTTTCATCCCCCCCCCCTTTTCAGTTTTCTGTACCCCCTTCCCAATAGTCAGCCAGCACTTTGTTGACATTAAGTATGCTTGATTCTTTTAAGACTTTTTTGGGGGGGGAGTTTCGACCCCTAGGGTTCTCTCCCCGCCCCCACTTTTACCAGCCTTGGGATTTCCTCAAGACTGTGAAGATCTCCCTTTTGTGTGTTGTTGGTGCCATTTTGATTACATAAGGATGCACACTCTGAAAATGGGTTCACTTTTGTCATACAAGATGATGATGACATCCACACAAATCAGAATACTTGAAATATGAGCTCTAACATTTCAACAAATCAGAAAGTGATAATAAGAAACTCTTTGATATGACGTACCCCTTGTTGAAACAGAAACAAATCGAGTAGACATCTACTATCGATAATTTCTGCTACATGCAGGCACACATGTCTGTACAAAGCCTTTTTTAAAAAAGCCATTCTTATTTTTTATTTTATTTTTTTAAAAAAATTAAACTTGTTTGTCAGGCCTTCTTGGTGTGATACACCTTGCTTGTTCCTTTCTCCCCTTGCACACACAATAATTTTAACAAGGGCTTTTGATGCTTCACTTCTATTTAGAAGCGCCTATATATTTAGAGAAGGAATATCTCTCTACTTCATTTTAAATTGGACCCTGATGGCCAGTGTACATTAGCCCTCACTCCATCATGTGGAGGCTGCTTTAAACGGCTGTGTGTGGCAGCTGTCTCCCCCTAATGTATTGTTTCCGTGCCTGTCTTGACAAGCAGTTTGGTTGATTTTCCCCACTGAGCTGCATGATGAGCCAATGCACACCAGCAGTCAGCACATGGGGGGAAGTGACACAGGGAGCAATTTAATGCAGCCTGCATGTGGTGGTCACATCATCATCCCTTGCATCCTTTTAATTTGCACGCTGCCCTGAGTACTGCTGTGGAAGGGTGGCATTAAATGCTAGAAATCTGTGTAGTTTAAGAATGCTGAACTGAGGTGGTTTAGTTACTATGTGCCCTGTTCTGACCACAAGCTATGGGGCCTGATGGATACCTGAGGGAGGCTTATCAGCCAGATAGCATCAGGCTAGAATTGCAGGACCTTGGATAGCTCCAGGCAGAGCACCTGTTCAGATAATGTTTAGAGCTCAACTAAGCTCTAAATGCAGGTGGGGCTGTGGTCTAAACCATAGAGCCTAGGGCTTGCTGATCAGAAGGTTGGCGGTTCGAATCCCCGCGATAGGGTGCGCTCCTGTTCGGTCCCAGCTCCTGCCAACCTAGCAGTTCGAAAGCACGTCAAAGTGCAAGTAGATAAATAGGTACCGCTCCGGCGGGAAGGTAAACGGTGTTTCCGTGCGCTGCTCTGGTTTGCCAGAAGCAGCTTAGTCATGCTGGCCACATGACCCGGAAGCTGTACGCTGGCTCCCTCGGCCAGTAAAGCGAGGTGAGCGCCGCAAACCCGGAGTCGTTTGCCGGGTTTGCGACTGGACCTAACAGTCAGGGGTCCCTTTACCCTTACCTAAGCTCTTCTGGGCTTCTCATGGAACTGACTACCTCTCCTAGGCTCAACTCCATCCCCAAGGCGTGGAGGACCTTAAAGTGGTAGGTCTCTGGCTTGGAGTCTATAATTCACACACTACTCCATTCATTCCCACATAGAGCTCTGGCTCTCAGATACTGCGACCAGTGATCCCAGGTCAGGGGTCTATGACTTGGGAGGCTCATCACTGGCAGACTCGGTCTCAGTGTCCTGGCCTATGATTGGTGTCTCTGTACCTTCCAGAGCAGCAAAGCTCCTCTTCCTCTCTGTCCTCTGAGTCCTGGCTGTCTCTTAAGGTGGGGGTCACGCCTCTACAAATATCATAACTACCTGACAGGTTAAAACATGATGGCACAGGTGAAGCTGATAGATTTCTGGGGCTCTATCTTCTTGTTTCTGGACACACCAGGACAAAACTGGTAGTACTCCAAGAAAGATTGCTTACAGGGACTGTGCTCAAAACACAGAGGTAGGTACAATATTGCTATACTACAATATATCTATCAAGTCAGCATAATGTCTTGTCTGAGAGCTTCTCTCAGTCCCTGAAAGGCTATGTCATTAAGCGCTGATGCCAGAGGACAAAATTTCTGGAGCCAACGACTTGTCTGTATTTTCTCCAAAATTTTCAACTTAACTTCCTGAGTTTTATTTGATTGCCCTTTCCCCATATTTGCTAACTCAACCAAATCCAATCACTGTTAGTTTCATAAATATCTTCTTAAAAAAAGTAAGTTGCTAAGCTTCCAAGAAAAACGTTTTATTTCTGTACCCACTTGCAACACACATGCAACCATACTTTTTTGCCTTATTCACAACACCTACAATCAGGCTTGTAACTTAGGAAACCTGACTTGAAACAGATTAATGCTTTTGTGTGCTTGACATTCAGAAAGATGGCTCTATCCAACAAATTCCATTTTAATGTGGCTCTTTGGGTTGTTTCAAGTGGGGGGAGGGGGGAAAGGATGCCTGTCTCTGTGTTGTACTTCCTATTACATTTATTGTTGGTGTTCTCAAATATCTAATTTTAAAGCCAACAACGTAATACGTATCCAGGGGTCTGTTAATTTTTTATTTTTGCTGTTAGGAAACTCTAACATGAAATGAAAGTTGTCTGGTTTCCTGTTTCCTATGAGTTTGCCATCAGATTCTAAATATATAACTGTGGCAGGCTAAAGGCCAGATGTTATTCTCTGCTGTGTGGTATCGAAGGGGAGGAGAAGGGAACCCAGAGCTCCACAGCCTGCTGTCCTTATCTCCCTGGGAATTTCTCTCATAATGATGAATTGCAGGGTCTCCATTGCCAGAGCAGCTGATGCCTAATTTAAATGCTGAGGCTGAAATCCTTTATGACCACTGATGTTCAACACATAAATATTTCCAAAGCTTTTTTTATCTATATAAACAATCTGTGCAGACATTTCACAATTCTGCCTCCTGTCCTATAAATTTGTCTCTTCAGCCTTTTGTGCTATGGTTGTTCCCAGGGCTTAACTTGACCCAAGGCCATGTTTTCAGCGGCAGGGTTCACTGAAGGAGAGGGGGGAGGTAGATCTTTTCTGGACTCAAACTCCCATCAGCCTCTGCCAGCATAACCAATTGTGAGGGGTGATGGGAGCTGTAGTCTGAAGACACAACACTTGCTTCAATGGACTCCCCAAGGTGCTATGCAACTTTCAGTTTACACCTAGGGATGCTGTGATAATCTTCAGTTTTTGGAAATATAAAACCTAGCAGTTATATCTGAGGTTAACTCAGAGAGAATCTCTTTCTGAGCATTTGCAGATACCCCTCGCCAACAGTCGGCCCCCTTTTAAAATGCTGTTTTTTGTGGAGTTTTTGTGTGTGTTTTTTAAGGACAGAGCTTTCAGTTTTCCAACAATTTTGTCTGCTCCAAGCAAGCACTGTGAGCTTCTGTCCCACTGGTTGTCCCCTGATGCCGCTTATGAAAAGGACAAGCAGATAAAACAAATGTATCTTTCTTTTGTTATGTAAAGATCATATGCTAGGTTCTAGTAAAGCATTTTATGGCCCTCTGAGAGAGTTTTCATTGTCTAAAATAAAAATAAAAATGCCAGTTTGGCACAGTTGGGACTCATTTTCCCGAATGCTGTTTTCAGCAAACATACAGATCCCCCCCCCAGAGATGTAACCTCCTATCCATGAAACCATCTTTTCTGAATGCAAACATTTATGACAAATAAACAGCTTTGCTCACCAAGCATGTACTAGATCCTAATATCTTTCCCCTCAGTGATTCCTTGTCTACTGTATTTGATCATACAGTATACCTCTGTGAAAAGCAGTATTCTTTATATAAAAACAACAACATGATCACAAGACATTGTAAGATGCATGAACCCTGTCATTTGCCCCTTAACTGTGGGGAGTTCTCCTTCTAAGAGTTGTGTTAAGCGGTTAGCAAGACACCTTTGCACAATAAAGATGCATTTTTCCATTGCAAGGATGTGCTGTATTGGCTTTTAACACGAAGTATTTTTTTAGCCTAGGAAATGATGCATAAGAGCACATGCACCGCTGTTCCACTATGCGGAATGCAAAGTCTTCAGGACATAACTCATAACCAGCAATGCTACACCCGAAACCAAGACGGTCACCACTCTGTATCCATTTATATTTTATTTGTTCTTAATTCTCTCAACCCTGCACACCCCTTCAGTGCGTATAACTGCATAGGAGTGCACATCCAGCCAGTTTCCATTTAATGAATGGCAGCAAGCAGATTTTTTGCTGCTTCTCCATCCACATGACAAGCCTATATCTCATCCCTAGTGGGCCGATGGGACATCTCGCCATGGACACTGCGTCCCCTCTTATGTTAATTTTCCGCAGTGGCTCCAAGACACTTTCTGATGCACCTTCCATGATCATGTGAGGAAGCCCGCAGACTGGAACCAGTTCATGTCTGGCAGACGCATGGAGATACCAATGTGTCTGAAAGATGCCTTAAGTGGTCAGATGCATTAGGTACAGGGATCCTAATTGTAGCTGCGATTTAAGTAAATAAAAGCCCAAGGGACAACCTTTGGAATTAAGAATTGTTACTTATTTTTTATTCTTTTAAGGCAACGACAGCATTCTGGTTTGGGCTCGTCCAAGCCTATTCCTTGGAGATCTCTTTTGTCACTTGCTGCCACGATTCCCTCCCGCGCCGGTGCGTGAGGTGGGGTGGCAAAGGGGAGGGGGGACAGGCCGCTCACTTCCAAGGGGAGGGGCTCTGCAGAAATCCGAGCAGCCAGAGCCTTGCAGCAGGGAAGAAAAGGCTGGTGAACACACACGCAGAGAAAGAGACATAGACACAGGGGTCAAACGCTAAGCCCGTCCCTTTGGCTGTCTACACAGCCAGCCGTGGGTGGGGAAGGAGGAGGAGGAGGAAGGCGAAGACGCGAGCAGACAGAAGCCTTGGCGTCGCCGCTCGCCTGCAGAACTGGGAAGGGAGCGACTGCAGCGCAGCCACCTCGCCCGCGCTCCCAATGGCTCCGGCTGCCGAGTGAAGCGAGCGACGAGCTCGGTCCCTGGCGGCTGAACACGCCTGGCGAGGCTGAAGGACGGAGCCGAGGGCGCAGTGAACGCCTCCAGCCATGGCGGGGACGGAAGGCGTCACGGCAGGTAATGGGGCTTGCGGGGAGGGTGGGCAGGCGGGGGCAGCGCGCCTCGCGTGGAGGGGGCTTGCCTTCGGGAAAAGCGCACCTCTCCAAAATGCGCGTCGTAGGCGATGCGGGAGGGGGGGGAGCCCCAGCTGGGAAGGCGCTGCGGGTCTGGGCTCGTGGGGTACGAGGGAGCGGGGCCGGAGGCAGGAGGGGGGCTGAGGGCCGCGATCGACCCCCGGCTACATCGTGGGAGCCGGATGCCGGCGTCGCGGTTTCTCTCCGCCCCATCAAGGAAACTATCAATAGCGCTGGATCTTGGGTGGTTCTTGCAGGAGACCGTCTAGATTCAGAAATGAAGCCGAGTCTCTGGGTAATGGATGCGCAGTCCCTCCCAGAGGCAGGTATTGCTTGGACGCCGCTGTGTCAGCAGCCTGAGCTGCATATCTGGAGGGTATGTGCAGAAAACGCAATGCACCCACATGCATGCATGCATGAGTTTATGCACACGTGGGATGTGGCAACGTTTTGTGTACGAGTCATATGGCGGCAGGAAGGGGCATACTACAGGGGTCGACGTGTAAATGTTGCTTTAGGATTTGCTTTTGCGCAAAAGGCATCCTTAAGGCAGGACTTCCCTTCATTCGTGAACACACCTTGCACAGTAATCAACACCTACCTATGAATTTGCAACGCGGCGCACGTAGGGCAGAGGATGGTCGCAAGCAGCCTTTTATATTTGCGCGGCTGCTGCGCGTACGTCTGGAGACGCCTCGGTGTGCAAGTCCAGTTAACAGCCCATGACTTGACTCCACTATCCTGAGCCTCCGGGACCGTCTAGCCAGTAGGAAGTGGGCGGGGGCAAGATCCTTGAGGAGGTGATCTTGGGCGGGGGGGGGATGCCTGAGGCTAATAATGATTTTTTTGGAGAGGTGCTTTTTCTCCCTACTCCCACGCTTAGTTCCCCCACCCAGCCCCACTTCTCTTCCTTGCAAGTTGCGCTCCCAGAAGAGAGCAGGAGTTACTATACTTGCAAAGTGCCTCCGCCCCGTTTCTGCAAAAGCCGGCCTGCCGTCACGTGGGGCTTCGGGGGGAACCGACTGCGCCAGATGGGGAGGCGAAGCGGCCGACTATAGGATCCAGGTGAAAAAACAATGCGGAGGAATCCGAGGCGGGCACGTCCCTCGCCTCCGCGGCGTTTCTCTCTCTCTCTCTCTCCGGCCAGGCTGCAGGGAGGGGGTGCGCCCCATCTCTCCGCATGTGCTCTGCGGCTGGGCGGGGCACTGAGCCAGAGATCGCCCAGGCTGGCAGTGCAGCGAAAATTTCCCAGAAGCTGCGATGGTCAGCTCCCTTCCTTGCTCCTCTGCCTCTTGCGGATCTTTTCCAGGAAAAAAAAAAAGCGGGAGGGGCTTCTAATTCTCAGGATTCAGGAAGGATATGTAAGGGAGCAGACAGAAGCGACTGAGATCATGGCGAACAGGGATTGGAAGCGGATGGGTGGGAAACCTCATTCTTCCAGCGGTTCCTTTTCAGGCTTTTTTTCCTCTTTGGGAATCGGACACTAGAGTCGCACCACCCAAATCGCCGACAGCCTCGCTTAGCTGCAGTGGCCGGTTCTTTCTCCCTCACTGCCGGGCCCTGCTTTCCCCCTATTCCTTACTTATAAGAGGGCATGCCATTCAGCACAGTGACACTGCACTTTGCACAGCCTCTGTGAGGTTACAAAGAGCTGGTCCGCAAGGGGACTCTTAGGATGGCTTCATTGGGTGCTCTGCCTTGCACTTCCACAGTATGGGTGGCCGGAAGCTGTGACCCACCTGATGTTGTAGATAGCTCAGTGGGTAGAGCGTGAGACTCTTAATCTCAGGGTCATGTTGGGTAATAGTTTCCTGCATTGCAGGGGGTTGAACTAGATGACCACTGGGGTCCCTTCCAACTGTACAATTCCAAGATTGCAGCTCCCTTCAGCCCCAGCCTGCATGGCCAACGGCCTGTATCCCGAGGGCCACAGGTTTTCCCGATGTAAACCTAAACCAAGTAGAAAGTAGAGCATACACCCCCACTTAGTATTATTTCAGCTCCATTTTTTTCAACACTGGTCCAAACAGCAATTCGGCTAGTATAATTTCTGGGTGAAAATGTCACTGCCCCCACTTTGCAACTTGCATATGGTTGGTGGTGTGCATTCCTTTCTAAGGGGTTATCCGTATTGCGCCCTCTTTCCCTTGCTCTACCTGCCAACCTGGCCCCTCATGTCCCTGCCCCATCACTGAAGGAGGCTCTGTTAATGGTCCCCCATGGCTCAAATGCGCAGCTTGTAACTGCTTGGAAGCAGGGCATTCAGTGTAGTGGTCCCCAGTTTGTGGAGCTCCCTTCAAACTGAGATTAGACAGACCTCTTCGTTGTCAAATTTCAGGTGCATGACTAAGACTTTCTTGTTCCAGCAGGCATTTTACAATAAAGGTTTATTGTTTTAATTGTCCCATTTCCCATGGGCTGTACACCACTGAGAAGTGCAAATAATTAAGTAGTATATGCATGTATATTATTTAATAGATCAAGGAGAAGAGACTAAAATGGGGGTGGGCATAATGGGCAATTGGACAAGCCAAGGCCTGGCCCTGTTTTCTCAAGATTCTGTGGTGTAGGTGTGGCTGGTGAAGAATTGTGGGCTGCTTGAGGATTTCTCAGAAGAAACCAGTGCTTCTTGATTTCTGATGTATCTGATGGGCTGGCTGGACTGATAAAACACAAGCAGGTAATAGTGACGCTTTAACCTGTGTAATTTGCTTCGTGGTTGTGAGTTTCATAGAAAATGGGAAATCCTTTGTCTTTGAGTCCTTAAATTTGTACCTGTTTACATTGTGGTGACAGTGTAAAGAGAGACTTAAATCTCAAAGCCGCTTCATCTGTATGCAGCCTGCAAGGAAGTGGTGCATAATCAAGTTATTTAAATGCAGGGCACTTGAAGCAGGGAGGAAAGGACATCATTTACGGAAAGTGGAATTGTGAAAAGTGGGGGGATGGGACAATCTTTAAGATAGTTGGTTTTTATTTGCTGATAGTGAAGAGTGCTGGAAGCTAATAATATCTATTTACTTCCCGCAAATTTAAAAGAGTGTTGCTCTTTTAAATCTGTTTCCCAAATATCAATTTGGAAATTGCTCTTTTTTGGCTGAACATGTTCAAAGCATTAGAGAGAAATGGCACTGGAGAAATGAGAAAAGTGGAAAAGCTGGTTTACTCAGCTGTCATATGATGGATGTCACATATTTCCCCCCACATGATTGTTGAATCTGGTATAAACTGATGCTAAAAGAAAGCCAAGTAGGAAGGCTTCTATGGTATTCAAGAACTTGATTCAGTAGAGTACCCATTTGTCATATATGCAATGCTGACGTCTGGTTTATTCACTGATATACATAGTGAACAACAGTGTTGTTGTTTAAAAAAAATGTAAATAATGATGTTGCATTCTGAAACTGTTACATGGCAGAACTAATGGTGATGAAATTTGATTGTAGTAAAAACTTTGCTACGAAGACAAAACTGCCTAAATCAAACTCAAGCAGTAAAAGATTGCAGCAGGCATCTGCTATTAATTATTTTTATGGTTCCAGGTCCTACAGCACTGCGGTCTTTTGAGCATAAGCCTCAGACAGACAGCAGAGTTGATCCCCTGAAGCTTTAGATACCACCAACCCAAAGAAGTGCAATGCATTTGGTTTGAATGGTGTCTGTTTAGCAGATCTTTTAGTTGAAACATAGCGCTTACAAATATAGAGGTCCAGACTGTAAAAAAGACAAAGACAAAGAAACCTAGGGAAAACGTGTTTGGTCTGCCCTCTCCAGAAACACTGGAAAGTGTTGTGCGATGCTTATTGGGTGGTCTTCTGTGGGAGTGAGATTCAAGGACATCAGCTGCAGTGGATCTCTGAAGTCGCAGCACAGAAAAGGAGTTTGCCTTGTACAAGTGAAAAAAAGCAATTAGTAGCTTGCAGAAACTTTGAATTGTTTTTTTGTAAAGGCAGAGTTGGGGAACTTGTTGCCCAGCAGCTGTTGTTAGATTCAAGTGCCCATCTTCCCTGATCGTTGTGTCTACTGGCAGGGGCTGATGGGAGTTGGAGCCTAACAACATTTGGAGGGCCACAGTTTCCCCTTTCCTGCTTCCAAGCACAGGAGCCCTGCTGGGTGATGGGAGAAGATGCTCTCCTGCTGGAACAAAGTGGCAGAACTTCCTGTGAGAAGTAGCACCTCTGTTCCAATATACTGTCAGTTCCATTGATATTAACTGTGGTGTCAAAGACTGAGGGGCAGGATCTCATCCACAGATAAAGCTCCCTTCCCATTATTTCCCCAGAGTCTAAATAGAAGCTTGAATTACTGCTTGTGGGCCACTCTGGGGGCACCCCTTTCCACTGGGAACTAGGATAGAAGGCTCTGGTGAGATTTGTTGTTAGCCGCCCTGAGCCTGGCTTTGGCTGGGGAGGGCGGGATATAAATAAAATTTATTATTATTATTATTATCCTATCAGAACTCACAGTAGGCCAGCAGGACTAAGAGCAACCTTCGGCCCTCCTAATGTTGCTGAACTACAACTCCCATCAGCCCCAGCAAGTATGGCCAATGGGCAGGGGTAATAGGAGCTGGAGTTCAGCAACAGATTAAGGGGTGGAAGTGGCATGATGAATTGGTATTATGAAACAGTAGTGGGTGGGTGGGTTGGTAGGATGCTGCTGTCACCTGACACCTGGTGGCATTGCTGTTGCTTACTGCCTGGGAGAGGGGAAAGGTTGGTGTCCAAACGCACCTGTGGATCCAATCTGGAGCTCCTGCCAGTGAATTTGCACTGTGTTCACCTTGGCCCCCCCCATGGTAAACAGCAGCTGTGACGGACCAGATGACGGTGATGGCCCAGTACAATGTCCACCACTGGAAGCAAGTGAGGCACCGCTGGAAGAGATGCTGTTCTAGCATTTGCCCTGGATATGTCAACAAAACATCCCTGAGCTAGAAAGTAGCATAGAGTTCCTCTATCCTAAGGTTGCAACAGAAGTATTCCAGTATTCAAGCACAGATCTTGTATTTGCGCATCAAGTCTCATAATGCATATCTGTATGTTCCAAATATGAAATTGACACTGTAGGAAGTGAATCATTGTTTATTACATTTAATTAAATGCGTTTACAAAGAAAGGTTTTAAAGGAACCGAAACCTTTTCATTTAAGACCCAGTAGAACTACAGTGCTTTATTAACAAAGCTTTATTTCTTATTTGGTCTGTGTACATCTAATCAATCCTATTCAAATCTCCAGGAGTTAAGTGCTACATAATTTGGTGGGGCTTACTTTCAAGAGCAGGGACGCGGGTGGCACTGTGGGTAAAACCTCAGTGCCTAGGACTTGCCGATCGCATGCTCGGCGGTTCGAATCCCCGCGGCGGGGTGAGCTCCCGTCTTTCGGTCCCAGCTCCTGCCCACCTAGCAGTTCGAAAGCACCCTTAAGTGCAAGTAGATAAATAGGTACCGCTGTATAGCGGGAAGGTAAATGGCGTTTCCGTGTGCTGCGCTAGTGCTGGCTCGCCAGAGCAGCTTCGTCACGCTGGCCACGTGACCCGGAAGTGTCTCCGGACAGCGCTGGCCCCCGGCCTATAGAGTGAGATGGGCGCACAACCCTAGAGTCGGACACGACTGGCCCGTACGGGCAGGGGTACCTTTACCTTTACCTTACTTTCAAGAGCATGCTAGATAATTATCCATAACTGGTAATAACAATTGATAATAACTGGTGCAATGGGCAGAAAGGAAATATGGGGCCACCACTGCTTAGGAGCATCTAAAGGGAGAAATGCCCATGTTCTTGCTGTGAGAGTGTTGCAAGGGAGGCAGAGGCAGCTGTGGCAGCATAGGTTGATGGCATCAATGCACCCTGTGCCTGCGATGGGTGCTTCTAGTGCAAGGGTGAGGAACTGGATCTGACTGGTGGGTTGGATCCAGACCCCTCCCAAGCCCAGCAGACCACTTTGACAGGTGGTTGAGGTCGCCCACTTCTCAATTACTGAAGGGGAAAGACTCCCCGGACTAGGAACCTGATCCACCCACAGTACCTCCATCTTTTCAGGACATTATATGGCACTTGTAAAAGTGCAGGTCCTGCAGATTGAAGCGGTCAGGTTCTGAACTGGGGTAATCCAATTAAGAGAGTAGAGATGCCCATTCTTTATGCAAGGAATCTCCCGAATCACTATGAAGACAGTCCAAAAAAGGCTGATTCAAGTTGCATTGGTATGGAAAGCACATTTCACCCCAGGGGCATCAAAATCTAGGGCGGCGGTTACAGCAATTACCATTAGGAAGCATTGTAACACTTTTGCAGGCTGATCCTTTGCATGCTTACTCAGAAGGAACTCTCAATGTGTTCCGTGGGGCTTATTCCCAGGGAAGTATGCATAGAATTGCATCTTTAAAGCCGCCATCTCTTCTCTGAAGTTGTAATCCTGTATTGTATACACTTACTGGGAGAAAGCCTGATTGAACTCAGTGGGTCATACAGTGGTGCCTCGCAAGACGAAAAGAATCCGTTCTGGGAGTCTCTTCGTCTAGCGGTTTTTTCGTCTTGCGAAGCAAGCCCATTGATGGGATTAGCGGATTAGCGCTATTAGCGGCTTTTAGCGGCTTTTAGCGGCTTTTAGCGGCTTTTAGCAGCTTATCAGTTTATCTGATAAGCAGATAAGCGGCTTAGCGACTTAGAAAAAGAGGGAAAAGGAAAAAAACACCCAGGAACTCGAAAGACATTTTCGTCTTGCGAAGCAAGCCCATAGCAGATTCGTTTTGCGAGGCACCTCCAAAACGGAAAACTCTTTCGTCTAGCGAGTTTTCCGTCTTGCGAGGCATTCGTCTTGCGGGGCACCACTGTATTTCTCAGTAGACATATGTATACAGTGGTACCTCAGGTTACAAACACCTCAGGTTACAAACACCTCAGGTTACAAACAGTTCGGATTACAGACTCCACTAACCCAGAAATAGTACCTCGGGTTAAGAACTTTACCTCAGGATGAGAACAGAAATTGTGGCGGCGGCAGCAGGAGGCCCCATTAGCTAAAGTGGTACCTCAGGTTAAGAACGGTTTCAGGTTAAGAACGGACCTCCAGAACGAATTAAGTTCATAACCAGAGGTACCACTGTATAGGATTGTGCTGTAAAGTGTCTTTATTGACCTCTGTTTTCAAGTGTGACTATTTTTCCGAAGCTTTCATCAAATTGGAGTTTGTGGTTTTGAGCTATTTCTCTGGGTAAGATCTGTTCATGCGGTTTTCCTGACAAAGATGGTCTGCTCATAACATTTACTATTCCCAATAGTATGTAGAAGCATTTCCTCCTCTCATTTTGGAATGACACAAGCCAATGGTTCTGCCATTGTTCATGATGCAGCAGTTCTGATGATACAGGTAGTGCTATAAAAATTAGGAGGAAAGAGGGATTAAAGACTGAGAACAAACCCAATGCAAGTTGCTTTAGCAGCAATTTGTGACTATTAAATCCCTAAAATGAAAGAGCACTGTCGGTGCCAGCAGCTGCAGAGGATCTCCAGCTTCTGAGCTTGCATCTGTAAGAAAGTAGGATGGATCATTCATGTCCTGGAGGGCAACATCGGTCTTCACTTCTTGCAGGATGATGGAATAGCCACAAAGAGTGGGTAGTTCTTATAGCAGGGATGGGGTGCCAGTGGTCTTTCAGATGTTTCTGGATTATAGCTCCCATCATCCCAGAGCAGTGGCCCATGGTGGCTGGGGCTAATGTGAGTTGGAGTTCAACAACACCAACCTTCCCTGTTCTTGTCTTAGAAGATGGTGGAATATCTGAGGAGGCTTTCAGCCATGGGCTGAAGCGGTCCTTTCTGCTTTGTGTTCACATTACTGTGCGCCATCATCTTTGCACAGAAGGAGCAGGAGATTTAACCATGTGAACCTATACAGGGTGATTCTAACCCCCACATTTATTCAGTGGGACTTGCTTTTTTCCAACTGTACATTGGATCTCCAACCTGGATGACAACAATCCTGAGATTGCTTCTAGGAAGCAAGTTTCAAAGCTCTGCAAATGAAGAATGCCATAAAAATAAGATGAAGAAATACGGTTTTGTTAAGATCAGCCTGACTGCATTGATGCACTGGAAGAAACTAAATGCTTTTTGACCACATATGAAAACTCCCAAATAAATAATGACCTTTAGATTTCACTGTGCAGGCTACTGAGGACTTGATGAGGCAAAAGCAGGGAAAGGGGAAATGCTGTCCTGGCTGCTTGTTTCTTGGATGCAAAAGCCTCTTACGGCAGTGCAAGCTTTAAGCAGTACCCCCCACTGTTTTGATTACAGGATGTGTGCTCCACTGTGGTGTCCATGGAAACCCCAGAGAAGAAAGGTGCAATATTAGCTAAATTAAGCTACGCTGGAATACAAATCAACCTCTTCCTTCTTGAGAGGTGTTAAAAATAAAGTAGTAACAGGCACATGGCAAACATCATGTTTTTCACACAGGTTTCAATATTTGTGAAATTGTCATAGTCGGAGCATCAATGCATCATAGTCCATGAACTGAGTCATGTTCAATCGCGTGTGGCTTTGCAATGTGTGATATGTGCCAAAAGAAATACAGAATTGCCACGTTGTTGCCTATCTGGGCAGTTTTTTTCTTTTAGAAATAGCAGCTGTGTCACTTCTCACAATCCATGTCATGCAGGGAGAGGGGACTGATGCTTTCCTCTCAAGCCATTCCCCCCTGCCCCATTCCCTCCCAGAATTACTGTTTCCCTGGAGATGCCATTGCAGGAAAGAACATCTTTTCAGGGCTATTAGCAGCATGGTCAGCAGGTAAATGGACGCTCCCTATGCACTGCTATTTCAGCCTGATTCTGATCCCTGCTGCCCCAGCTTGTATTTCTGAAAGTAAAAGAAACCTGGGATCTATAACCATGTGGCAAACATATCCATCTAATCCAGTTATACGTTCCATGTTTAGATCCAAATATTAGGAGAGAAGTCTTGTTAGAAACCAATGCAGTTCTTTTCAAAGAGGTAATAATGCCTTAGACCCATCTTTCTACATGTCAAAGCAGAGTTAATTCCCTTCATCATGTCCAGATCAAGTTTTCTGCCTTTAGGGTTCTTTGGTACCGTGTTAAGCATGGATGTGTCAGTTTCCCCGTTACCTGTCAAGATGGGATTCCAAGCTTCAAAATGGTTCCTCAGATTTCTTCCTTGCAAGTTGGGATCCCCGAGTCATATCCAATATACTTCATTTAAAGTTAGGACTTTTTTCAAGGTGAAACAATGTTGATTTTTGCCATTTGTTTGTCAGGGTTTGGGGAGAGAAAAAATTAAACAGCCATCTTGGTTGCATGACATCACCACTCTCCAACCAGTGCAGTTCTTAAATTACCTACAAAAATATTATTATACAGTGGTACCTCGGGTTAAGAACTTAATTCGTTCTGGAGGTCTGTTCTTAACCTGAAACTGTTCTTAACCTGAAGCACCACTTTAGTTAATGGGGCCTCCTGCTGCTGCCGCACCACCAGAGCACGATTTCTGTTCTGTTCTGAAGCAAAGTTCTTAACCTGAGGTACTATTTCTGGCAGATCTGTAACCTGAAGCGTAAGTAACCCGAGGTACCACTGTATCCTGAAGATGGTTCTTCACAGTTATAAAAGATCAGTCAGATAACCTGTGATCCAACTCCAGTTTCTCTACTTAACTCCCTCTGAGCTGGAAAAGAGGGATGAGGCATGCAAGACATTCCAAAATAGACAAGTGTCAGGTCAAGGTAAAGTCCAAGTCCAGGACTCTAACCACTACACCACACTGGTGCAGCATGCAACATTTGCACTAAGAAGTTTCCAGAAAGAGCTTCCATCTCTGCTGCCATTTGCATTTCACTCTCTGAATCATTGGCCATATGCTTAGCTGCCTTTGAAGACCAGTCAAAATGAATTAGTTTCAGTTCATTTGTTATTAGAAGAATGTAATTTAATTGTCAAATTTAAATAATTATGTCATTAATAACAGAGACAAGTAACATAGCACTGATGTCTTTATTTCTGTGACTGTTTTTGTCACATTTAACAAAGTTCGTGTCATGAACTAACATGCGTCTTTTTCACTTGTTTATCTGCTCTGAAGAACATTCAGCTGACTAAAAGGCTCCTCATATTTTTTTTCAGATATCGCTTCAACAGCTGCCTATGCATCTCCAGCTAGAAGTCTGGGAGACCCAGGGATAACACCTCTGTCCCCATCCCACATTGCGGTGAGAAATGTAGCCTATATATTACTGGTATTATTTTCTCCCCATCCATGGCTAAGAGTTTATTTTATTTCTTTTTAAAAAAAAAATATCTATAAACCACACTTTCATATAAAAAAATCACAAGGTGGGTTACAGACTAAAATGATAGCATTATAGTAACTGGGTTACCTTGGGCCAGTTAGTCTCTCAGTCTAGCCTCCCTTGCAAGGTTGTTGTAAGGTGAAAAATTGGGAGGGAAAGAATAGTGTAAATGTACGAAATGTATAAATAAACAAAGGTTGAGTTTGCTGCAGGCAGAGGAGAACTTTTGGGATAGATCCTTTTTGCTACTGTCCTGAAGCTGAGGATGAAAATAGTTTGTGTCAGCAGCACTGACCTTCAGTCTATCAAGGCCTGGAATAGCAGACCAATGTGGTAATGTTCTAGACTGAGTGATAGCGTTGCATGACAAGGCCAAGAATGTTCTGAGCTTGCAAAATTTCACAAAGTCAGGCTTAATCTTCCACAGAGAGCCCTATTTTGACATTTCGTGTGGCTTAGTTAACGATCATTTACAGTTTTTATTGTGATGGTGAGTGAGAATTATGCTTCATGCTTTGTATATAACTTCACAATTATTTCAATGCCCTTTTTTCTCTATGAAAGTTCATTTCTCAAATGAAATTTCATTCAAGCTAGAGACTCCATAAGAACAGATGTTTCTTCAGCAGCAGCCAACCCCAGACTGAGCTTTTAGTAGAAGTCTTGCCTGGGAGGAGCCCTTTTTATTTAAATGGACCCAGCCTGCTTTAGTAGTTGGTGGCTCTGGCAGAACAGGGGCACCTGAGGTGGAGACAGAGAAAGGCAGCACAGTCTCTGTAGGCCAGAGAAGTAAGGGCACATCTGGGACTGATCCTGAAGGCAATTCCTATTCCCATTCAGAATCCAGATCACATCCCCTAAAGACTGATCCCAAGGTCCTTCTCTCTGAGTAATGTCTACAGGCTCTTAGGAGGAGGTAAAGAAGATACAGTGGTGCCTCGCAAGACGAAAAGAATCCGTTCCGCGAGTCTCTTCGTCTTGCGGGTTTTTTCGTCTTGCGAAGCAAGCCCATTAGCAGTTTAGCGGATTAGTGCTACAGGGCTTAGCAGGCTTAGTGGATCAGCTGATAAGCGGCTAACGATAAGCTGATAAGTGGCTTAGGATCAGCTGATAAGCGGCTTAACGATAAGCTGATAAGCGGCTTAACGATCAGCTGATAAGCGGCTTAGCATCAGCTGTTAGCGGCTTAGCCATCAGCTGATAAGCGGTTTAGCGGCTTGGGAAAAAGGGAAAAAGGGAAAAAAACCTGCAGGAACTCGCAAGACATTTTCGTCTTGCGAAGCAAGCACATAGGAAATTCGTTTTGCGAAGCACCTCCAAAACGGAAAACCCTTTCGTCTAGCGGGTTTTCCGTCTTGCGAGGCATTCGTCTTGCGGGGCACCACTGTAAACATTTCCCCCACTCATGGCAGGTTCTGATTTGAAGTGAGTTACCTTATACGTTAAAAGTACATTGATTTAATAACTACACGCCATTGTGAAGCTGGAGCTTGCTGTTGTGTTTTTCTCACTCTTTCCTGAAATCAGTGACTGACCCATTTAGCTTGCAGAACGTACAAAGAATTTTGAGTGCAGCCATCATTCTTCTGAGGCAGCATCACAGTCACAAAAATTAAGTATTGGCTTAGTGATGTGCTAAATTCCCATTCCAGCTAGCATCTGGGGCCTGATGGTATTTGGGGATTGCCAATTTCTGTCACTCCAGAGGAGATTATTAGTGTCGTGTTTGGCATTTAAATAGAGCTTGCAGCCCTTCCTTGAAATCACATAACAGCAAATATATTTCTGTTCTTTTGACAGAAGGACTCTGATGCAAATGACGCAGAGGAGCAGTCCTATCCTGTTGTTGTGGCTATAGATTTTGGCACGACATCCAGCGGCTACGCCTACAGCTTCACCAAGGAACCAGAATGCATTCATGTAATGAGGTAAATGTCACCAGTGCAGCCTTATGTGCATAGTGAGTGCAGGGCCTGTGAGTATACACCAAGGGTGAGGAGCTCTTTTCTGTGCAGGGACCTCTTTCCAGTGTGGGGCAGGGCCAGAAGGAACGGTGTGCAGGGCAAGAGAGGCTACTCTTACCTTTTATGCAGGAGGCAGCATTCTAGCCAAAAGCAGAGGATTCTACACTGACACACACCTCTCCATCCTCCATTCAGATAAGCAAGAGGAGTTACCATAGTTTAAGGACACATTCTAGCCAGAAAACCACATTTGCCCAGGGCATAGGTGTGTGGTTTAGAAGGGTCCATGGCCTGTGGACCAGATAGAGAATCCTGTAGGGCAGCATTTGACCCTAGGGTCTGAGGTGCCTCGCCTGAGCAGCATTTTCGCCACTTCAAAACATTAGCTTAAGAAAACCCTGTGGGAAGGTCATCAAATGGTTGGCAGTGGAACTGCTGGGAGGTTGGGGTGGTGAATGTAATATCCAGGCTAACTCAAGGATTGTGATGTGAGTGCCAGGCAAAGAAAGAATTCCATTACTGGGCCTTGGAAATATGAAATGTATTTCACTGAAGAAAGAGTTCAGAATAGCTGGGTAGTTTGGGGCAATGGGCATTTTATTGTCTTGCACTACCATAGTGCCTTGCCTTCCAAATGCTGTACTGCAAACTGATAGTTGCAGGCTCAGGAAGTTAGTAAAATGCAATCTGTCCGATCCAGTCAGCAGATCCAGCGGCTTCTTCTCTTTCAGCTTTGTAACAAGAACATTTGGGGGAGACAATCTCATGAGCGTGTTAAACCTTCACATCTTTATCAAATGTGAAGCTTCACATTTAAACTGTAACATACAAGCTGCGTGATGACTGGTAGTGTAGAGGGTATTTTAAAGACAATATTGACATTATTAGAATCATTAGCAATATAATATTTATGTACAGGAAATGACATTTCTATCTGCAGTGCTCTTGAGAAATCTCAAAGTTATAGCCCTGCTCTTTTCAGTTTAAAAATGGGCTGCTTTTCCTCCTGGTGTATATCAATCCTTTTTCTGATATTTCCTTTCCAGATCTTTTTTTAAAAAATTAAAAAATGCTTCCTTGTCTTTAGTTGTTAATACAGCAACAGCATAAATCAATGAAGTGAGTCACGCAGACAGATAATCGAGTGTGAAGCTTACTGTGCACTGACAGTAGGCAAATGAGAAATCGCGAAGCCAACCAAAATCATGGAATCATAAAGCTGGAGGGAAATTCAAGGGTCAGTAATCCATTCCACTGCACTAGCCCGATTTGTTAGACCTAAATAATTCCTGACAGATGCACATTCACTCTCCCGTTCCAAAAAAAAAAAGAAGGGGGGGGGATACACCTTCAGGGAAGATTTTATGACTTTCCCAGACAACTTGTTTCATTCTGCCATAGCATCCATTGGCAATGCAAGGGCGAAGATTGGACAGCAGTGTCGCGCTCTGTTTCCACCAGGGTCAAAAAGTTTTCTCCTGTCCTCTGGATTCACCAGCTGCTGCTGGTCCTGCAGGGAGGGGTGGGGGTGGGGTAGGAGTGTTCTGCATTGTCGTACCAGATGTGCTGCCGTTCATGCAACCAGCAATTGTGGGAATGACTTTTTAAAAGTAAATTGCAGGCATGGGACCTTGAGTCCAAATTAAGGCCCTGGCATGGGGAATTTTAACACTTTGCCCTCCACCCCCGACTGCAACCACATTCTGGATTGGCGGGTCCACACCTGATATTTTGTGTGAGGGAAAGCCTCCCTTTAAGAAAGCTATGCACACAGTCCTCTCATCCAGTTGAGCCTGACCTTGCAAAGAACCAGAAGAGAAAGCGGAATCCTTCTTCTGTTGCTTAACATTTCTTTATTACTAGCAGAATAGTCTGCAGAGAACAGAAGAAGTCCCTATCCAGAGTTCTCCTAGTCTACATTAAGGATGAGGCGGTGATGCTCAGGGTTGGTAAATGTGCAGTGGGGAAGAGAATCAGGAAAGTACAGAGGTCCAGAGATGGTGAGGGATAGCTGTAGCTCAGTAGCAGAGCACATGGTTTGCATGGAAAAGATTGCAGGTTCAATACCTGGTCTCTCTAGGTAGGGCTGGAAATGACTCCTGACTGAAACTGCAGAGAGTCACTGCCCATCAGCGTAGACCAGGGGGTTGTCAACCTGGTCCTTACTGCCCACTAGTGGGCTTTTCAGGATTCTAGTGGGCGGTGGGGGGTTCTACAGCACAAGCTGAATCCTCCTTCCATCGAGCATTGGTGGGTGGTAAGGAAATTTTACCATCAAGAAAGATGCATTAGTGGGCGGTAGGTGTAAAAAGGTTGACTACTCTTGGTGTAGATCAGGCATAGGCAAACTTGGCCCTCCAGATGTTTTGGGACTACAACTCCCATTATCCCTAGCTGACAGGACCGGTGGTCAGGGATGATGGGAGTTGTAGTCCCAAAACATCTGGAGGGCTGAGTTTGCCTATGCCTGGTGTAGACAGCCCTGAGCTAGATGGACCAAGTGGTCTGTCTTGGCATAAGGTCCCAGAAAGGTTTTACTGAAAAGGTGGGTACAGTGGTACCTCGTGTTACAAACACCTCAGGTTACAAACACTTTGGGTTACAGACTCCGCTAACCTGGAAGTAGTACCTCTGGTTAAGAACTTTGCCCCAGGATGAGAACAGAAATCGTGAGCTGGCGACGCGGTGGCAGCAGGAGGCCCCATTCGCTAAAGTGGTACCTCAGGTTAAGAATGGTTTCAGGTTACGAATGGACCTTCGGAACGAATTAAGTTCATAACCACAGGTACCACTGTATGTGACAAGCTAGCTTGATAAAGAGAGGAACAACTCTACCGTCGGAAGCACCGTGGCCTAAAACATGCCCTTTAGGTTCTCCTTCCTTGCTATAATTAAGTCCAAAAGTTCTGCTAACTAACGTAAACAGGCATTGCTATGCTATTAATTTTCATCAGTGGAATCCTTTCTGGAAGAATTTTCTTCGCTTTTAACCTTTGCACGTCATCATATAATGAGATCTATACGGATGGCTCACTGCAGCTTTTGGTGAGCTCACAGATATGTATTCACCGGGGATCACAGACATTTAAAGCCCTATTTCCCAGTAGGGTTATCTTCGTCTACATAAATATCACTATGAGTTAGAGGCTAGGTCTACCAGAACATGGCTTGGAAGGAAATATTCCTGTAATAACAAAACAGCAGCATTAGATACATTTTTTAAAAAATGAAACATGGCCCTAAAGGCACAAGACTCCTTCAGTTGATAATCCTAGCCTAGGGCTTCCGTTCCATGCCAACAATAATATTCTGTAAGAAATGGGCATATTAAGAATATTTACGCACAATTTGTTCTTCTTTTCCTTATCATACTGTGGTGTAAAGGACTGAAGTCTAAACCGTGGTCTACCCCCCAAATCCTCCTCAGCCCCTTCCCTCTCCTCTTTAAGATGTCATGGTAAAGGTAAAGGTACCCCTGCCCGTACGGGCCAGTCTTGGCAGACTCTAGGGTTGTGCGCTCATCTCACTTAAGAAGCCGGGAGCCAGCGCTGTCCGAAGATACTTCCGGGTCACGTGGCCAGCGTGACAAGCTGCATCTGCCGAGCCAGCGCAGCACACGGAACGCCGTTTACCTTTCCGCTAGTAAGCGGTCCCTATTTATCTACTTGCACCCAAAGGTGCTTTCGAACTGCTAGGTTGGCAGGCGCTGGGACCGAGCGACGGGAGCGCACCCTGCTGCGGGGATTCGAACCGCCGACCTTTCGATCGGCAAGACCTAGGCGCTGAGGCTTTAACCCACAGCGCCACCCGCGTCCCTTAAGATGTCATGAGGCATTGCATATTTTCACCCTCATCTATGTATCCTGCTATATTGTATAAAGGGGAGAGGGAGAGATTATCTGGCAGCTGAATTGTATGTCTGTGTACTGGTTTGTATAGTGTCCAGTGCAATCACTGAATGCACACAGCCTTGCTGTAGCATCAGATTTTGGGCATCCAGTGTGTACTACAAATTAAAGGAATTGTGTTTTCCAAAGACTAAATCTTTGCAAATATTAGCCATGATACCAGTGAGATTACTGATGCTGATGGAACTAAAGTTCAAAGATGTTCATCCCAGAAAGGGGTCTAATGCAGATTCTATTTAGGAAGGAATAGATGGCTGTCACAGTTATTCAACTCGTAAGTGCACTTTCTATTAACATAACACTCCATGAATGAGTCAAAATTACAGTCATTAAGGACTCTCAATCAAAACAGTATATTTCTTCTTGCATTGAATGTGCAGCTGGTGCGTAGGATTTAACAAGCAGCAGTTTTGGTTCTGTCTCTGAACAATCCAGTTTAGAATAGATGCCCTCTTACCTGGGTTCTTCCCTTCTCTCTCTCCCCCCCCCCCCCCCCGAATATCAGAAGCTCGTTCAAATCTAATTAAAGTTTGAAATCGGCCATCTTAAGGTAATGTCATTTACCTTTTGAGCAATAGGATTTTTGTACATTCTGGTGACTACAAACTAACTCACTCAATATACTTGTATCCCTAAAAAAGGAATTAAACATGGAATTGTCTCTAACATGGAATCAGCAGTTTATAGAAATGTCTATAACAATAATTTTATAGTATCAAAAAGAAGAAGAATGTAAGAGTTTTGAAAATCAGGAACTTTTGAAAATCAGATGGTACAAAATGAATTCCTCATGTGAGTGGGATCTACAACAGTTAAATTTTATGTATTTATATTATTTTTGTTAGCTGCCTTCACTATTTTTCAGAAAGATGAAATACAGATTGAATAAATGTCTAAATCACTGCAAGGCAGGTTTTTACATACATATAGCAAACAAGGGAGAAGTGAATAAGTTTTAGTAAAAAACACCACAGAAATAAATAAATAATAATGAAATAAATAAAAATAGAGATGACTTGGGCCACATTCTGTACTCATAGCATTCGATTTGTATAAGCAGATTGCCCAGACGCTGTAGCTTATGACTCCCAGTTAGAGCCATTTTGAGATGCTCCAAAATATAGCCAGTGGACCTGGTCTGAGATCTGTAGCCCCAAATAACAGGAAGAGAAATCAGGAGCTTGCCTTCATAGAGATAGTTCTCAAGAATTGGATGTAATCATTCAGCAAAGCTGATCTTTGCAAGCATGGAGACTTCATTCCTTTGCAAGACTGAATGCACATTTGTAAAAGGGGAATTCAGAGGCTGGGGACGGATGATACTGTATATACCCGGGGAACTTCTTGTACTTTTTGTGGTGCTGAGAGTGATGAAGCTCTGGTGTGTTAGAGTGCTTTTCCTATTAATGATTTCACTAACTAAACCAAATTTAAAGGCTGTGATATCTAGCTCTCTGGTGCTAGTGCATTAATGATGAGTGAAAAGTGACAGTGAAAGCAGCTGGAAGACAATCTGTGCTGGATGTTGCAGAAGTGGCTCTGTGCACACTGCCAGGATTTTCTTCAGGCCCCTTAACATCTACCCATCTAAATCTCATTCACTTTCTCTCTGAAGCTCATTAACAGTGTCACTACTTGGCGTATTCATATGCTTCCAGCCAGATTCATGAGTGCTGAGGAAAAGTCAGGCTTCTGCAGCCTGCTTCATCCCTTACATGCTTCTCCAGCAAACCTGAATAGAAAAGCCCTGTCAATCATGCCAAAGGTCTTCTGGTCCAGCATCCCTTTTCTCCCACTGTGTCTAGAAAAACCAGATGACGCTCCATTAAAAAGGGAGATGGAAAGCTCAAAAATAAAGACTTCAGTGTCCCAGAACATTGTAAAATGCATTTCTTCTTCCATGGCACCTCAAATAATAATAATTGTACACAAATACAAATTATATAATACAATACTATTAAAACAAAGAATCACTAGTTATACTATCTGTTGTATAATTGTTTTAATAGTAATATATTGCATCAAATACTCAATTGATGATGATTCTCCAAATTAGAAATAAGCAACAATTTAACAGTTATAACGTTGATTTGTACTGAGTACAACATTCATTGTTCTTATTTGTCGTGCCCTTGAAGATTAATATTTTGAAATATGTTGGGCCAGTAACATATAGATTTTTGTGTACCCTTGAGATTTCCTCCCCCACCCCCATTTTCTCTTCTCCAGGCTTGTTTGCATGGAATGCTAACCATGGTTTATGAACCACGGTTTGGTTAACCATACTAAACCATGGTTTAATTGATCATCTGAGCAGTTTAACCATGGTTAAACCACACATGTCCATGAAGGTTTGTTAGTTTATAAATCTTGGCTATCATTAAATATTGCATGCAAACCTGAATCATATCCTTAGCCATGGTTACGGAGCTGTCACCACCCTAAAGCTATGCTTTGAGTGATCATCTGCAACATGCTTTTCATAATTTTTCTGAATTCCCCCTTTTTACCTGTACATACCTGATTTTATAAAGCTGTTTTACTAATTTGATGAGCCTGTTTTATTGTTTTTTGTGATTTTTGTATACAACTTAGGGATGTATCACTTAGGGATTTTTATAAAAACTATTAAGTGATTTAGAAATGCTTTTAAATAAATGTATACACTCCAAACAGCTGTTGTACTCTCTGGGCTGCATGTTAAAATATCATAAAATTTCATTGATTTTAAGTCTTTTGTATTTTAGGCGATGGGAAGGAGGAGATCCTGGTGTGTCGAATCAGAAAACACCAACCACTATCCTTTTAACTCCAGAAAGAAAATTCCACAGTTTTGGTTACGCAGCCAGGGATTTCTATCATGACCTAGATCCTAATGAATCAAAGCACTGGTTGTATTTTGAGAAATTTAAGATGAAGCTTCACACAACTGGTGTAAGTAGCAAATGAATTCTATACTTTTCCCTAGGGATAGGGGAGATGTTTGAGTCAGCTCACATTTAAAGGCAAACCTACGTAATTTGCACCTTCTAAAACAATATAGCTGTTCTTCAAAGCTTTCATAAACATGGCTTATTGGGAGAATGTCACAATAAAATGCCAAGGAATTTTCAGGAGGACTGCTTTGTGGGGTCGGAATGCAAACTGGTATGGAAGTGTGGAGAAGTGAACTTAAGAGTAGGAAATTGAGAGAAACTGAAGCTGACAGATTTGCTCATTTCTGCTTCTGCATAAATATTTCTTTTTCCTGGTGCTAGGCAGATGTTATCATAATGCACGCAACATTCTAGCTAAGCTTTGTTTAATATGTGAAACTGGTAACTTAATACTTTTCTGCAGTATTTTTCTTTTCCCTCTATCTGAAAGGTTATTTAGCCTTTTAAAATTAATACCATTCATGTCACCACCAGTTAAATTCTGTTTCGCTTCACAAGCCATCAACACATCATGTCATGCCTGGAGGTGGAATTTCCTTTAATACAGGCAGGTTGCAGGAATTCTCACTGATATATGTAGGGCTGGTTCAGACTTTCTGTGGCAGATGTGTCTCCCAGTGAACATCATCAAGTATGAAGGAGACATAATGTCTTGGCAGAAAAACAGGGGCAGGTAGGGGCCATGGATGGCAGTCAGCTAGGTTTTACTCAGAGTAGACCATTGAAATTAATGGACCTAACTTCATCATGTTCATTAATTTCAGTGGGTCTACTGTTACTAAAGTTTAGTTGAATTCCACTCCATATCCTCGTCTACTACCACATTTAGGCACATCTTATATCTTACAGCATTCACTATGTCAAACACTGGCATATGCAGAGCTAGTGTATCTGCTGTATGAATAATAATTTTGCATTTAGTGGGCATTTATATAGGACATTTCAATCATGTTTATCTTGTGAGAATGTTAAGGATAATAGGGAAGGATATATTGAATAAGTATTATCCTTCCCTCACTCACGCTAGTGAGTGATGTAGCAGAGCAAATTCCCCTCAATATAGCTGGAAGCTATTTTGCAGATTTGTTTGAATCTCTTAGTTATTTCCTGGTGTCCCCTTTAATCCCTCTTAAAAGAATAAAGACACAAGAGTCTTTTTTAGTAAAGTAACAAAAAGTTTACTCACATTTCAGCTCACGATATGATCCCTGAAAGGAAGGCTTTACTTAGTGGTTACACAACAAAGTGTGAGTTCATTTCCTATGGAGACTGAACTCATGTGCTGCTGGCTGAGAGCCTGCAGACAGCAAATTTAAATTAATATAACAAAATGGCTGCAGGAGAACAGCATGGCAGCAAAAGATAAGCAAGCAAGACAAGACATAAGAAGACTGAGAAAAATGGTTGCGTGACTTGGCTCTTTTGCCCATCTCCCTGGTCACATCCAGGGGGAGGAAGCCCCAGACCAGTGGAACAGGAAGTTACACTGACTGGATGTCCCCCTGCCTGTGCCAACTCTAGGAAAAGAAGGAATGTTGCATTTGACTGCACTAATGGATTATATCCCACAGATCCCAGTAATCACTGTGTGGCTGCATGTATAGGGATCATCCTAGAGTTATTAAAAAATACAGATGTAATTTCACCCATAAGCAGAGTGAGAGTTAAGTTCACAAGTAGAAACTGACCATTCAGACACATAACATCTTTTAGCTTGGTTCACTGAGTTCCAGACACCAATTCCCTAATCTTTGGGGAGAAAGTGCCAACTGTTTAGAGCAGAGTAATGCAGAGATGGCTGGAAAAATGGTAAAAGTAGACAAGGGGGGAGGGGTGTTACAGGCAGACTTCACAGTAAGCTTTGAACAAATGAGTCTTGGCTTTCAAACCAAAGGAAGAAACATTGGGAGATTTCGGCAACTTCCTTTCCTGACAGTCATATTATTAGCTCTGAAGTTCTAATGTATAACAGAGCCTCTTTGACATGTTAATTCTACCCTCATCCAAAAGAACTCACACTGTGCTTTAAACAGATCCAGGCAGAGGAAAACATTTTGATAAGGAAAGTAGCCAGAGTTGAGCCCTATGGCTTTTCTGACACTTCTCTTTCCAATACACTTTCCTGTGTTTTATAACTAAGGAAAGCCAAAAGATCAATAGGTTCTGGTTTCATAATATTGTGCATTCTGATCCTAAGCCTTTGGCATAGTTGTTGGTTCTTGTGCTCACATTTTCGCCAGTTGCATGTCATCTCACACACTGACAAGAGCACCTCACCCTACATGTGCCCACTTGACCTCTTCGATCTGTGGAATTGGCACCACCACAGGTGCCTCATAATACCTGTTCTGCTTTTGTAAGAACTTGATCATTTGGTGTGGCAGTGCCTTAACTTTGGAACACTCTGCCTATTGAGATCAAGCAGGTGCCTTCCCTGAGCTCATTTGGGTGCCTGCTAAAAACATCCCTGTTTACACATGCCTACCTAGATGCTTAGAAAGTTGAAGTAATTCTACGCTGTTTTAGTACATTTGTATGTTTTAAAGTAGGGTTGTATTTCCCCCCCTTAATTTTACTGGTTTATCTTTTGTAAAGTGCTTTGAGGGTTTTTTTTGGGGGGGGTTACAATCAACCAGTGTATACATTTTAGGAATTAAAATAATATTTAATAGCTGCTGGGCACACAGAAAGCAGCATAGGGGGTTAAATCTGCCCTACTTTGAAACCAAAACCAACAAGCAAAAAGCTTGATCCTTTATGAAAATGAAAAATGTCACAGCTAGACACCACCAACCTTCGGATGTTTTTTGATGAGAACTCCCATGATCCCTGGCCATTGACCATTGGGGCTGAATAGGGTTGTAGTTGAAAACATCTGGAGGGCACCAGGTTGGGAAAGGCTGAATGGTGAACTTCACTGTCAAAAGGAAAAGGTGCAGTGCTTGGAGTCACATTTTTACCTAAGTGATGGAGCTTAGCAATAGCAAATTCCATTCTCTCCACCTCAGAGGAATGGATTTTGACACTTACCACTTCCTTTTAAACATGTTCTAAACATTTCCTTCCCCCCTAGAATCTCAATCTGGAAACAGACCTGACAGCTGCAAATGGCAAGAAAGTCAAGGCACTTGAACTATTTTCTTACGCTCTGCAGTACTTCAAGGAACAAGCATTAAAGGTAAAGGAACACTTCCTGTCCCCAGCTCTTTGTATTTATAACTGCGACAAATGCTGGCCCAACAAATTTAACCTTGCCATACTTCAGCCTGCAGCAGTTCTTGATGTAAACAAAGTGGAGCAGCTGCAGGAGATGCAGAAACGGTGATGGTGATGAGGTGTCCTAGATACTTAGATACAACCTTCTTCCTCACCAGCAAGACATTTCTGCAGAACTCCATAATTCATATGCTGTTGGTTGTACTCTAGCTCTGTAGGAATTAATGAAAGTCGTTTCCGATATAATTTTAAAGTAACCAGAATATTTTGGCTACCCCTCCAAGGTCCTCCTACCTGCTGCACTCTGGCTTTATCCTAGGAGCTCCTTCTAATAGTCACGGTTACTCAGTGTTCAGAGCCAGTATACCACTGCGTACCAGCTGCCAGAGGAAAACTGTTGGTCTTGCTTGCAAGCTTTCTAGACGTATTTGACTGACTACTGCTGGAAAAACTTGAGTCCAGGACAGAGATGAGCTCAGTGCTCAAAACCGGGGCGGGGGGGGCAACAACCTCCCAAATTAAATCCCAACTTTTGTTGCTATGCTGTGGTATACTTTGTGCTATATTGTTCCTCTCTTCCTGCCCCCCAGACTTTCCAGTCTTTGCAGAAATGAGCAGACAAACAAATTCAGGCAGCCTCACAATGCAATACATTTGTTCTTCCAAACATACATATAATTAAGCTATGGAACTCCCTGCCACAAGAAGTGACAATGGGGTTGATAAAGATAATAATAATAATAATAATAATAATAATAATAATAATAATAATTTATTATTTATACCCCGCCCATCTGGCTGGGCTTCCCCATCCACTCTGGGCGGCTTCCAAGTAATATAAAATACTGTAATAACCTCAAACATTAAAAGCCTCCCTAAACAGGGCTGCCTTCAGATGTCTTCTAAAATTCTGGTAGTTGTTGTTCTCTTTGACATCTGGTGGGAGGGCGTTCCACATGGAGGGCGCCACTACCGAGAAGGCCCTCTGCCTGGTTCCCTGTAACTTGGCTTCTCGCAGTGAGGGAACCGCAAGAAGGCCCTCGGTGCTGGACCTCAGTGTCCAGGTAGAACGATGGGGGTGGAGACGCTCCTTCAGATATACTGGACCGAGGCCGTTTAGGGCTTTAAAGGCCAGCACCAACACTTTGAATTGTGCTCGGAAACGTACTGGGAGCCAATGTAGGTCTTTCAAGACTGGTGTTATATGGTCTCGGCGGCCACTCCCAGTCACCAGTCTAGCTGCCGCATTCTGGATTAGTTGTAGTTTCCGGGTCACCTTCAAAGGTAGCCCCACGTAGAGCGCATTGCAGTAGTCCAAGCAGGAGATAACCAGAGCATGCACCACTCTGGCGAGACAGTCTGCAGGCAGATAGGGTCTCAGCCTACATACCAGGTGGAGCTGGTAAACAACTGCCCTGGACACAGATTTGACCTGTGCCTCCATGGACAGCTGTGAGTCCAAAATGACTCCCAGGCTGCGCACCTGGTCCTTCAGGGGCACAGTTACCCCATTCAGGACCAGGGAATCCTCCACACCTGCCCGCCTCCTGTCCCCCAAAAACAATACTTCTGTCTTGTCAGGATTCAACCTCAATCTGTTAGCCGCCATCCATCCTCCAACCGCCTCCAGACACTCACACAGGACCTTCACCGCCTTCACTGGTTCTGATTTAAAAGAGGGGTAGAGCTGGGTACCATCCGCATACTGATGAACACCCAGCCCAAACCCCCTGATGATCTCTCCCAGTGGCTGCCTTAATAGCCTTAATAGTTCTGAATTTAAATACCTCTGTGTTTTCGATTATTCTGGGGATAAAACAGGGTAAGGCCATCACCTTCGTGTCCTGTTTGTGAGCTTGCTGAAGGTGTATGAATGCCCCAAATTTCCCTTGTTCCTTCCTAGATTCTCTTCAATTAGCTGTTTCCTCTGCTGCCCCACCCACCACCCATTTTCCTCGTTCACCAGGCAGGTCTGGCCTCACCATTGGGCAGCACAGGCTGGCTACCTCAGGCGGCGGATGGTTCAGGGAGAGGGTGCAGCGAGATGTTGTCAGACGGAGCTGTCTGTGCCCTGTGGCATCTGCCTCCCAAGTTAAGCCTGCTGTCCTCAGCTGGAGGATGCTGTCCCCTCCACAGTGCTGAAGTTAGGTTCTGCCGCCAGCTTGGCTGTCTTCTATTTGTGTTAGGAGGGCATCATCTTGTCTTTCACACTAGGCAGCACAGTGTCTTTGGCTGGCCCATGTCTGCCCAGCATATGATTACTTAGCCCACAAAACCCAAACACCATTTTCCCCATTAGTTAGAGAATCAGGTGCCAGGAGAAGTGCTTCCCTTCAGCCTTTTCCTGCATAGGTAGTGAAATACCTGCTAGATCTGTTCTCTCTTTCTCCAGATGGGAGAGCTAAGGTGTGCAGTTTTAAATGGGCCAGCCATGGTTCCAATTCTTTGTCACAGAGCAGGCGCTCATGTGGTGTTCAAGGCTAGTCTGCAGCAGAGCCAGCTCTACATTATAGAATCGTAGAGTTGGAAGGGATCCTTCCTGATGGTCATCTAGTCCAACCCCCTGCAATGCAGCAATCCTTTGCCCATTTTGGGGCTCCAATCCACAACCCTGATATTAAGAGTCTCATGTTTGCCAAGCTTAAATAAGCAGATTGCTAGAAAATTAACCTACTCTGCTTTTGTGTGTGCTTTGAGTAGGCTTAATTTATTCTGTTACATCTTTCCCCCACCCACAACTACAGCAAGAAAGATAGGAAAAAATATGCTACCCGATGTCAGGAATACCAAACTCGGGATATGATTTGCTTGTACAACATCCCTGGTACTTTCTTTTCAAATAAAATAATTTTCTTGTTTACACCAAAACAGCCAGCGCACCATACAATTACAAATACATATACAAATAGTGACAAGTATCCCGAATAGCACATAACCCAAATGAAAGTCATGATGCAAGGATTTCTACAAAGGATTGCCATAGCAACGTATCACATTCATTTTGACAGCATTATGATTCATTGGAATGGTTGCCAGCATAAAGTGAGCCCACCCATGTTAGTTATTGGCTTGTGTTTCAGCAGAAACTGTGTTTTATAACAAGATAGCTCTATTGGCAAGTACTATCAGGATGAGTGAGAAACACAAGGGAGCTTGTATAAAACCAAGAACAAAATAATATGTAACTGAGGAGGTTCACCACTGCAACAGTTCCACAAATGCAGGGTCTTCCTAAGCATCACTGATACATGCAGGGTCTCTATAAACACCATAGACATACCAAACTTCAATATGTATGAGAACACATTTTATTATATAGCCGCAGACAAATAACCAAAACCGAAAACAAATAACCAAAACCATACAATTTCTAACATACATAGAATTGAAATGTATGGCACTTGCTTAAATGAAGGGCAGAAACAAACCAAGATACAGTAAAATTGATGAAATCTCTTGACAGGTCTTGGCAGCAGATTGAAGAATCCGTTAACTGTTTCTGTTATTATTGGGACCATGGGGAGAGGGGAGGACTTTTCTCCCTGTACCCTTTCCTCACTTAAAAACACCATTTGGTGCCGCCTTTTGCTCCAGAAACATTTTTTAAGCATGCTGGACCTAAGGCCATTTTTAGTAGATTGGTTTGAAATGTGGCACATTCATAGACCTCATCAAGTAGATCATGGGTACCAAGTACTAAGTTACAAAAGCTAAGCAGATGCCATTTTTAATAAACTATAGAGGCTTATAGTGGCAGAGCCTTTTTCGCGTGCATGTCTAAACTAAGGGAACACTCCCATGCCTCTTCAACACAGCAAATATTTCTCAGCCTGATTAATGCTTAGGAGCATCAATTTAGAGGAACCTCCCGCTTTCACTACAAAGGCATAAGGTACACTCTTGTATTTGCCTGATTTTGTTTGTGTAAGATGAAGAACTTGCCCTTCATCATGGTATGTTTTCCTATGGACCTCCTTGAAGGTGTAACTGAAACCCAGGTTTCGACATTCTATGCATTTTTGGCATGTCAGCCAGTTATTTAAACAGCCTGACATAGACATAGCAACAGAAACCATGAAAAGTGCCAAATTATTTTCACAGGAGCCACTGGGAAACAACATCACTTCTAGAAACAGCTGGTGTCAATTTTGCCTCTCACCACAAGTTTGCTTTCTTTTATTCCAGGAGCTGAGCGATCAGGACTCTGGGTTTGAAAACTCAGAAGTGCGCTGGGTCATCACAGTGCCAGCTATCTGGAAGCAGCCGGCAAAGCAGTTTATGAGGCAAGCTGCGTACAAGGTAAGTATTGAAGGTGACCATCAGCCAAAATGGCAGGCAGAGGGAAGCTTTTATAGCCTCTGAACTGTGCATCCTCAGTCAGTTCCCTTGTTAAATGTTTCTTTCAAAAGTCATGAAAAGTAGGTTTATTGTTAGGGAGTTGTTTCATTTGGAATCGAAAATGCAGAAGGAAACAAGATGTTTCTAAACAGCTCCCTACTCTGATGGGCACAAACTTGCTTAAGTTGCAGACTTTTGGGAATTAAAATCATGTTTTCAAGCCACACCCACAGACTTGGAAGCAGAAAACTTTAAAAGCAGTTGTTCTCTAGAATAAAACCAGACAGGAACATTTACAGCAGTCTGGACCCAGAAAAAAAAGGCCATCTGAATTTCATGACCATCAAAGTGCTGCCTGTATTCTACCTACCTCATTGGAACATGAACCAGTCACTGAAATATATGATTACAAGAGGTAGGGCTTATGAAAAGCCAATTGGGAGCTGGCTTAGAAAAATGACATCATGCATCATTGGCAGGACAACCTCTGCCTTCAAGCAAGGCGGATTAGCATTTAAATTGAGATTTAATGGTTCATGCAGACAAATGATACACAAAACACTTCCGGGAAGGACCTGATTAGGGTGAAAGGTGTGTGACAGGCAGGAGAACACAAAGGGAATTAAACAACCATGCATTCTAGTTAGGACTGGTTAGTTTGCATTCTTTTCTGACTCCCCAAATTGGAGTGTTGTCCCTTTTAAAATGAAAGTTAGTTAAATCAGGCTGATAAAAGCCTAGGTCATTATGAGTGTGATGGAGAAGGAAGAATACTTGGTCTTGTGTAGATTCCATTCATGTTAGTAGAGGGGAGTGTTCGACTGGTAGGAGCATTCATTTAAACCCCATAGAAAGTCTCAGATTCTTCATGATGCTTTTGATCAAGTAATCAAAGAAGAAATGACATAGCTCAGTGGCAAAGTGTTTGCAAGCATGAGGTCTCAGGTTTAATCCATGGCATCTCCAGGTAGGTCTGGGAATATTCCCTGATTGAAACCCCAACTTATTGTCAATGTAGGGAATAGAAGGGGCAATACTTGGGTGCAAAGCCTGTGTTCCTAATCAGTGTCTAGTGAGCAGAAAAGGTCTAAATTTCTACTCCACCCAGAATTTCTAGCTGCCCAGAGTGGTTGGGGAAACCCAGCCAGATGGGCGGGGTATAAATAATAAACTATTATTACTCAGAAATGCCAAATTCTCAAACCAGAAAGAATAATTTTGTAGTCAAACCAAATTAGTCATGATTGCCTACATTGACTTTCCTCTTTATTCCAGCGGGGAGGGAGGGTTGTGCAAAATTTGGTGTTATTGATGGGGATTCAGATAATAGACATTATTGGGGGGTGGGGGACATTGAAGGTAACACAGTGGCTGAAAGAAATTGTGGTGTCTGAGGGAGCTGTTTAATTTGCAAAATTCCTGCTCACTGACAGTTGGGAATGCAACACCACAGGGATTATATTTTGGTTTCTGAAACCAAAATACAGAAGAGAATAGGAAGCTGTATCTGCATGCACAAGCACCTGTTTCATGGTCATATTTCATATGGTCTCATTACCCACCTGAATCTATTTCAGGGCCTTAGCTCAGTAGTGTTCTGCTACTTTACATGTCCAATCCCTGGCATCCCCAGATAGGAATGGAAGAGATGCCTGTCTGAAACCTTGGACATCTGCTGCCAGCCAGCACTGAAAATAAACTGAGGTGGCTGGAATAATATTTGACTCAGCATAAGGCAGCTTCCTATGCTGATAAGATGGCAGTAAATGGCAAAAGGTGTGATGTAGAATTGAGGGGAAAGAAAGGTGGTGCTCACTTTGTAGCTTAAAGAAGCACATGCCAACCCTCTCACCTTTTGATCACTTCCTTCTTCAATGTTTAGTAAATCCAGAGAGAGGAAATTGATGATCCTTTGTTGAGTCCAATCCTGTTTCAGTTAAGTGATTTTATTCAGACATAAATGTGCCCCTGTCCTTTATTTTAGACATGTTTGTCTTTGCCATATCTGCCTACCATTTTCCCACTTGGATTTCGCGTATTTGATTGTGTGCAGCTAGGAAGAATTACACAATCCACTGGCAGTAGGGTGGTCAGGTGTAAAAGAGGGTAGGATCCATGCATCCTTTGTGAAGGCAAAATTCCCTCCTCAGCACATGTATTGAAGAGGAAATTCCCTATTACATGGGGCAGAATCCGTGTCCTCTTTTTGCACTTGGCCACCCTAAGGGGCAGTACAACTATGCAATGCATGTTTTCTAAATGTTTGTTTGGGTATTTTGAGTAACCTCCTAAAATGCTGTTTAGACCCCCACAATCACTTTGAATATCTTGTACTTGTCTCTAATGTTGAGCAACATTTTTCTCAACAGTCTGTAGTGTGGGATTGCTAATGCTAGTGCCAGAAGCAAATCACTTAAAGGTTCTCATGGAAGGACACGGTTGTAGGTAAAGCTGAAACATTAGAGACTCGTGTATTATCTTTGTCTGTTGTCGCTTGCCTGTTGTTTGTGTGCATGTGTACCTGTGGAATGGTATCTCATAGCCGCAGGGAGAAAAATAGACTAATGTTCTTGCAGCATTTCCCATCTGTGGCGCAATGGAATGTTGTTGACTAATGTCCGCATCTGTGGTAATTTTTTTTTGTCTGTGACTGTGTGTTACCAAACAGATCAATAAATAGTGATGAAAGAGAGCTTAGGAAGAAATCACAGGGAGGTGACTCCACAAAAGCCGTATCAGTTCATATCTACAATTGTGTTGTGTATTGTTGTAAGCTACTTTCTGTAACTTTTGAGGATGAAAAGTAGAATAGAAATGGATGGGAAGGAGGAACGAAAATAAGAAATTCTGATACTGGGCAGATAGGACTAAAAGAAGGAAGGAGATGCTGTGGACTAGCAGTCGGCAGTACAGTGATTTATGATCCCAAAGGACAGATATAGGTCACACTGAGCACTCTGAAACGTAAACTACTCCAGACTAATAGTATTCTACATTCAAATAAGCACATTTAAGAAAAACAAGTCATCTTATGTCTGAAAAATATATTTGGCAGAAGGTGCAGCTGGAAGAGAAGGGAGTATATTTTGCATGACGTCCATAGCAATGTATTAGTTATAGTGAGCCATAATGGCACTTGTCGGTTTGTGGAAGTTGTCCATGCACATACCCCACACTAAACAAAAAAAGCCATCCTGTTTACTACTAATAAAATGGTGTTTTGCTACCCAGGATGTGTTTGCCTCTAGGCAAATAGTCTACAATATGACAAAGTCCTATAGAAGTGGGCTACACAAGCAATTACATCCCCCATGTCCTTAAAGATAATGGCATCTTCCACAGATACTTTCCAGAGCAGTAATGCTGTGTAGCATCATGTTGTCTTTCATACTTGTGACTGCTGGCATACAAAGATATATCTTAGTGCATCTTTAAGAAAGGATGGGCAATAAGAAGATTATTCATGTGAAAAGGCTAATGAAAGGGATCATAATGGACACACATGCAAATTACATCTGCATATATTTGCTTGAGAAATTTTGGCAAGTTTACATTTTTTCATTAGGAGCTAGCCAGAATATTCTTGTATCCTGTTGTGATTGCTTGCTTCATCTTTTTTCCCTGAAGAAGGGATGCAAAAATGTAGTTCACCAGATATTGTTGGCCTATAACTCCCAGGAAGCATGGCCAACGGTCAGAGGTGATGGGAGTTTGATGGGATATTGTTGGCCTATAACTCCCATCATCCCTGACTGTTGGCCATGCTTCCTGGGGCTGATGGGAGCTGGAGTCTAGCAACAGCTGGAGGAGCACAGGTTCCCATTTCCTACCCTACATTCAAAACCCTTCAGGAAAAATTGTAATAAAAAACATTCAGCACCCCTAAGAATTGGTTGGCTTTTTGTTTATTTTGATCTCTTGCTCTGAAAGTTTTTTAAAAGGCTCCAGACTTCTTGTCAAATATCCACTATAAAATGATGGATGGTCTTTGAATTCTCTGGTGTTGCCTCTTCCTTGAACTGAGCTTCAGGTGCTTAACCTTGATTGTAGAAAAAGGGAATGAATGCTCTTGGTCAGAAGGGTTTTCCTTCAGCTTGACAATTTTATTTTTTTATTTTTGGAAGGGAGACATTCTTTCAGCTCCCATTTCACTACAAATACTTCAACCACAGCATGTGCACTGCCTGGAATTTCTGTCACATGCCAGTAGAAATCACAATATTGCGGAAGGGGCTGTAATGTTTTTTTGAAGGGACGAAGTTCAACCCTGTTAATCAAGAAACAGCTAGAGGAGTTAAGAAATCTGATGAAAATTATCCTGTCCAGTAATTTCTGCAAGTCTCGTTTTGAGGAAATGCTCTTGACAGGTATTGAGGGCTTACATATTTATCTGTTTTCCTGCCTTAACTGTATTATCTAGCTTTTACCATTCAGTCTATACAGTATGGGGGGGGCAATGAAGAAAGCTTGAAGAATGCTGTTTACTACACACTTAAGTTATAGTTAGTAGGAACCCCTCAGAACAAAACAAACACAGATGATCCGACCAAAAAGGTCTATGTATAGGTCATTAGCAAGTTAAAGACCAAATTGGATTTCAGTTTTTGAATTTACCCAGCAGTCTTGTTTGTGCAAGACTACAATCCCTTCAGCCCAATCCTGTAATCCCATTCTCCTCAGATTACAAACCCAATCCTGAAAAGTAGTGCACTGTCCCTTGTTTTCAACATGTCCGGTGTACCTGACCATATAGTTTCGACTAAGCAGCAACATTTTTCCTTTGCCTCATGACAGTTTCCTCTCTTACATCACAAATAAGAAGTTTTATATGCATGAGCAGAATGGCATCCTCAACTTGAGACGAAGGAAGGCATGGCGTTAAAGATAAACTTTTGGTTTGCGTTATTGCTGAAAGCAGATAGCTCAACACTCTGCCCATTAGAAAGTATCTCATTTCTTTTTAAATTTGTTTGTAATTTGAATGTTATTTAAAATTGGTTATATTTAGCAACATACTAGCCACATACAGCATCAAACACCAGTGCTACCTGCACTAGATCTTTAAAGCAGGACAATGCCACTTTAAACAGTTGTGGCTTCCCCCACATAATCCCAGGGACTGTAGTTCCTTAAGGATGTAGAGAGTTGTTAGGAGATCCCTATTCCCTTCAAAAGAGCTGCAGTTCCCAGAGTTCCCTGGCTAGATTGTTAAACTGCTCTGGGATTTGTAACTCTTTGAGGGGAATAGGAGTCTCCTAACAACTCTCAGCACCCTGAACAAACTACAGACCCCGACTCCCATTGGACCCAGCCAGCAGGGCCAGTGGTTAGGGATGATGGGAGCTGTGGTCGAACAACATCTGGAGGGCCACAGGTTCTGCACCCCTGCCCTGGTACCACTGCTCCAGGAATCCCCACCCCCATTCATGGCAAGATATGATGGAATTCTGAAGCTGGAACTATGTTTGCATTTCCTTTAGCTTGTATACATAAACATTTTTGTGATTGGTCTTTGCAGATGCAGCTTTCCTTTTTGAAGGAACTGGAATATTTCAGTGCAGGATTCCTAGGGTCTCCCCCCCCCCCCCGAATATCTGATTTAGTGTTTTCTATTAGTAGAAACTAAAGAAGTATTTTGGAGGGTAGCTAATGTATTTGATATTTGCAACAGGCATATTATAGTTGTTATCAGTTCATTGCTAATTCCTGCATCTGGTGTAGAAAGGCAAAAAGATATTAGGGAACAAAGGCAAGTGATGATTTAAAGCTGCAATCCCTCACTGCTGCCTTCATTTTCTGCCTGCAGAATATCAAAAGCAGTGCAAATTAGACACATTAGCAGTATTAGGGGAAATGGAGAAATCCACTTAATTGTCACTTGTTGGTAGAGACAGATTGTTGTCAGAGAATGGATTGGTGTTATTACTGCAAGTTCCTGTGGATGTGATTCTTCTGGTTGATACTTACAAATTATCTTTTCTGCATAAGCACTAATGTTTGTTATGAAGCTATAATATGCTATAAGATTGCAGCATTTTTGAAGCCATAATTAATTAAGGAAGCTTAATTGATCATGGTGTTAAAATGCATAGAGCAAGAAGCACGTGCTAACAAATTTCAATTTACATTTGCTAATTGCTGTGGTTAGGTTTGCACAAATATACGTTCCAGGCTAATGGAATACGCCCCCGGTCCTTCATTTTTACATGTAACGCAGCAAACTGCTAATAGCTTAGGTACTCAAGCAGCGAAGGACCTGTAAATGACCAGAAACATTTTAGAGCATTCGTGCAAAAATATGACCTCTGAAACTGAAAGGCTTATACAGACTAAATGAGCTATCAAGTGTTAGCGCTATCTATAAAAGCTGTTTGACTGAGCCTCGGCGCTTCATGGAATAAAATAAAATGCATCGCTGATTACGCCCTTAGTACTATGACTTCATCCATTGCACCAATGCATCTTGTCTGCGTTTCTGCAGCAGCTGTGGTTTGCGAGAAGTAAAAGCCACACTGCTGCAGTGGAACAGAGTAATGGCTCTTTCCAGCTTTGGAGGGGGGTGACCTGACAGGATCAGAATCTACTGATCTGGTCATTAAGAGGTTTTCTTTAAAGGATTTGTATACCTAAGGTCAAAACAAAATAGGACAAAGTGTTGTAAACAGTGATTTCTACATCATCCTGGTACACAGGAAAAGCACAGGCTGCCTCATTTTTGGTCTGGGATGCTTGGCATATCAGCTTGTCACATGCACAACAACCACCCCCAGAAGCATCATAAATCCCATAGGTGCAGTGGCAAAGCAATCTCAAGGCTTCTGTATTAGTGTAATAAGTGGTTGGCGTCCCACATTGGGCTAATAACACAGTGAACATGATTTGTTGATACTCCAGGTCAATTTTCATGCCCGTTTTTTCCATGTACTGATTTCCTCAAAGCCATTTCCTGTGGAAGCTCCCAGCCTGCTCAGGTTTCACTACATTCTTCAACAACTCCCAAAACCAAAGCTTTAAAGCAGTTTTCTTTTTTGAGGAGAGTCTTATGTCCTAAGATACACCACGGTTGGGGTTGGGGCAGGTATATGTTTTGATCGTCACTAGCAACATGGCATGGGGAGGAAGAGTTGTACACCTTAATGTAGTTTTTTTCCTATAGGCTTTGTCCCTTCACTCTGGTTCAGATATATTGGCTCCAGTCCTTTCCTACTGGGCCCCACCTGGAGCTCCTGGAAGTGGGTCCCCTTGCTGCAGTTTAGGGTTCCAGGTCTAAGCTCAGGACAAGCTGAAGACCACCAATTTAAATGGATCCAGGAGACTAAGTTCAGGCATACTTCCCTCTCCTACACACATGAGCAGAAATAAATGTCAGAGAAAAACTGGTTCAACTGCCTTCACTGGTTGAATTTATTTTCAGCGTAGCCCTGATGAGCTGTCAAATCAATATTCATGTTGACATGAAAATAATTGGTAGCAGAAGGGCTAAATGCCACTGCTGCCATATATTAGGCATAATTCAGTGAGCATTATTTGATTTTCTGTTGAAATAGTTCATTCCAAAAGTATGATTGCTGCAAAATACCACAAATCCTGAAGACTTTGCTTCTTTATATCTCTGATCCTACAAAATTTAACCTAAAAATATTATTCAACTCAGTGATCATTACAAAAGCACTCAAATAACTACAGAATTTTCAACAACAAGAGTTGTCTTACTCTCTTGGATGCAATTTCCGTGAATCTCACCTGATACAGAAGACAAGAGTGAGGACTGCATTTGCTTTTTGGCTTTCCAAAAATAAAAATTCTCCCTCTGAGGCATCAGGAAAAGCAGGAGCTAGAGATGAAACAAATTTAGGAGGGGATGTCACATGCATGTTTGGTATGTTCTGAGTGCATGTGCCACAGAAGCTTCAGTCAAGTGGTTAAGCTCAGCACATGCAGCAGTTGCTTAACAGAGTTAACTTTTACTTTGCATGCAAAAACACATACTACGACATAAACACACTCTGTAAAGTTGTTACAAGTAGGAATCTCTGATCCCAGAGAGGGTACTTTGCGTCAACGTTCTTGCTATGTCAAAGTCCCCAGCAAGTCTGGAGTTCAGCTGCTTCCAAAGTTCTTCACAAAGAATTCAATTTTCTTCCGCGTTTCCAATCAGTCTCCATTGCTCAGATCTCCCCAACACTTAACACTATAATTTGAGCTGAGCTAATTTGACCATCTTTCCTTTGCTGGTTATTGCTTCCTGTACTTCAGGACAGGAATGGGAAACCTGTGGCCCTTCACTTGTTGTAAGACTCCTCCCATCAGCCTCAGTCAGTATTTCCAGTGGTCAAGGACGATGGGAGTTGTAGTCCAGCAACATCTGCAGGGCTGCAGGTTCCCCATCCCTTCTTTAGGGGTTAGCACTAAAATGCTGAGAGTTCCCATGTTGAATATGCAGGCTTATCTCTTTGCTGTTGCCATAGATTCTCTCCACACACACCCTTAATACTGTGGTATGTTACGTAGCGTACATACAGTACATAATACAACCTTCAAGCTGTTCCCCACAAAGACTGTGCGTGCGTGTTTACATGCACTCTGTCGTGATGCTTCTTTTTGTTTCTCTGTGCTTGTGACACATTGTGATGAAGGCTATTAGGTAGAGCCTCTGGTAAGTATTGCAACTGACAGCTATGACATGACAGTGCAATGCCCCCCAGCCTTGTGTGGGACTAGGAAGCAAGTGTAACTATGGCAGCACAAGCAGATTTTTACAACCATACACATCTTTTGATTTAAGCCATATTATGCCTCTCCTGCTGAAAGAGAAATAAGGAATCTTTAGTGCTGCTCTGTTTCAAAATGTTTGCAAATAGCGTTTTAAAAGATTCCCAGCACAAATACTATCTTATGTGCCGGGAAATAATGTGTACGGTGCTTACAGAACAACCTTACTGGTAGATCAGAGGAGAACTAATACCCAAAGCACTCCTAGGAACATGGCCAGAGAGTGTCATGGTATTTTCCTATCTAGGGGATTCCTTTTTAGGTTTTATGATCACTCTCCATGGCTTCCAATGGAAATGCATACATCAGCTCCAGGGCTTGTGTATGTTTCTTACTGTTTCAGGGTGGGGGGTGGGGTCCAAGCCTTCTCCAAGCCCACCTTGGCCTCTACCACTGGTGGTATGTCAGGGCTGCTGAGGGTTTCAGTGGTGGGAAAGGTCTTATGAGGTCAGACCATGGGGATCCATGGAAGGAGCAAGGAGCATTTGGGTCTCCAGCTCCCACTGAACCATGATCTCCATATCCCCAGCTTTCTTTTAAAGTTAAGTGTCAATTATCTGTAGAACCTGAGTCATGAAGCAAAATGTAGAGGCATGATTATTCTCATTTTTCCATGAAAAAATAGCCTGCTACTCCCCTCTCTAGGGTTAACTATTTCTACCTGAATGGAGCATGGCAAGCAATGAGTACTGTAAAGAAGGAAAACCAAATCAGGAAAGCTGTGTGCATTGGTGTCTTACAGCATTACCTGATGCCATGCTATGAATATTTTATGCTCTCTTGAAAAAAGAATAGTGATAGAAGTTGCAGTATTTCAGATGCCAAGTCTTCCTTCAGTTCCGTCCGGTATATCTGCACAGAAGTGAGCCTCATTGACTTCAGTAAGGCTTACTCCTAAGTAAGTGGGTATATGATTGCAACCCTAGATACATAGAATCTTCAGCATTCAAGGATTAGGTCTGTGAATTCAGTGTGCATAACTCTGGCAGGAAAGTGTCTAGCGTTCACAAGTGCATGGTTATGTTTTTGAAAGTATTATTGGCTAGCACAAAATCTAGAAAATTAAGATATTCAGGAATATAGCAGGTATTTTAGACTACAATCCTGTACCTGCTTATCTGGGAACAAGCCCTAATAAACTATATAATAAGACACATATAGGATTGTTATGTTAGCAGCCCAGGTATTTCCATCGCACTAGGCAACCTGCAGAACAGATTAGGTTTCCTTTACATGATTTGGCATTTTATATTCCTTACAATTAGGAAGAGTGTGAGAGCAATGTAACTGTGTTTTAATGCTGATGAGGCAGAGAAGCCAAAGCTAGTTGTCTGTTTCTTTTGGGGAAACTTTTTCATAAAATTGAACTAGATGCTTGAAAAGGAGATGGATTTACTCTTTTTAACATACCTTTTGTTTATTTTGCTATATCATATGCAGCTATGTCATTCTATTCAGTAGGGGAAATGCATGCGTCTCTCCTAGCTATGAATCCTTGAAATGAACTAGATGTTCTTCCCCCCAACCATGATATTTAGCATATGAAAATAAGAGAAGTGAAAAGAAAGAAGCATAGGTGAATGAATGAAAACCTCAGGATTCACAAAGCTACATCACTGTGAAGGCAGCTGATCATTTCCTCTCCCCTCCTTGTTTGATTCCTTTATTCACAGGCAGGAATGGCATCCCCAGAAAACCCTGAGCAGCTCATAATTGCCCTGGAGCCAGAGGCTGCATCCATCTACTGCAGGAAGCTCCGCCTTCATCAGATGATAGACTTAAGCAGCAAAGGGCCTGTCAATGGTTATAACCCAAGTGAGACCATTGCCACTGGCTTTACTCCAGGTAGGGCTGATTTAATTGAGCTATGATTAGTGCTCAACCTAATTTTCTACTCACCCTTTCTTGCCAAAATCTTTCGTAGCAAGATGTTTTCCAAATTTCCCTGCCAACTCTTGATTTTCACACTGGGAGAACCTGGATAGGTAATTGTCAGCCCTAATATAGAAACTACCCGGTCAGGCTCATTAAAGTGTGAACTTTTCAGCTGTTCCACAGTTTTAAGTGTTTCGGAACAGTGTTATCAAATGTGAGCCAGTGCCAAAGGTGGAATAAAAAATCTGAGAACGTTTTCCAGATGGATAGGGGAATTCTATACCCATGCTGATTTTATGAATGGAAGAGAATGGAAACATGCTTAGGTTAATTGATCTGTGTCCGGTGGGGGGGGGGGAGCAGCCAACCCAACACCTGTATTGCTGTAGCTTACCTGGACAGGGGTGGGGCAGGTTGGTTGCTAGGTCAAGGCTGCTTGGACATACCAGCAGGAGCACCACACTGGCTCTACCTATGTGCCTGCACAGCCTTCCCCTTGCCATCATCTCACCCCAGCCCTGTTTAGGGTAAGCTGTAGTGACGCCAGTCTTGAGTGGGTGGCTCTGCTCCAGCACACAGGCCACTGCTGCCTAAAAGGGATTCAAAGTGTGGCATAACATCTCTGTTGACGAGTGTGAGCATAAAATTAGAATACTATTTCTTCCAGATTACCTGTTCCAGGCACTGGGGAAACAAATGTTTTGAACATCTGTTGAGACATTCTCATGGGAAAGTTCCATCAAAACAACCAGGAATTGTGCAAGACTGCAATTCTGGGGACAGCTGTACATTAAGCAAGGGAATAGAGTGGATGACCTTCCAATTCTGTGGTTATATGCTACTCCTAGCATGATATTAAAAGAGTAACTTCCAACATGTTGTTTTCCTTGATGTAAAGAAAACTATGATGCCACATTCATTCATAGTACAAAGAGTGCTTGCAATTAAAACAGTTATTCTTTCTTTTTTAGTGATAGTAACGAACAATGTGCATATCTTGAGTCCCCAGTTCACAGATGGTTTGTTTAACGTATGCAACTCTCTTATGGGCCAGCAAAATAGAAGACGGGAGTTTGCCTTTATGCTACCATGACTCTTGAGTGTCTTAAAATCAGCAAGCAATTTTGCAGAGAACACAGTGTCTATGGCGCTGTGCATATTTGAAAAATTGGTAACACACCTGATCCCCTCTAAATATATATTTTCATATCACAAGTACTATCCCTTAATACAGATTTAATTTAGTCAGACTTCAAATTCTGTGTTGATGCGCCCTCTGCTGGCAGAATTAGGATCTTCGTTAGTTCTGAATAAATCACAACAGAGATTGTGATTTGTTCAGTTAAAAGCCTTTAGCTGCTGCCACTGTCCTGTTTAGAACCAATTTGTTGTAAGAATTAAAGGAATGTCTGTGAATTGGGGTCATGGCTTTTATCCCCAAAACATTAGGACAAGTACTGAGCAATATGATGACTAGCCAGCTTTCAGTGTTCTTCCATTTTGCGGTCTGCAGGGTAGACATCCAACTTGTTCATGCTTTCTTACAATGAGTCTTTTGTCTCTGTCATCCTCTAGCTAAAGAACACATTCGGCGTAACCGTCAAAGCCGCACCTTTATGGTTGAAAATGTCATAGGAGAGATCTGGTCCGAGTTGGAAGAAGGTAGTATCCTTTCCTGAGTCACCTTGGCCCTTGCTGCCTTTTGGTTAGACCTGTCAGCAGCAGCATCTGTGCAAAAATGTAGTTATATCATTTGACTCTAATACATGGCTTGTGATTCCTCTTATGTTAACAGGTGACCGTTACATAGTTGTTGATAGTGGAGGAGGGACAGTTGATGTTACAGTCCACCAGATAAGGTTACCTGAAGGACACTTAAAGGAACTCTACAAGGCAACAGGTGAAGCTGCATTCTTCACTCCTACTCATTGTAGAACATCTGCATTTAACCAGTAGAGGGCAGCACAGCAGGGCAGTGCTGCTCACTTGTGCTCTGGTGGGTCACATAGCTGCTGCTTACCAAACATACCAACAGGAGTGCCAGATTGGCTCTGCTGGTGTGTTTGCACCGTGTTGAACTCACCACTGCCTCGCCTCTCTACCTCCTGATAAGCAACCAACCGGAGGTTAGGTGAGTGGTGGTTCTGTATCATGCAGCCCACCACTGAATTTCATTGTTATTAAATGAAGTGATGGCAATGTTCACAGACATCTGTATGCTCTGTACCAAGGGAACTCTGATTCTGTACCAAGAACAAGCAGATTACGTTGTTGTTGTTACCATCACCGCCACCCACCCTTTACCGGCAGATTCTGAAGCACGTTACAGTAATCTAAAAATCAATGTTAAAAATAGTTAAAACAAATCACAGTCACAGGAATAGGGTGGGTCCTGAAAACACACATCTCAGGTGTCCAAAGCTAGCTGAAAACTGCATAGGGAAGGTGTCTGAGGGGAGGGATGTTCATAACTTAGGGGCTGCCACAAAGAATGCCCTTTCCCAGACCGTATGCACCAAACTTCTGAGGTTGGAAGAATGACCAAGAGGGCTTCCACTGCTATCAGAGAAGTCTTTTATGGAAGGAGCCAGTCTTTCAGGTGTTAAGTAAATTTACATTGGTTTCTTTTTATTTAACATGCTTCCCCCATCAGTTTTTCAGGAAAGGCAAAGAGCATTGGCAAACAAAGAGAGGAGGGAGGTTTTGAAATTTTAGGAGGAGTTGAAGCCAGAAGACAAGAAATGGGAACTTCAGGAAAGGGGGAAGAGATTATAAATAGTACATTAAACTTGTGTGCCTGGACCAGAATACATAGTACATTAGTTACATATTCGTGTCTTTAAGTGCGTACTCCATAGGAAGCTTCTCCACTTTGGAAGTTCATGGATTCCAAACAAACGAATAGGGTGTTTGAAATGATTGAACATGGCTGAGTTGGGTCTATTAATTTCAGTAGGTCTCCTCTGAGCAACAGTTGAATTCCACCCATGTATCTGAATTCTGCTTATGACATGCTCTTCCTGAGGATGCTTACGCAAGAATCACCTCCCTGAATTCAGAACTTAATCCCTACCAAGTGTGTTTAAGATTGCAGCTCCAAGTTTGCCTCAACTGCACACAGTATGTTTTTCTATGGCTTGATTTTCGAGTGCATATCGCAATGCCCATGCAATATTTAAAATATGTTGGTTGCATCATTCCTTAAGTGATATGTTTGATTAATGGCTCTAATTGTCTCTGATGCAGGTGGGCCGCATGGTTCCTTAGGGGTAGACTATGAATTTGAAAGACTCCTGTGTAAAATATTTGGAGAAGATTTTATTGAACAATTTAAGATCAAGCGACCTGCTGCCTGGGTTGATCTGATGATAGCATTTGAATCACGCAAAAGGGCGGCAGCACCAGATCGGACTAATCCACTCAACATCACCCTGCCTTTCTCGTTCATTGACTACTACAAGAAATTTCGAGGACACAGTGTGGAACACGCCTTAAGGAAAAGCAAGTAAGTACTTTTAAGTTAACAGAATCCAAAGAGATTCTTGTGTTCATTGCCACACATGCAAAAAAGGAATAATCAGTCCAAGTAAGACTGAAGAAAATAAATTCCTGGCAATATGTGAAGGAGATGGCATTTTATTGTATGAAATATACAAACTGCTTCATGGCCTGAGGCATCAAAGATAAAAATACAATCAAACAAACCCGAACAAATTCTACAATATCTCAGGATTCAACTTTCTTAAAACAAAAGCATCTTTGGTTGGCACCTGAACATCATGGTAGAAATAAAAAACTGACAGAAGGCAAACCAAAGCAGCCTTTTCTTCAGCATGGCTGGTCTCCCGCTTACTCTCCCATTACATGAAGGTGTTCTATTTATCATGGCCTTAGCTAATGTAAATAAAAAATCTCATTGGTTACATAGTGAGGATGTGACATTGGAATCCTTTCATTTCCAGCTGTTTGAAACATCTTGACTTAGTAACATTATTTTTGCTAATTGAGCAGCATTTCATTAAAAAGCATTTCTTTTAAAAGCAAACTTTCTTATCATGTCCTGTTTACAGTGTAGATTTTGTGAAGTGGTCATCACAAGGAATGCTGAGGATGAGTCCCGATGCAATGAATGCTCTTTTCAAGCCTACCATTGATGAAATCATACAACATCTCAGTAAGTATCAAGGGTGTGTTTGAATGTCTAAGGACTTTTAAAAGACCCACCAACATGAACAGACCTAACTTAGTCAATGGGGTTACTCTGAGGAGAACTAACATTGGTGGGAAAGAATGCCAAGTGAGTAGAACTTAGTTGGATACAACATTCTAGATCTGTAGAGCACCTAGCCTACTTTGATTCCTTCACAATGTCATTCTGTGAATCATATTGGATTCCTCTCATTCCATTTAGTGAGTTTTCCTGTCATTTGTCATTCTGTTCTCTTAATACCTGCAAAGGTATTACTGTTATTCTGACCATGTGGATTTCCCTCTCCACCAAGGTGATTTGTTTGAAAAGCCAGAAGTAACTAATGTGAAGTTCCTCTTCCTGGTGGGCGGATTTGCTGAAGCTCCGCTACTACAGCAAGCTATCCAGAATGCTTTCGGCTCCAAATGCCGAATCATTATTCCTCAGGATGTGGGGCTCACAATCCTCAAAGGAGCAGTCTTATTTGGTCTGGATCCTGCTGTCATTAAAGTGCGCCGCTCTCCCCTGACCTACGGGGTAGGAGTCCTGAATCGTTACGTGGAGGGCAAGCACCCTGCAGAAAAGCTGCTAGTGAAAGATGGCACCCGCTGGTGCACGGATGTCTTTGACAAATTTATTTCTGCTGACCAGTCAGTGGCTCTTGGGGAGACTGTGTCGCGCAGCTATACACCTGCCAAGCCTTCACAGCTGGTCATCGTGATCAACATCTACAGTTCGGAACATGACCACGTCAGTTTCATTACTGAGCCAGGGGTGAAGAAGTGTGGCACTCTGCGCCTGGATCTCACAGGAACTGATACGTCCGCGCCAAGCAGGAGGGAGATCAAAACACTAATGCAATTTGGGGACACTGAGATCAAAGCCATGGCAATTGACGTTGCCACTTCTAAAAGTGTCAAAGCTGGTATTGATTTCCTAAACTACTAATGCTCCTCCCCTGCCCACCACCCATTAGTTCAACACTCTGTTCTCTCATTTTTCATGCGTCACCAAAATGGACTTGCATTTCAGCCAGATGGAAAAAGGAGAGAACCATTAGAAAGGAAACGTCAGGCATTTTTGTTGTCGTTGTTCTCAAAATTATCTGTTCAGGAATCCGAAATTTACATGGTTATCAGGTGCTAAACATGAAACGGAATAATCCAAAATGGCTAAATGCATTGTGAGAATTAGTCGTTGAAATATCACTGCCCTCTTGATTGGGAAAACAAATAGTTTTACTGGAAGTATTCCACATGTGCTGTATTTGGGGCCCCAAATGTCAAAGCTCATATTCATGGTCCTACATTGAAGACCCTAATGCAGCAAATGGCAAGCTGTCTCACTGACACCAACAAGTGCTTCGGACAGCAGGAGGTCATCACTGCAGCCCTAAGTTAAAGTGGTCCTCTCAAGTGCTGCTGTTAATTGTCAGTGGAGATTTATAGGTCTTTAGCAGTTTTAAAACCAGACCTCTCTTATTTATATGCTTTAATACGAGTGCTAGAGGTGAAGTATCTAGCCTTTCTTTGTAAAATATGAAAAAACAGCACTTACCACCCAGGCAAAGTACATTTACTTGTTGGGGATATATGATGACTGCTTCTGGTGGCTTTTGCTTCTGTTTTAGCAAACTTCCAAGCCACAAAGCAGATTTGTTAAGGCTGCAGCCCATTTAAAGGAATCAATTAAATTTGCAAAACATTCACTAAGTATTGCAAGGAGCATACATTTCAAATTAGCAGATATGATACACAGTCTCATCTTAGGACAGGCACATCCTTTTTAGGTGAAGGGAAAAAGGATGATGTTTGCCACCTGCAGTTTGTATAAGTAGTTTGTATAAATACACATTGTATTTAAAACAATGTGTTGGATCCAGACTTTGTGATCTCTAGAGCAGACCCACTGAAATCAATGGCACAGGCTAATTGATCAAGTGCAGTGATTCCAGTGGATCTACCCCAAGTGTTAATCTAACCTGATTAATCCAGGAATAGGGGAACCTGTAGCCCTCCAGTCTCCACCAGTCCCAGTCAGATCACCAATGGTCAGAGATGATGAGAGTTACAGTCCAACAACATCTGAATGCTCTCCCTGGATTAGCCATTAACATTGCAGCCCAAGTATTTGAGTATTTCTTCTTTTTTGTTCATTGGAAAGAGAAGTTTTTTTAAAAGTCTCCCTTCTCAACAGTTTTTACAAATTTAAGAATTCCCACCTCACATTTTACTTTGGGACTTTATGTGGTAGGTAGGGATTTTTATTTTTTTTATTTTTATTTTTTAAAAAAACATACTTCCAGCTAGCTGTTGGGCAGACCTAATGCAAAAGAAATGAAGGGGTATGGTGGCAGTAGCTGCCCAGAAAGCACCTCTATTCTCAGGTTGGAGAAAGCAAGGAGCCATTTTCACTCTCTCTCTCATACTTGTTAAGAAACAGGAAATATATACTGTGTTGGTCCTAGAAAGTGAGATCCAGTAAAAGAAAAGGGATACCAGTAAAAGAAAAGGGCCAACTTATTTCACCTGTTCATGAAAGAACTATATAAAATGCTTATTGTTATTTAGAATGATTCATCAGGAAAAAAGAAAACAGGTTGTTATATCCACAACTCTACAGAGAGTAGTTAGTTACTGTACCTGTCATTCATTTGCGTCCAAAATACCGTATTTTTTGCTCTATAAGACTCACTTTTTCCCTCCTAAAAAGTAAGGGGAAATGTGTGTGCATCTTATGGAGCAAATGCAGGCTGCGCAGCTATCCCAGAAGCCAGAGCAGGAAGAGGGATTGCTGCTTTCACTGCGCAGCAATCCCTCTTGCTGTTCTGGCTTCTGAGATTCAGAATATTTTTTTTCTTGTTTTTCTCCTCCAAAAACTAGGTGTGTCTTGTGGTCTGGTGCGTCTTATAGAGCGAAAAATACGGTACTTGCTTTCCCATTCTCTTCCATTGATGTAACTGTATACCCAGCCCTGAAAAACATAAGCAATGAAGTGGGCCATTTCCAGCTTTCCTCCTCACCAGCTTCTGTGATAAAGTACATCCGGAAGAAGCTTAAAATCTATTGGGGGGGGGGAGGAATTGCCAGGAGATACTGTACATATTGGCAGGACAGCTGTATTGCATTTGGCCTGCAGAGGGAGCATGAACACTCTTTCTCCAAGAAATGAGAGACTCTCCTGCCCCTGCTCCCACACAACCTAAGAAAGGAACAAGGCACATATCATGAGCACTGCCAGCTTCAAAACTCTCAAAAGCTTTAGGCAACAAACTAGATCCCTTCCCGGTGTGAATTAGAGCAGCTGAACATAAGAAATCCCCCCAACACAGAAGTTGCTTTAAACTGTGGTGTGATGTGGCAGTTTTGCCATTACTACATACCAAATGTGATTAGAGGTGGCTTGGGGAAAATATGTTTCTCTGTGCTGCAGGTCCTTCAAGACTGGCAATTTGCAGCGTGGAGGCAGCTTCCATGCCATGCAGTCTAAAGCCACAATGCAGGGCTTTTGATATGTAGTCACTTCCAGATAGACTGGATTTGCAGCCAGACACCCTCAACACCGATGGAGAAGGTCAGCCATGTTTCCCCGCCCACAACATTTTGAAAACGCATTGTGATCCACTGAACCCCAGTCATGCATCCAACGCACCAGAACGTTAACCGTAATTGTGTAGTTACACCCTTTTCCAGTTAGCTATGCATGAGTGAAAAGCCATAGACCCTTTTTACTTTTAAAAATGTAAGATTATTGATCAGGCACTTATATTTTAGGGGCCATTGTGCAAATGCTTAAAAATTCAGTGAAGAATTTTAAAGGGGCCCCATTTGCATTATATCCATTATATAATTCCCTGATAGAATGTGAATAAGCTTTGCTGAATTAGCCATCACAGGAATGGACTGGATAATTCTAGTCACAGTATCTAGCTTGCTGTTCCTTAAATAATTATTCTACTGAATAATTAGAAAGTGTGCATGCTGGCTTTCCTTTGTTTTCATCCTGTCTGCTGTGTTTTAAAGGCAAACGTTTTGTTTTTCTGTATGTGTAAGTGTGTGTGGCCTTCCATGGTTTACAAATAAGCAACTCCTTTGGGTGAGCTATGAACAATATTACGTGATGTATATACAATATTTAAATATTGTACAGATGCTTTCTTTCTAAAGTGCTATTTTCTTGTACAGAGTGCTCTTTACCTCTGTTGATTTGCATTCAGTGGTTAATTTTAAATAACATAGTTTCACAGTCTGCTTCAGTAATTATAGGCTTTTAAAGATGGTGAGATATGAAATGCACAACGATGATCTTGTAATAACAGGAGGGGAGCATGAAGAGTGTCAGACAATCCCACACTCTTCTTGCTATGCAAAGAATAGCATACAGAAACACCTTTGGGTTTTGAATTCTTTTTAACAGCCCCAGTTCCATTTGAAGTACCGTAATGCATAGGAATGACAATGGTTAAAGTCCTTTTGTACATCAGGTCTTCTTCTCCTACCTGAAAACTAGGTGATCATTTGGGGCGTTTATTACCCCAAATGATCTCCAGTTTCAAACCGTATGCTTTATTTCAATGATATCTCTTTATTCCTAGATTCAGGCTAAACACAGACCACCAGCCACATATGGAGAGTGCAGCTTGCTGCCTGCCAGGTACTCTAAAAAAAATAGAGGGATTCTCAAGTACCAGAATGGCCACAAAACATGGCCGGTTCATTGCATTTGACTTGGTGATTTGCCAGCCGTGCAGGCCCCTACTAGACTAGAACAGAATGCATATGTCGTCATAAGCTAGAACACCAGGGGTGGCAAGCTGGAATGGCAAAAGATTGCTTGATATTAATTGTGTTGGACTCCTTTCGGTCTTCTACATCTTCTGATAGGCAATTGCTGCCTGGAAGATACAACACAAGATCATCTTGCATGACTGCTTCCTTGCTTTGTGACATGGCTCTTCCCAGAATCCCAGTTGTCTTGGAAGAGCATTGTTTCAAGTTTTTGCATCTTTGACATGCAGTCAAAGGAGCAGGGGCCTGGTATAACCAAGCACCTGCCAGGGCCAAGGATCCCACCACCAGTCTTTCAAGCCCTGCTACATTGCTTCCTTTTGCAGCTTGTCCCTGTTCACCTGCCTTCTCTGAGTGAGCAATAAGCAAAAGAGCAGTAACCCAACACCTTATTGTCTCCGGCTGGGAGGTGCTGCACTGGGAAGAGATTTCATTCCGCAGGGACTCCTGCAAAATCCTTACCAAACACTATTAAGTCCCCACTGCTGGAAACTGCCAAGGTGGCAAGAAGGATCCAAAAAGGACATAGATAAATTGATCTCTGGTAGTGAGAATCTCCTACCATTATTTCAGCCATTATTTCTGTAACTGTCAGTCATTTCTGATCCTTTACAGCAGCAGAATGCTATCTTTATATTCTTGCTCATTTTCTCCTTTCCATAACTGAGATAGTCTCATTTGCTTCTTTTCTCCCAGTCACAAAACATGATTAGATGGCCAGTCCTCAGATTACATTATATATTTAAGTTGACAAATCAGCTCTTAAAATGTTAAACTCCCTTTTCATCACACAGACAAATTTTAAATGTGGAATTCTTCAGTTTTCTAGCATACGTTCAAGAAAATGTTCTCACTACATTGTCTTTAGCCATTGCATCTATATATTTTTAAATATGGGATGTTTCCCTAATACATTGTTATTAGAAGCATGATTCCACTTTCTGTATGGAACACTACAAAGTGTACTATAAAACCTCTTACGCTTTCTCTTCTGTGAACAAAAGTATGTAAAAAAATTATGTGTATTAGCATATCTGCATCAGTAGCACATTTGAATGTCTTATCAAAATAGCTGTCATTCCAGGTTAAAAGTGCTATAAACCTGCAATCCTGAGATTTCGGTCTATAAATTATCCACAAAATTATCATACCAAACTTTTTAAGTTTTCCATCCTGTTCCCTAAACTTCTACAGGGATATTATTTCACTTGGATAGTAAGATAATTATATTGATCTTGGTGAGCTAAATTTTGCATAGCAATACAGCAGTTTACAAGAAAGAACTTTCGGATGGAGGTATGTGAGTGATCTGATTAATTCCCCTGATGTAATTTCCTCAGTGTGCTTGCAGCCAATGAAGGGAGGTAACTCGTGGATGGCAGCAGCTCCTTAGAAATACATCATGCAGCAAACTAACCTCTTAAGGCTGTATTCTTGCCCATCTGAATCCCTCTGAAGTACATGAAACTAAGGCAACTGCAAATACGTTGGCTGAAGTACTGTATGGGCTACTGAACTGGCTGTTATGTGTACTGAATATTTAAATATAATCAGACTTCAGTAACTAGTTTTTAAAACTCTGCTATAGCACTGTTGCTATTATTGTGAGATTTATAATTTTTAAAAAAGCTTATTTCCCCCACCCCATCTTCATCAGCCCCCCAAAAGCGGTATAATTTTGCTGGGCATGCTCTCTGCCACTTAGAATCCATCCCTATTCTCCCAAATTATAGCAAATTAGGTTTGGTGTCTAAGGGAACCTTTTAGAAATAGAATGTGATGCTATACCTATAGGCTTTTGTATGAGCCCTATGCTAAATTTAAAGGAAGTGGCACATGAATGTTCACTTGTAAGTACCGTAGAAACTGGTAAAGTGATAGATGTTTGCCAGATGAGAGTAAGAAACACAATTTTCCATGTGTTTTCTGCTGCAGGGTTGGTTGATTGTTGTTTACAGATCTTGATCAATAGAAATTTAAGGGAAAGGTTCTGCTCTGTGCCAAATTACAGAGACCCAAACTTTTACCCTGACAGCAAAACTTGCTTTGCTTTCTGTGGAAGTTTCCATCTGAACCCAATCATGGAAAACTAAAGCAACTTACCATAAACCTGGACATTAAAAATGATGGCAGAGTTTATAAAATACTGTGAGTTGGATGTGGATTAAGTTGAATTTAGTTCCCATTGAAATAAGCGACATGATTTAAGTCATGACAAATGTTTCATATTGATTTCAAAAGGAACTAAATTCAACTAAGTGCAGTACTATACATGTTTACTCAGAAGTAGGCCCTGTTGAGTTGCCAGGTAAGTTGGTATAGGATTGTCTTAAACTGGATCCATCCCAGTGCTATTAAAGAAACCTCAACCAATGCTCTAAGCACCTTGCAGTAATCCAAATAAACAAGCATTGAAATATATTATTAAAAGATGTAATTTTCTTGCAGTGATGTAACGGCAGTAGCAAAACTGCATTATTTACACACTTTAAAATCCACAGCACATTGTGTAAAGGTTGTTGGGCATAATGCTACAATATTCATCTCTGCTTTGATAATTCATCAAATATATTGTAAAAAAATAAATAAACATCCGATCATTGTAATCTCATTCAATTTCTTCCCTGTGCAAGACTACAAACCTCACTTAAAGTCCTGGAGCAGATCACAGCTTTTCACTGTTGCATCTTCTGAGTACTGTGCTCTTCAAAATGTGTCAAATAAAACACAGTAAACTGTGAGGGAAGATGTCTTCTGCTGATTATTTATGGCTCCTGTGTTAAAAGTTATTTCTAACATGATGCACCATCCAGCAGAAAGGAAGGCCTCTTGTACAGATGATCCTAGTCCTGTGCATTGCAGCTACGCTCCGGAAGCCTCTCTGTTCCCTGCACGTGTTGTAAAGGTCGTGTGGATGAGGTCACAATGCCATGGGAGGGACGGGGCACTGTAGCTTGACCTCTCTTGTAAAGGGTCGCAAGGAAGCAGCCAGCTTGGGGGATGGTATTGCTCGCAGAGCTTGTCATGGTAAAAGGCCCAGTCCCGGCTTCCTGAGCGAATTGTTCGTTTGGGGGATCTCTCCTGTACAGGTCAGCCTTTCCAGGGCTGCTGCATTTTCTTCTCTTTCTTGTCAGTAGCTGACCATTGTTTGCTGCCTCTCTCGCTACACCCTTTGTCTTTAGCCCTCATGCGTCTGCATTTGTTATTGCCAATCTCAATACTGTTATTCTCACCTCCCCCCCCTTCCTATCTCCTTTGTGCTCTGAGGACATGAAACATTGCAGCAGCAGAAGCCAATGGCGCTAGTAAGGTAACACAGGGCTGCTGGATCCTTTCTGCAGGATGTGTGCCTGTGGCAGCCAGGAACATAAATAGCTTTTTAAAGGATTACACAATTTCATTGCTATCGCTATCCACAGCATAGGAACAGCCTATCAAATCCCCAAATGAAACCTTCATGTTCAGAGGCACTGTATCCCTGAGCACCAAATACTGGGGAGAAACCAGAAGGCAAGCTTGGGTCTAACTCGCAGCTTGTGAGCTTCCCAGAGGCTGGCTGCTGTTTGGAACAGAATAATAGGCCCTTGTTCTCATTTGGAGGGGTTTTGTTCCTCCATGAATTTTTCAGGCTTTCCTGACCAAGCAATGCAGCAATCCCAACAAGCCCCATTGAACTCCGTATTCTTACTGATTGGGCAAGTGCAGGATAACTAGAGTTGCACAGGAAATGAAGTCTAAAGAGTTTTGAGTCTGCTTGGATGACTTGCTGGCCATAGTTTGTTCGTATGCAGAGAGGGGATGGTTCTTTCCTAATGTTTTAACACAGAGAAATGGATGACTGCTCATAGCAGGGGTGGCTCCCTTGTGGTCCTCTAGCTGCTGCCAAGTTATAGTTTCCACCAGCCCCAGGCAGCATGGCTGATGGGTAGGTCTGGGAACTGTACTTCTGCAACCTCTGACTTAAAGGTTCTGACAACCTGAAACACCAATATGTTTTGATTGGGATAATTCTTAGATTCAGTTGAAAGTCTTAACTTTCTTTCATCAGAGTTTGAAAAAGCATGGAACCATTTCAGCGACAAGTAGATGAGTGCAACCCTTTGATACCAGGATATACAGGTAAAAAAACTGAGAGTCTTGGCCTGAGCTTTGTTCCCATTTCTCAGCTGATAACTTGGCAGAGAGCAAAATAACATGCTAAAAGGGGCAGCCAAATAATCATAGCTTTTCACATCGGCTCCCACTTTGTTTTGATGCACTTTGTACTCAATATGGCAGTAATAAACAGGATTATGATTTTAGTAGCCTGTTAAAGCTATCTATTTGCTATTGTATGCTGTGAGGCAGGCACAGGCAACCTTCGGCCCTCCAGATGTTTTGGACTACAGTTCCCATCATCCCTGACCACTGGTCCTGTTAGCTAGGGATCATGGGAGTTGTAGGCCAAAACATCTGTAGGGCCAAATGTTGCCTATGCCTGCAGTGAGGATTGACCCAGCACCCTAGTTTTGCCTGATGAATGAGGGAAAACACCTTTCAATCTCAGGCTCTCTCCCAAGGGGTGGGAAGCTTATGCGCCTCACGTCTACAAGTTGCTGGGCTACAACTTCCATCATCCCTGAGCACTGACTTACATCACTAGCAGAGTGATAGGATGAGCCTCGAATGCAGAACAACAGTATTATTGGTGAAGAGTAATACTGTACAGTACACAATACTATCTAAATCAGTCCCTTCATAAGGCTGCTAAGTCTAGAGTCTACAACTACCTAACTGCGCCACAGATTTCACGCTCCGCTCCTTACACTGTACTGAGACACCAAAACACAAGCACATACCTAGCTCTCTTTCTGAAGATCTGGATAGCAATTTTATACTGGCAAATTAGGCTCTCTTCTGCACTCAGTATTTTTTAGAGTGTGTTACCTGCAGAGTGTGTGTGTGTGTGTGTGTGTGTGAGAGAGAGAGAGAGAGAGAGAGAGAGAGAGAGAGAGAGAAGTATGTTGCTGCAGAAATGCCTCTGAGTGATAATGAGAACTAGAATGTTGTTATGAATTCTCTGAATTCTCAGGGTACAACTTGGAGGGTGGTGGTAGTACTTTGATTCCATAACTATTTTATTGAAAATTCTTACTATGAATTCTGCTGAGTTACCTTATATGACTGACATTATACAATACCTTAAATAAAAAAAAACAGAAAGCATAACTAAATAAAATAGGCAGCTACAGTGGGCACACCTGCAAAATCTTGCTAATACATGCTCTATTCTAACATACTTTATTGTCTACAAATGACACTGGCTGTTTTGGCAAACTAAATGTTGAGACTCAGACACCTGCTAAATTTCTAGTTGCTTGGGTATAAATCTCAGTGGTTGGTAGTGTGACAGTAGGCTTTGAAATGCTAGGAAGGTGATGGAAGGCTGATGTTCACTTTCTTGTGAAGAATTCCAACACTCATCCCTACCCTCTGACTAAAAGCCTGGGAATCAAAAGCACCCAGGTTTGCAGGCATCAGACACTAAATCAGTATGCACGGCAGCTGCAAAACTTTGTGTCTGGAAACACCCAAATTTCATGTTGTGCAAATTAATCAAATGGCAACAAATGTCACAGTGACAAGCTGGCGATGGGCAGGTAAGGATGATCACTCTGAAAAGGGCTGGAGCTGAAAGCCCACGTATATGACCCGCCAGGTCATCCTTTTGACGCATTTACTATGAATGCAACAGAATGTTAAGTTGGCTCCCACCATGGACTGTACGAAGCCTGTATACACAAATAATGAGTAAACAGTGGGATTATCCTTATGATAGTCCTGGGGCTGCAGACACACACAAGAAGTTTTGTTGAAGGAAAGCCTAGACTAGTCCGCTGATGGCTTCTTCATGATGCTTGTGAACTTCTGTTGCCCTTTCCAGGCTACATCCCTTATAGATTCTACCGAATTGGAACTAGCTTCGGAAACGATTCTGTGTGGTGTGTGAATGCGTTTCGTGAGGCTACTCAGAGAAAATGTGACCAAATGGAAGAACTGAGGCTCACAGCGGCTACAGCACCCCAGCTGCCACCTCTTTGCTCGAATGAAGAAATAATAAACGTACTTGATGACTATAATAGCAAACACCATCCAAATGTGCTGGGTATAGTATACCTCATTTCTAATTAATTTGGGCTTAGGATTCCTAAAATACCTTCTCTCCCTTCATATCCCCAGCTCATCCGTGTTCTCTGCAGGAGAGGGCATACTGCAGGTATTGTCTTGCCAGGAGGCCTGTTCCACTATGATACAGTTACTGGAGATGCAGCTCTTGACCCCAAGTTTCTGCAGAGTAGCAGAGTCCATGTTGTTTTCACATCCACCCCATACCTTTAAAGAACATTCTTTTCCCCAAAGAATCCTCAAAACTGTAGTTGACCCGTTACAGCTACAATTCCCAGTGCCCTTAACAAACTACAGTTCCTAGGATTCTTTGAAGGGGAGCCATGCACTTTGAATGTGCTGTAAGCATATGGTGTGGAGAGGAGGTGGGTCAGAGACAAGCTACCACTCTAGAAAACTCATTGCACGTAGCACCCTTAGAGTCACCGTCATATGTGGCAGGCTTGAATATTTAAGGCGAGACTCAGAGGGGTGGGGGGTGGTTGCTGCAAGCTTGGTGACTGGTTTGCTAGACTGAGTTAAAGTGTATGGTTCCCATTCAAGAGGAAGCCTCCTTTTTTCATGATGCTTGCCCTCTGAGGAGATACAGGGTTACAAAGGGAGCAGATGTCATGTTAGCAGTGAGCTAGCTTAGGGCATGCAACTGAACGGGGGGGGGGGGGAGGAAGAAAAAGAAGCTTGGCTTGGCTTGGCATGTTATGTACGCATTGCAGATCTACAGATGAAATTTAGTTCCAAATGAAACCTTCCACCCACCCTGATAAGCATATCTATCCACCATGTTTGCCTGCTTCAACATTTACACGAACAGGCTCTGTTCAAGGTGCTGTACAAGGCGCTGTGCAGTTTGGGACCAGGATTCCTAAAATACCTTCTCCCCCTTCATATTCCCAGCTGATCTGTGTTCTCTGCAGGAGAGGGCATCCTGCAGGCATTGTCTTGCCAGGAGGCCTGTGCCATACAAAGTTGGTCTGTTCCACACCTACTTTCTGGAAGTCTCACTGGCTACATATGAGACAGGTGCCATCTCTTCCATCTTCTTGTCTGTTGAAAACTTTCACCTTTAACAAGCCTTCTAAGTCAAGAACTTTTTTATCCTAGTCTGCATCTGTATTGGATATGAAATTGTATTTATATATTTAACTTTAAAAAACCCCACAAATACACACATACACAGGTCTTGTGAAATTGCTTCACAATTCTTCATAAGAAATGCTTCATGACTGAAATTAATTAATTAATAACAACAGACCCAGGGCATCATCTTTAGCCCTAACCTGAAGCATGAGCACCACCTTTAATGCTTTAGCGATTCCATCTCTGTCTCTTAAAAGAAACCCGCAAACTGGTGGTTGTGCCACTGATGTAACCTGACCTTAGATCAGGGCATGTTCCACTTGTGGCTATACCACTGTACTGTTTTGTTCCTGGGCCTGACTAGCCCACATCCAGGTCTTGAAACAAACTTTCCTTCTTGACTCTGTTTCCTAACTCCCTCCAGTGTGGTGTAACAGAGATAAGTCTGAGCTTTCAGCTTTCTGCCATAGGACAGATTTCCATCTTCATTCCTGTAACTTGGTAAGTTGATTGAACAGTGGAGTAAAAGTTCTGTTGGATGTGAGTCATTGCACACACAAAAAGCTGTCTGTGAATGTTTTCTCTTCTTTTCTTTTTAACAGAATGTGGAAACTTTTAGGCAGTTTTTCATTTTCTTTTAAAGCAAAACACTGACCTTTGTTCCTCTGCTGTCGTGCACAGATGACAAATTCTAGTATCAAAAGCATTTTTGCTTTGCCATAGGGGGAGCTCCCGGCAGTGATCCACATGTGGCCTGAACATGGGAAGGCAGAGGAGATCTTAAGTCTGTTTTGATGAATTGTGGTGGTTAAGGGGGTAATGACGGTTCCCTCTTTGAGAAAAGTACCAGTCACTTTCTCCAGGTCTTTTGAGAGAAACTCTATCTTTGCAACTAGCAGCACTAAACCATGACAAAGGGCTCTAATAGCTTTGTTATTACAGATGAAGAGCAACAGAAATTGCTTTCTGTCCTGAGTTTTTTATCTACAGCTACATGGACCTGCTCCATGACCTCTAAAGCTCAGCTGGAGAAATAGAAAGGAAGCAACGTGCATTTTGAGTTATTTCTTCCGAAAGGGAGGCTTCAGACTTGTAGAAACCTAATATGCAAGTACCATAAGACTTGCAAAAAAATATTGCAGTGCGATTTACTTCCATTCAGGATGTTCCATTCCATTCACCTTCTTATCTGCTTTTCTGTCTCCCCACATCAACCACAACAGTTGGTCAGCTATCCATGGCCACTGAGTCTTCATTGGGCTGTTTGGAGTCCCCCCCAAATTATGTTTGTACTTTTGCAAAATTTGGTCCTTCAAAGCCTCCTGATACCTTCCTGTTGTACATGGGTCATGGTATTTTGGCTGTGCTTGAATAATTTAGATTGCTATTAGTATATATGATTATCTAGCAAATTTGCCATAACACAGACTGATACCCATGGTTTTACTTACTACCTAGCACAGTGGAATTTGCTATAGGCTCTACTCTTGCTGGAGTGCAGCCAGCACTGGGTGCCTCTACATACTGTAAATGGAGAACTAACAGTGCTTGCAACTTCTAGCTTTGAACCTTCCTTAGGACTTCTTCAGTGGTCTTCTCTCAGGATATTCGGATTCTTGATCCAGCCCATGAATTATATAGAACTGTTATTTCTCTTTCTCACTGATGGGAATTGTATACAGCTCTTTCCCACTTAGACCCTTTCTCTTGAAACTGGAATGTTTTAAAGAGCACCTGTCTTTCTTCCTGTAGTAAATTCTTTGCAATGGTTGGCTGAGTATGCGATGGTGGAGTAATACAAGGTTTCACAGATTTCAGGCTTGTCAGATCTACTTCATGTTTTCGTAGAACCCCAAGATCTACCAACCAGATTCAGGCGAAAAAGACTTGGTGCAAGTTAAAGAACATTGCTAATGCAATGGACCTCATTTGTGTCATTCTCCTCACTCTATGTAGGGTTATTTTTAGCCTCTGTAAGCTTTCAATTAATGCCCCATTTCATCACTTTGTATTTGGTCTTTGGTAAGCTCTACATAATTGCATACAGAGTTGTGTGAGCTTGTGTTTCTTTATTTATCTGTATTCCTTTGTGTTGTGTTTTGCCCATTTCATCACTTTGCAGGGCCTGTGGAAACAAAAAGGAGTCTACTTGAGCCACCTATTCCAGGCTGGACTGGCTTTGTGCCCAGGTCTAAGGTTACAGAGTTTGGTCACGGAGCTCGCTACCATGTGATGGCAGAAAATTGCTATCGAGATTTTCAGAACTCCTTGGACAGAGCCAAACAGGATCCTGCTACCAAGGAATCCATGTATGTTGGCATAAAGATCTTTCACTGGGCTGGGCTGCAGCCGAGAAATCATGTGGATATAATGTTACATAATGTTACTCATTCATCTATTCTCAACTATTGTGTTATTTTTATATCTTTTCCTCCTATTATTAAACACCTTGATCATTTTGCATGAGCAGCTGTTAGCATGATAAGACAAGATCTTTGTCGCTGTGAATCCTACAAGACCTGTCTCTCAGGATGATGAGAAACTATCAGGGTGGAAATAGTTTAGGGGTTTTTGTTGGTTATATTTGTGGTTATATTTTTGTAATTATGAATAACTTTTGATGTTGTGAGTCATGAGTCACCTTGAACATGGCTTAACTAGTATGGAAATAAATGATGATGGGTGAAAACATAGAAAATCTTGGATATAAATTTCAAATGTCAGGATTGGGGACACTTCAAGTATGGTTGGACTCCAACTCCCATCACCCTTAGCCAGCATGGCCAATGGTCAGGGATGATGGGAACTGTAGTCCAACAGTATCTGGAAGACCACAGGTTCCTCATCCTTGTTCCAGTATAATCCACCATAGGTGTATTAAAACAAACAAACAAACAAACAAACAAACAAACAAACAAACATTGTGAATGTAAGGTGGCAAAAGCTTCCCATGTCAAAATGGTGCCAGGCTGACCCTTATGTCATGATGCTTCATTGGTACCAAGGATTGGAGGGAAGAAGTTTGTTTTAGATCCAGACACACACTGCTTGCTGCTGTTGTTCCCCTATAAAACATCAATGTCAGGCAGAAAATCCAAATGGAATGCATTTACTCTGCCTCTATGGAGCAGGAAGCAAGAAATCCAAACTCCATTGGCTACCAAATCCAGCCAATGAATTGCGGACTTGCATACCATCCAATATTTCTCTGATGAAAATAGTGACGTGCCATTCCATAATGATAATTTTACTATTTATACCCCATACATCTTATTGGGTTGTCCCAGCCACTCTGGGCAGCTTCCAACATATATAAAAACATAATAAAACATTAAACATTAAAAAAAAAACTTACCTATACAGGATTGTCTTCACATTGGTGGGGGTTGGGTAACTCCATACCTTCCAACATTTCTCCAGTGAAAATAGGGACATCCTAAGGAAAAGTCATCGTCGTCATCATCATTTTATTTGTATGCCGCCTTAAAAACAATGCTCAAGGTGGCTTACAACATGACAAGATTTACATAATTACAAAAGTCATAAACAATAAATAAAACACATAAAAAAAAATACACAACCAAATGGAAAACAGTTTCCACATAAATCAAAATCTAAAACTATGAATACAGCATTAATATCACAGTTTAAAATGACATAGGTAAAAAATAACAGCAATTTAAAACAAACAAACAAAACCCCAAAATGGAGCCCTCTCTGCCCAGCAGCAGCGGCAGCAGTACTTTATGGAGCCCGTCAGGCCCCACCCTAGGCCATATGGTGAGTGGCAGGACTGGGGCCCCCAGGCGCTCAGCAGGGGAGTCCTCCTGGGTAGCAGCAGCAGCAGCAGCAGCAGTTCTTATATGGCCAAAAGTGGGACATTCCAGGATCAAATCAGAAACCAGGATGGCTTCTCTAAATCAGGGATGCCCCTGGAAAATAGGAACACTTAGAGGGTCTGGACTTGCTTTGCCATATGAAAACCAGAGACATTCTGCCTTCCCAGAAGCATTTGATAAGACTATCACATGCACTGTTTCAGTCATATGCAAAGCTGCACATAATATGTTGATACAGTCAAGAAAGTTGGAGAATGGCAAGCACCAAAACATCATTTATTTTATTTATTTTGTAGGAAAGAGATCCCTGCAACCAAACTCAAAGAATCACGCCCATACCAGAGATTCTACAGGCCGGAAGGGATGATGCCTAAGTATACTGGGCATATTCCACGTAAGGCTTTAGGATTGTATTATTTGAAACTAGCCACTTACTATGGGCCTGTTCACAAGGCCATGTTCACCTGTCTCAACTTTTGGAGAAGAAGAGAGTCAGCACCAAAAAAAAGCTGGTGCTTAGTGATGAGAGGGGTATTGCTCGATTTGTTTTGGTCCTCAGAGAAAAAGGTTCTTTATGTGCCTTGCTTGGGCATGTGAGTTAAAATAACTCAGTCAAAGGTTATCATGCTTTCTACTATATCTTCATTGAGTTGATTGAACAGGTGTTCTGAAGCAGGGCACACAAGAGCCCCTTTGCCTCCAAGGAAGACTGTTTTAGTCTTGTAGAAGTCAGTTGGCCCATATCCTGTTATACTGGGCCCACCATCTGTTGCTGATACTACACCACACTTTGACCACTATGATCAGCAGAGTATGCACAGCTCCAGCAAAGCCATCTAGCAGAACATCGGTGTCTTCCTGCTTTCCAGCCTTTTCCAGAGTTCCTGGTTAAGAAAACTCCTTTCCTACACAGTTCAGTTCAAAGTATAAAATGTTTATTGCCTCATGATTCCTGTGTGTGTGCACATGGGTTGTGCCCCCTCAAAATTGTGCACCCACGGTTATGGGCCCTGCTGCCTCCCACATTATCTCCCTGCAAGTACTCACCCTATGGATGGGAGCCCACCCATAAACTGCAATGAGCATTTAGACCCCTTGACTGTACTTGTCACATGGCTTTAGGCATTGAAATAGGCCTTTTTGTCTTGTAGATGAACGTTCTGGCATCGGAAAGACCTTTGGTAATGTGAGCAGAAGCTGTTCTGTCTGCAATCACCCGGAAGTGAGCTATGGCATTTATCTTGATAAGAAACGGAAGGCTGTAAAGTTTCAAGAACCGATCAAGGAAGAAAAGATCCCCTTAACTGCAGCAAACAATTAAAAATATACAGAAATATCTGAGATTATATGTGAATAATCCTATCATGTTGTTTGTTTAACCACTTGGTATGAAATAACATTATTTACATTTTAAAATATCAAGTTGTTAGACAGATGATTATGGTTTTGAAACTGACCCTTTAAAAATCTACACCAGTATTTCTGCCTAGAGCACACCTGGATCACAGCTGCTGCAGCATCAGTTACTGCTCTAGCTGTTGACTTCACACCCTATATCTTATATATTTGAGCTGGCACAGAGATCTTGAGACTGTGTGGAAGGTCATTCAGATGCTAAGATGCATAGTTTAAAAACTCTTTGAACTAAAACATAGTAAGACTTTCAACTAGTTTCCTATCCTGGTATTGCCATGCATCTGTCAGCTTCCCATAGTATGATAGCCTGTCCAGATGTGGGTGACGACTCAAGCCATGAGCTGCACATCTCCTGGCTCGGTGCCACCATGGAGTTTGCCTGGTTTGACCTTTGCATCTGGAAGTGACATCAGTCACAGCTGTAGGTAGACTGCAGACTGAGCCAAAAAAGGAGTAGACAGTTTGCCTTACTGCTGCCTACAAAGGAGACTGAAAGGATCATAAGGCAGAGGACTGACTGAGTGACAGGATGCATCCTTCACAGGTTGACAGAAGTGGTGATTCAGGCCAGTTCAGTGGCCCACCACAAATATGTAAAGGGAGGGCTGTAGTTTATTTAGAGCATTTGTACCCCACTCTTCAGCCAAAAAGTCACCTAGAGTGGCTAACATACAATCAGTTAGAACAAAACAATCCCTGCCTGCAGATTTATAATCTTTCTCTATATAAAGAAAAGTGACACACAAGGAGAAAAGAACAGGGAGGGAAGATGAAAAAATAAAACCCAGGCACCAATTCTTAAGCAGGTGTTCTTTTAATGAGCAGCTGGCACAGTTCAGGTGTAGATGGTGCCTGATACAGCTGGTGTGGTAGAACACTTGTTTTGAATGCAGGGGAGTTTCTGGTTCAATCTCCAGCATCTCCAGCATCTCCAGATAAGGCTGACAAATGCTCCTGCCTGAAATCATGGAGAGCTGCTACCAGTCAGTGCTTGGGAAATGCTGCGTTCTAACAGCAGAAGGGGCAGTTAGTGACATTTAGGTTCCCTGCAACAATGGTACAAAGAAACAGGCATCTGAAAGAGTTGTTCCAGTGGGTTTCTGAGGCACATTTAAGAATATGTAGATTTGCTTTCAGTGCATTTTTCAAAATTACCTTGGGGTAGTTTTTCAGATTTCCTATCGCAACTGAGGTACATTTATTTTCACCTCCTTTTTCACTAGAGTATTCCTTTGCTTGCATTTCTTTAGTTAATGGAGCAGCCCCCCATTTATTTTATCTAAAATCTGAAGGAAACGTTTTGAGTTCAGCTCTCCTTAATCTGTCCTGTAATATCTGAAGGGTTTGTGTGTATCTACAATATTTGATTTTGTGGGAGGTGGGTTTTCTTTTTTTAAAGAAATGTGTTAATTTAATTACACTGATTGTTGGTGTAGCAGTGTGTGTGAGGGTGTTGTATAGTACCTTGCTGAGCATTTAAGTTCTAAATCTTTGACTTAATCTCGTAACCTTTAGACTTTGATTTTCTTCCTCAGCCTATAATTTGTACAGCCTGCCATCAGAAGAGGGAGGTAAATTAGGCGGCATCTGCTATATTACAAATTATAATTATTAACATTACTTCCATTAGAAGCTAGCTCTTAAAATTCCTTCTTGGTGGAATAGTGCTACTCCAGTAGGGCCATATATGGGAAAATGGCATAGGCCACCAAAGCAGCTGAACTAATAGGAAGAGATTATTCAGGTACACAGAAATAGCAATGGAATATCCCATCCTGGACTTTACCTCTTGAGGCTGAAAGCTTGGGGTTTTCAGCATACGAACCTGCCCCTTTGGTGGGGGCACTGGAGAGGGCCTCTCCAGTGGCTGCTCCCAAACTTTGGAACTCCCTAGTGTGGCTCGATTGGCTCCCTCTTTGTTTTCCTTCCACTGGGAGGAAGTTTTATTCCGGCAGGCCTTTGGGAACTGACTGCTTTTGAGGAAAGGGCTTTAAATGGTGCTGCTTTTAGTTCTTTTACTATCTGTAGTTTAATAGATTTAGTTGTTGTTGTTGTTTTTACATTGTTTTAATTCCATTATAGCTTAGTTACTTTTAAACTATTATCTTCTGTATTTTTTTTAGCCTTCTATGATTGTTTTAATTTTTGTAAGCTGCCTTGAGTCCTGGTTCTGGAGGAAAAGTGGAGTGTAAATAAATAAAATAATGATAATACTTCTGAATATTTTTTATTTTTTTTAAGAGAGAGAGATTGAAAGATTACAGGTTTAGGGTTGCCTAGCTATCATAAGGCAGGAAAATATCAGACATTGGCTTTTGTAGCTTTGGATAGAGAAGGGCTGTACTTCAGTGGTAGAGAAGAAAATAACCTTATACTGCAAACAGCCCATTCAGATTTAAGTCTTCTGTGTGTGCCTTCAGCAAAGTAGCTTCCACATTTTCCCATTCCCCTAGTCCTGATATTCATTGCTATTCCACCACTTCCCATCTGCACTGGTGGGCAGAGCTTGAGTGCAGGTATCTGAGCTGTGTTTGTCTCCCCAGTCACCCCTTCACTCGGCTCTCCACTATATTTTTTCATGCTGGGCATTTCTATACCTGTGCACCTACACCTTTTGAAAAAAATGAAAACACCACCAGCCACCAAAATGTCTCCACAAATTGCCCACCCTCCCCGAAAAATACCTTACAATACAATGTAAATGAAATAAAGTTTAGTTGCATAGGAATACTTACAACATACCAGATTATCAATCTATACTAGGATGTTATCACACTGTTCCTTCTGTAACCACAGTGGCAATGTTTTCAGATGTTAATAGTGAAAGCTACATTTTGAAGTCTGAACTGTACTAATAAGCCTCACCAGCTTTTCAAATCAAATGCCTCTTAATTGATACAATGCTGATCAAATCTTGGAACATGTTCCCTTTTAACGTTCAAATCAAAAACTTTGCTGTGAATAACACAATATTAAAGTGAAGAAAGACCAATCTGCCTGGTACATATTTTGAACATGTTTTGTTGCAAATAGCATTCTAACAGATAGGGCTGATTATATGGTAAAGAGCATAATTTATATATCACAAGCAGTGGGGGCTTTTGTCACTGACATAGCTAAGGAATTTGACACCTTTACAAGAGAACAATACATGTCAACCAAAATATATACCAATTAGACCTCAATGAGACACTGAAATGAATGATGCAGGAACATGTTGTATTTACAAATAATATATGGTTAACAGCCACTTGCATTTTCAAACAACAAATCTTTTTGTGTTATTTGGGGGGGTGGGAATAAGCATTTGGAAATGGTCACAAAAATATCTCCATTAGCACTGAAAGCTGTGGAAATGGACAGTAATTTGATGTTCATTTAACTTTGCATTTTATGTGATAGCTTTCCAAAGTGTTTGTTTAAACACTACTCAACAAACTGAATGCTGTTGCACTTCATTATTAAAAGAGGACGTTTGGTAACCCATAGTTAACGGTGAATACATTGATGTTAGGAGCAATTGCACCAGAGGACTTAAATATGGGGCGGGAAGAGGAGGTTTTCTATGGAGGATCCGGAAATAGAGAGGAGAAGAGAACACACTTTCGACCCCACTCTGCTCCCAGTGCTACCCATGTCCAAGAAATGTTTGTAAAATTATACACTTTGCAAAAGTGCCTACACCAAAGGTGAGACTGACGCTTGAAATCCACATAATGTCACCAGGTGTCTTTTTCTTTTTCTCCCAGGTGCTCCTGTGTTAACAAGTTACAATATAACCCTATACAATGGTACCTCGGGTTAAGAACTTAATTTGTTCTGGAGGTCCGTTCTTAACCTGAAACTGTTCTTAACCTGAGGTAACACTTTAGCTAATGGGGCCTCTTGCTGCTGCTGCACCCCACCGCGTGATTTCTGTTCTCATCCTGAAGCAAAGTTCTTAACCTGAGGTACTATTTCTGGGTTAGCGGAGTCTGTAACCTGAAGTGTCTGTAACCTGAAGCGTATATAACCCGAGGTACCACTGTACAGTACATGTCTACTCACAAATCTGCAGGACTTATTTCCAGGCAAATCTGTGGGATTGCAGCCTTAATGAGAAGCACAAATTTAGCTTTTTCCGGGCATGAAAATGTTATGGTGGGGAAAGAAATCACCTATCAAATTTCTTCTTTCTACAAAGGTAAAATAAAGGCATAGGAGCCAAGTTCAGGAAAACTAGCAGCCTGCATAATGCTAGGTGTTTTCTAAATATGAAATCCATTTCACTATTACAGTATAGGCAAATGTAATGCTTGCTTGAGTTTAAATGAATTAGCAAAGGCAAAAGATGTTTCAACTTCCTTAGGAGGAGTAAAAATGTATTCTAAGTGCACATAATCAATCTAATGTTTATGCACTGCAGCAAATATGCATTTGAAATCACAGGGAAAGGAGCACAAAACATGGCTCTTAGGGTTTTCTCTTGCATTATATTTCCTTGGTTACTTCCTGTTGTGATGTGATATATGAGAACTTTGGTTCCCAATCCGTCTTTCTCTAATAGAGTCAGCACTCTTTGTAGACCAGAATGTGATGCAAATTTCCCAGAGGTGGAAATGTGGGCTTAAATATTTTCTAAGGCTTGTTCACCCATTTCACTAACTGCCTCTACTACACATGTACATAAATGTTTGTGTGCATATGTGTGTACTCTTGATTTGTACAGCTCAACTATTATTCCTACTGTACAGTGTGGTTTTTGTTTTCAAAGTGGATGTGCTCTACAAGAACACCATTTAGCTACTGCCTATGAATCACATTGCACCCACTTTCTTTGTTGTTCTTCGGGAGCATGTACTCTTACGGCATAAAGGAAGTAATCTACGCAAAGTGAGACAGCCTGGAAGTGCCTGGGGAAGTCCCATAGGCAAATCTATAATTTGGCAGATCAGGTGGATTAACCTATTAAACCAGATAACCACATGAAGAAGAGCATTTGTCATAGCACTGGTATATTAATTGAACCAGAGTGTACTTGCCTGAAGCATCAAAACTCCTCTCTGATGTAACAGTGGAATCCCATGTATTATTTAGACATTCAGATGTACTGCTGAACTCAGTGGGAGCTATTCCCAGTTAAGTGTGTGTAGAATGGCAGCCTAAAATATATGCATTTATAGCTTGCCTTGCTCTGCTTACAGGTGTGAATTAGCTACTTTTGCATTTTTTGACTGGTGTTATATTGTATATCTCAAAACCTTGTCTAAACCTATCATGAGTTCTTTGTTCTCACCAGACCCATTTTATACATCTTTGTTTCTATAAAACAACAATTGTCTGTATCAAACTCTGTGGGGAAGATGATTTTCTAAATTAAGTGGCTTTCTCCTGTGTGAATAATCAACGCTTCTTGGGATATTAAAAGTCCATTTTGAAGGCATACATAGATAATTACATCCCGATCAAAGGACCTCTTGCTAACACTTTATGCTTAGCTGAGATGTGTGTGTGAGAGAGAAAACAATGAACAGTTTAACAGAGTCTTTCATGGGTTGTTTTTTTGCATATTCATAATTGAACCACTATATTCTGCAACTAAATTGTTAAACACAACGAATAGCTTCCTCACATACTCATGAACAGCTATTCTATAGCTCTATAGGTACATAATGATGACTGGCCTGGAAAGCTAAAAGTGACAAGAGCCTAACATTGGATGAAAACAATCACAAAATTCCCATAAACATTTTTGAGGGGGACAGAAAATTTGTTTTTTTAAAAATAGCCCTGGGGTTCTCTTCTTCTCAATCAGTTTTTGGCTTTGTGACTGAATATCCCTCTTGGCTGTCTTAAAAGCTTTGCAGTCCAATCCAGTCCTTCCCCAATCCTTAGCTTGGGTGGAGGGAGAGTCCTGCATGCGAAGGGGAGATGGACAGCAAGAGACTGTTTTATGCCATTGATTTGGTGCCACCTGCAGCTTTGATTAACATACTCTTTCATTCAAGCCATTTATAAAGATATTGAGCAATGCGGTACCCAAGACCAAACCCCAAGGCACCCTCCTTGCTACTTCTCTCCAGGTTGACAAGTTGCTGTTGATGAACGCCCTTTAGGTACAGTCCATCAACCTGCTTGTCCATTTCCACTGCATTTCCTTCAATGGGATGTGTATTTGGATGCAAGTAAAAGGTAAAGGTAAAGGGACCCCTGACCATTAGGTGCAGTTGTGGCCGACTCTGGGGTTGCGGCGCTCATCTCACTTTATTGGCTGAGGGAGCCAGCGTACAGCTTCCGGGTCATGTGGCCAGCATGACTAAGCCGCTTCTGGCGAAACCAGAGCAGTGCACAGAAACGCCGTTTACCTTCCCGTTGGAGTGGTACCTATTTATCTACTTGCACTTTGAGGTGCTTTCAAACTGCTAGGTTGGCAGTAGCAGGGACCGAGCAACGGGAGCTCACCCCGTCGCGGGGATTCGAACCGCCGACCTTCTGATCAGCAAGTCCTAGGCTCTGTGGTTAGTTAAGCTTAACCGGTGCTTTTCTTCTGGGTGTACTCAAGGGTACGCAGTACTGGCACCTTGATTTTCTAGAAGAAAAGCACTGGTTAAAAGTGTGACAATTACTGTAAAAACTTCATGGTGAGTACTGAAACCCTTTTTCCTTGAAGAAAAGCACTGAGCTTAACTATATACTGTAGTATGTTGGATTGAAGGCCGGTAACCAGTGCATATACAGTTCCTCAACCTGCAAAGGATGCTCTATTCATATTGATAGGGATAACACACATATATTTGCATTTTATGCAAAGGGATCTGTGCCATCCATTACAATTTATTTGGCACTTCATATATTCAAGAGCGCATGAGGCTGGAATGTGCCTCCTCTAGGCAAACATTCCCCTGCAGTTTTGCTGCTGTGGACTATTGCAGCTTAGTATGCCTATGTTTGGGTCTTTTAAATGGAAAAGGCAACATTTTCTTTTTTATAAATTAGTCATCTCTTTCACATTCTAGTACAGAAAAATTATCACATAAAATAATACAAAAGCAGTTAACAGCCAAATGTCCTAGAAAGTGGACTGCGGAGGATTATGACTTTTTATTAAGATTTGCATAAAAGCTTTTGCTATTTTTTCTTGTTATTCAGCACGGTGTAAGTGTTTGCAGAACATCTTCTCTCACTGTGTCACTACCACAGAAATTGTATCTGAGGATTAAAAAACACATATATATTCATTAGTTTAAAAGTGTTAATGTTTCATTTTTATTGCAAGTCCATTTTAGTAGGATGATTTAATTTTGCATCATACACTCCCAGAAAATGTAATAAATACAGAGTGTGCATTTATTTAATTTTGTATCAGCATTTTTTATAATTGTGTTGATTTTATCTTCATCTATTGAATATCTCTAATGCTAGAAAAATGCTGTTTATTTAAAGAACATTCTAAAAGGTTACTTAAAGAATCTTTGGGGGGTGGGGATTTAAGGCCCAGGCTTTTTGCAAAAGGAATATTATACATCACCACATTGTATCCCTGTCCAGGGCCTTCTTATGTCACTGGGACCAATACTAAAGTACTTATTTCCTGCAAAGAACTACCCATGTTCATTCATTCTTATACTTTGATCATATTTGCAACGTCCATGCAAACATCTTACAAAATTCCTAGCAGTGCACTAAGGCAGGTGTTAGGAACCATTGGCCCTCCAGAGGTTGCTGAACCACGACTCTCATCATTAATAGTCATTAGCTGCTGGGGCTGATGGGAACTGTAGTTCAACAACATCTGGAGAACCAAAAATTTCCCACATCTGCACTAAGGGAAGGTTTTAGGGGCACACACAGCAGAAATAATTGGAAGGTTCCCAAACACAGTAGGGCTGCCTGATTGCGCTTTAAACTAAGTGAAATTAGACCCCATACAATCTAACCAAGGGAGGCCCATAAGACCACAAAGTCCAGAGGGAAGGGCCATAAGGCAATTCACTTCAGCGGCTAACATTGCCTAGCTGAATGAATAATGATAACTGAAAAACTTACATTTAAATGTCCATTCTTAAAGATACTTATCTGGGAGCAACCTTTGCTAAACTTAATGGAGCTTATTTCTGAGTAGACATGCAGGGGGTGGTCCTAAAGATTCTTACTTGAGAATATATTTATGTGTCACATGGTTGCTGTTCATATAATTTATTGTTATAAAATTAAATTAATTAATTTTAAATGACACATTGGACACACAGGGGTTTCTGTGTAAGAATGTATAAATCTGCCCTGCACAACTATCAGTTTTAAATGCAACACCCTAACAATAGCTAAATCAAAACCACAAGAGTCAAATTATGTACAACATACACACTCTTTCCAATACTATTTTTAAATATGTACCCAACCAATGCCAAGGCTAAGAGAGATGTGAGACTATGACTGGCCCAAGGTCACCCAGTGAGCATGGCGGAGCGGGGATTTGAACCCTGGTTTCTCAGGTAGGTCCTAATCCGATGCTAAGCACTACACCACTGGTTGTGTAGCATGAATGGCTAGCCTGTGGCCTTCCAGACATTGCTGGACTCCAAATCCCATCATCCTTGACCATTTACTACGCAGGTCAGGATTGGTGGGAACTGCAGTCCAGCAAAGTATTCAAAATATACTAGAAACAGGCTACTGATTAGCATCTTTCTCCTCAAAACTCTCCTGCAACAGTGTTGGGCCTCTGGTATGTTTTGAAGATAATTGTATATCTTTAATAAATATTTATGGGTTGGTGCTTTTTTGTATAAAACAGCAAACGGATACATACACTGTCCCATCTTCTCCATCCTGTACTGTAATCTTTGCTGCTCCCAGTTTGGGCAAAGTTGGGTTTATGATATTGTTGTTCCACAGAAATTTAACCTTAGTAACTGATCCAACATTAAGTTGTACATCAATTGGGTGGGTATAAGTTTCATCAGGTTGGAGTTTCCCCCTTGGAGAGAAAAAATATGATACATATACACAAATAGGTTCTTTTTAAAAAACACTTATACATACATATGTCCATCTTCTCCATCTTGCACCTGAATCTTTGAGGCTCCCAATTTGGGAAAGGTTGGGTTTATGATATCATTGTTCCAAAGGAATTTAACTTTAGCTACTGCTCCAATATTGACGTCTATGTCGGTGAAGTTGATATGTATAGTCCCAGGCTTCAACATTCCCCTTGAAAAATAAAAACAGGTAAGTGATTTCCTTCATTATTGACTGATCATGCTGTGTCAGGTTAATTGACACAAGAGGATGTGTTGGCCATTGGTCCAGCCACTGTGGTTTCTAGGATGTTGTGTTCACAAGTGCACCATGTACTATTCAGTACCTAACACTGTAAGAGGTAACACACATAATCAGATTTGAACATCTCATTGGTATTGTCACATCTGAAGATACCAACACATCGACCTAGCTTCTTTTCCATCAGCTCCTGAGAATTTCACTTGCAATGCAGAAAGGGTGAATTCAGACAACCACTAAGTGAGAAGAAGGAATGCAAGAGTTTACTGCAAGAGTGGTCTGCAGCTCTTGCCCACATGGTAACCCTAGGGTTCCCATCCTCCGTCGACTGTTTTGAAAAATTGGGATTACTCAAGTAGGATGATGAAGCTGGATTTAGTGATTATGGACAACCACCTCTTAAGCTAGCACAGTAAGGTGAAAAATAGGGCACAAGGCACACAATCGGGTATGTGCAAAAGATGCAAGGATTACTATTGCAATATGTACATAAGAATAGAATTCAACTTTAAACTTTCAAAAAATATGGAGAAATGTAATAAGATAACAAGTAGCCAGCAGGAATGCTGAGAACCAAAAATCATGTGACCAGCAACTATACCAAGACCCAGATGCATTTCAATACACTAGTGGTCTCGCTCAGCAATTATTGTTGTTGTTGTAATATAAATTTATTTATTTATATGCCACCCTTCACCTGAAGATCACAGAGCAGTTTACCACAAAACACAAAAATTACCACAATAACAAACAAAAACAATACATCACCCACCCCAGTTTAAAAGGCCATAGACTCTGAAATGCCTCATAACTGCTTTATACAAAGTCAGATAGTCCATTTGGGTCAGTATATACAAATCTCAATGTTGAATGTTACTTGAGGTGAATCATTTGACTGGTCTTTATAGATATCGTGAGCTGACCTGTAAGGTAAACAAGTCTGACTAGACCTGACTAAGGCTAAGGTAAAAACCCTAGTCTGATGAAAAATTATTGACAGGAAAGTATCTTATCCATATATTTTTGTGTGCACATATGGTAAGTCTGGAGATCTATAGGTTGATATGTGTTGCTCTGAGGTGCATTCCAATGCCCCGCATTGATTCTAGGCAAGTTTATTTCAAGAGAAGGCAACACTACCACATCTCCACATGGTTAGAATCACCACAGCCAACTAGCACCTTTAAAGTGTGTAAATTATACAAGATGGGGAGAGGAGAAGGGGATCAGGGGGCAGCCCCTCCCCTGACCTGCATTTGAAGATTGGAATGGAACAGTAAACACAAAGACTCTTTGAAAAAAACAAGGATCCTAAAAACTATGACAGCTTTATCCATGTAGATCTCAAAAGGTCCCTCAACTCTATGCATCCATGGAAGACATGACATGGGCAGCATATATAGTTGGATAAACATAGGCTCATTTAAGAAAGCCTACAGTCCTTCATGTGATTTGGATAAGATTATTATACATTATTGCCTGGGGAGTTGCGCAACCTGCCAAAGGAATGCTATTATCCCAGTAGATAATGCATTGTCTTAGACCATGATGGAGAAGAATGAGGGCCAAATGCATGAAAGGGATACAAAAAATGTGCTCTATATATATGTGGGTTTGTTTACTACTGTGTGCCAGAGTTTCTTTCCCCTCCACCATCCTTATATTGCATGACAGACAGGTGATATTTGGGTTAGATTAAAATGATTTATTGTAGAAATCATTTAAAATGTCCCTGCTATTAAATCTACTTTTCAGCACTAAAACACGTTGCTGCTGGCTAAACTAAATAAATAGCAGGCTGGAAAGTGACATTTTTGAATAGCTATAATGTACCAGGGCTTTTAGCTCAGACAGTCACAGCAAACAAAAAGCGGAAGCTTAAAATCACATTTCGGAAAATACCAGAGGGGCGTTTTCTCCCTCTTGACGCAGATGACATTTGAAAATAGAGTGACTAATGTGGAAAAGTGTGGGTGGTATGTGTTCTAAATAATTTATGAGACCAGGACAGTATTCAACAAACAAAATTCCACAGCATTGGAAACTTTGGAACTCCCTGCCTATTGACATCAATTAGGCACCGTTGTTTTATTTCTTTCAGCACCTGCTTAAAACATTTTCACTTGGATAAGCCTATCCAGACACATAAATGTTGGTGTGCTCTAATTTCTTTTTTAATTTACTGCTGATTTTAATTGTTTTAAAAATGTTTCTAATTACTTGTCTTTAACTGTTTATATAGATAATTGTAATATTTCTTGTAAATTGCTTAGAATCGACATTCAATCAAGCAGTATATACATTTTGTTAACGAAATTAAAATGCCCAGAAAAATCCATGTCAATAAACTTGATATCACGAAATTAGATATCATTTTAAATTAGAACCCTGACCCATTTCTAGTTTTGTTGCTAGGAATTTCTTTCTGTCTTTTCAACCATTTATATATCACTTAGCACCATCATCTTTAAGAGCTGTGCAGTATGGTTAACATGATGCAATAAAGATAAAATGACTTAAAACTAACCATGGAATGAGAAAGCTGACTTAAAATGCCCGCTGAAATAAAATTTTAAAAGGGCCTCATTAGTTTCTGGAATTTCAACTGGAAGGGGATCCTTCTGATATCAATTGGGAGGGAGCTCCACAAAACTGAGCCATGGTTCAGTTTTTGCATCCAAAATTGTTGGTGGGTTCTCAGGGCCGGCTCTATCATTAGGAGGAGTGAAGCAATGGCCTCAGGGTGGCAGAATCTGCTCTCCCCGCTTCCCCCTGTGTGTAGGGGGTAATATATTGCCTTCTCCTGGGCGCCTTATAAAACGAGCTGTGAGAAAATAAAACAGGAGTCAATTAAGGAAGGGCTTTTGGTTAAGGAGGGGAAACAGAAAAGTTGTGCGAAAGTTGAAGGGAGAGACCTAACAAAGAAGGGAATGAAGCTGGCAGTGAAGAAAACAGAAAGGCAAACTCTGATAAACAAATATCAAAGGGAGAAACTACCACCCACATGGCAATGGTTAACTGACATTATTGATCAGTTTCTGCTAGAAAGAGTGAGGCAAGTGCCTCAGGTGGCAGACACTGGAGGGCTGGCTGTTTCTCCTGAAACCCTGGGTCATTCTCCTCCGTTGGAAGACAGAACTGGGTCTGCCACATGGCCTCTCCCAAATCCATTTAACTAGGCCGCTGCCCTTGGATACTGTGGGGGATGGCTGTCCTATTGCCAGAGCTGAGGTAAATTTCAACTGCCACACCAGTTGGCTTATGGACATGGGGAGGGTTCTTGTCATTTGCATCAGGGGCAAAATGTATTGGGCTGGCCATATCATCGATGACCTTTTTCAAGAAATTTGAGTCGCCAGCTAACCAGCAGTGGTTTGAGGCTAGGCCATGGAGGGCCATTGTCAGGGATGGGTCACTGTTGGCTGTTGCCAAGCAACCAACTGTGGCAGGGAGCTGGGTCATTTATTCCGCCCTTTCCTCAGTCACCTGAAGAACTGTATTTAAGTTTTATAAAGCTATACTTAAGTTTTATACTGATTATAAATAATTCCAAGCCAGGGACTCACAGGGAAATGTGCAACTTTGCCCATGACGTTAAACTGGGGGCAGAAAAGTGTAAAAGAGGGCAGGACTCCTGCAACTTTACAGCTGAGCTGAAGTGGGAATTTCAGCAGGTGTACCCTGCATGACTTCTACACAACTATTAAAAAAAGGTGCATAAGCCCCGTGCTCTTTTGGACCCACCCATCTTAAATTATTTCATTTGAGTTGATAAAACTGCAAATGTACTGTGAAAACCACCACAACAGGGTGACTGGGCAGCAAAATGTCCGAAAAGAGTTACTGTAATTCAAACTGATGTGGATTAGGAAAACAAACACCCTGATTTGATATATATGATCCCTAAAGTGTCAGTAATTAGTAAATTTTGTAACCTTTAGTGTGCAATCCGAATTCCTGGCACAAAGGTTGGAGGGCTGGTTTAGGCTTCTCAGCTACTATACCTTGACTGAGTTAGGATCCAGTGGATCCTTGGCTAACCCAGCTCTGTCCCTTTCTGCCCCCACAAATGTCTTCTTTCAGGGGCTTTTGCTTGCATCTGCCAGCCCACATTTTGGCAGGCATAAGAGGGCTTTTCATACTGGAAGGGTGCACCTCACACTGGTAGAGCCTGGCAGAGTAGAGCTGAGCAGAGCACACTTGAGAAGCAAACTGGGTTTTTGCTGCTCTGTTATTTGTGTTTATTTTTTCATTTGTATCTGCATTTTTGTTAACTACCTTAGAGGCTTTATTGCAGAAAGGTGGGTCATAAATTCATTAAACAAGTAGGATAACCAAAGAGAAAAGAGCCCTTGAGGTTAATGTAGAAAACTCCAGTTGCTAGAAAATTGTTAGAAGATGAAATAGAATGTATTGTAATGGAATATAAATCTGTTGTTTAGCTTTATTTGCATTTCTGTTCACCCCATATGAAAAGAAAAATATATCAAATCATCTTGGAGTGCCTTACAAGTAGAAAAAGAGAAACAGAAAAGCAGGTGTCAAGTAGGAACACATATTTTAAAATCTAATTTTCTACCCACTGTACTTACTTGAAAATCTGATATTGCTTTGTGTTCCCTCCACTTCCGTATAGGGCAATATTTATGTATCCACGGACACTGCTTCTTCCAGACAGAGTGACTGATATTTTGTACCTCCAACCTGAACAACACAAATAGCAAGATTTTGATTTTCATCAGGCAAGTTCCTATGATTCTTGACATTTAACTCTTCTTACTTTGTCTTAATTTTGTGTGTTGATATCAGATATTACTTTTATGTGAAGGATTCAGACCAGAGGAACTTTAGACATCATTTGCAAAACCAAATATATTATGCAATATCCTCTTTCACTTCAAGTTGTGGAATTAATTGAATATTTGTCTAGGCAAAGAGTATGGCTCCAGGCTATAGTTCCTGGCAAGGGCAACTGCTTTGCATGCGGAAGGTCCCAGTTTCAATCCCTGGAATCTCAGCTGGGAACAGCTGGAAAAAACTCTTGACTGAATCCCTGGAGAGCTGCTGACTGTGTAGACAATACTGAGCTAGATAGACCACTGTGAATCAGAACACAGGTGCTCTGAATTATGGCACATTTGGTGTACATCTGTTTCTGATCTCTGTGCACAAAAGCTTGCTTTGTGTGTGGCTCTTGCTTGCTGAAACACTACACCTGTCCAGGCACAATTTAGCAGCATCTGAAGTGTTGTCTTGGCTTTTGGGAAAGATGCTGCCTGTTATCTAGGATCTTTTTTGCTCCACATACAAGATGGAAATCCAGACCAATAGAGCAAACTGTAATCTTTGTAGCAAACTGTAATCTTTGTAACAAACTATTGTTTCATACAGTTCTCTGAGCTGCCAATATAGGATGAAGGTCAGCCTTCAGAGTTTACTCCAAAAGTGAACTTACGGGCAAAATCCTTGGCATCTCCAGTGTTCAGATAAAGCTTTGTAACTGAAGAGGTGAATCTGCCTTTAGATTCAATTGCATAGTGACCCATTTTAGGGCATCCACCATTTGGACATGGGAAGCAGCCATCCTAGTGAAAACAGGAAAACTCATTTTATTCATATTGCAACAATTATTTCTCTCACTTGTTGCACTGTTGGGAAGCCATACCTAATAACTGTTCAACACCTCTTTCATTGTCCTGCCCTGGACAATTGACTTCTTGTTGTGGCTCAAAGATCAACTTGGAGGTCACGTGCCAGGGTACTGCCAGGTACTTTAAGGACCCAAGACACAGACCCATGACACAAATTTGCATATGCTATTTTTTATGTACAGATTCCCTTTGGCAAATTAAGCTCTGCACTATGGAGTGTGCCAAGTTGTCCTGCAGGCAAAGTGGTGCTTTTTAAAAGGTTTTGCAAAGGCAGGACACCCAGGGCTGGTGCAAAAGTCCTCCTGGCCCACTCACTAATGCCACACCTGACCCATGCCATATTCTCAAGACATTTCAGAAGCAAATTAGTACATAGAAGAGAATTAAGGCAGCCTGCTGTCCTTAAACCTATTATAAAAGTCAAAACGCAGTATCATTATAGAGCCTTTGTTAACTAAGCCTTCATTCTACAGTGCACCTAATCTGCAAGCACTAATTGTGTGTGTCCCTTGAAGTTGTTCTCAGTGGTCTACATTATAAGAATGTTTGCATGGTTGATAACCCTTTAAGTTTAAGATGACAGAAGTTACATTGTACATGTCTTTCCCTTTGCATGGGAAAATAGCACCCTAGAGTTTATTTTAGCACTTTTACATTTGAAGAAGTTGACAGTTCCTATTCAGAAAACAATGACAATAGTAATATGAATCTAGATACAGGTAGGTAGCTGTGTTGGTCTGATGCAGTCGAAATAAATAAAAAAGAATTTAAAATTGTCCAGTAGCACCTTGGAGACCAACTAAGTAGTTCTGGGTATAAGCTTTCGTGTGCATGCACACTGAAGAAGTGTGCATGCACACAAAAGCTTATATGCAGAACTACTACTATTTATTTCAATAGTAATATGAAATTAATGTTAATCAGTCTTCAATTCTCACTGTGACTGCCTTGCATCATTCTGCTACTAGTCCAGTAACCTATTCCCAAGATTCCAATTATTCTTTTATGGACCTTGACCTGTTGTACTGGTACAACTGCCTCAGAGTGAGTTGGTTCCCATGGCTTGGCATTACATGGTTAAGTCTCCACTTCATGTGCTTCCTCCTCCTCTCATTCATTGTGCTTAATTGGTTACTTTCTGGTTTGTGACAAACTACAACTTACCGTTGCATCCCAGCTGGCAAACTATGGTTCGCACTTGCCCTCCAAACCAGGAATGGAACTCATGATTTGCAACTGGTTTGCAGTCCCAGCATGAAGGGTAGTTGAAAACCAGTTTTGTTATTTGGTAATTTCAAACAATGATTTGAAGCAAATTAAATGGCATATGAGAGGGGAGGAGGAGGAGGAGGAAGACCCCGTGAGCACGGGTCTTGTTCCTGTACTCCTGAAGCATGGTTTGGCATTACACATGAACAGTCTTTTTCTTCACACGTAACCTAGTGTTAAGGGATCTTAGCAAACTGGAAAACTGCATTCTACTGCATGTGCATGAAGAAGCAATAACATGAGGTGTTGTTCCTGAGATACACAAACAACATACCGTTTCAAATAAGTTGTATGCTGCGCAGGGGTAACCCAAAAATCCATCTGGGAAGACAATGCTATCTGAATAATACTTGTAGCTTCGCAAGTGGTTACAGGCCACAAAGTCACGGGTTCCTGTGTAAAAGAAACTGCTGTTATGTGCTATAGTTTACTTTTTTATTCTTCTTTGTATCACGTGCTTTGACCAAGGCTATGTGCACAGCTTCTACTTTTATCCCCCTTTCTGAATTTAACTACATTCTTTCTAACTGTTCACAACCACATTTCAAGCTATGGTAGATTCCAAAATACTCCCTTGTAAGATTAAGAATACATCAGCATTGGTGGGATAAGGGGAGTCAAAAGATTGGTCACACTGGGTTACTTTAGCTCATGTTTGTTTTGCTGCAAAACAGCAACAGTTAGTTGCCTCTAAGGTTTGTTCTCAGCTTGCTGCTTGTGGTTCGTTTGGGGAAGATAAACCATGAGCCTAAGTTCAGACATAATACTAAGCCCAACCATGGCTCAGGTTCCAGTAGCATGAAAACTACTGCAAAGCATCCATAGTTTTCAAAAACTGCACTAGCACACTTCTTCATTTATACTTAGCCATGGTTTGGCTTAGCATTATGTTTAAATCTTAAATCTGAGATTTGACTTCTAGTAGTATCCCAGGTTTCATATCCTGTATGTAAATAGTCAATATCTGCTGCTAATATAATCCTTGATTCTTGATTTTTTTTAACTTTGATAGTCAGTGTTTGTAACAAAATTGGTATTGAACAGTTCTTCAGTCTTTGACACTCATAGGAAAAGCCACTGGAAAGTATTCTAACCCTGCAATTGGTCCCTGTATCTTTCTGAGTGGCCTGTGCTTTATTAATAGTGCACAAACAGCATTGGGTACTATGACCAAAATTAATGTTGAGGGGTGAAATCTCATTCTTAACATTCAAAATTCCCCTTGAGTGATGTGTGAAATCGGAAGCATGGAAAACTGATCTGCTTCATCCCTAGCTCATTGTATCTGTTAGTAAAATCCCTTGTTCCTTTTCAATTCCATTTTGAATAGAAAAAGACGTGATAGAATTTGATTATTTTCACTGCCAAAAGCAATAATCACAAATGCAGCAACATACCCAAATATCAAGGTCATTCCTCATATGCTAACACCATTGTCTGGCACTGCTGCCAAGAAACTAAGTAAGAGAGATTAATTATGTTCTGTCCTCAATCTTCAAATCATTGGAATAGTTTAAGTGGTATTTACTTCTTTCATAGGCAGCTTTTCTCAACTGAATTAATTCCTGTTTGTTTCTATTCTGTATGCTAATTAGGGAAAATATTGGATGCAACAGAACTATAATTAAGTAGGTGTCTTTTTTATATCTGCCATCATATTGACAGTTTTTATGCCTGTTGAATCAGTGTAATGGAACAAGTTTTTCATAAATGAATCAGATAGGAGGTTTGGGGACATATAAGGATGACAAGGTTTGGGATATTTTACTAAGGAAGATTCATTAACACTTGCTATGCTGCTATAATGCAGTCTTGATTTGTGGGGTTGACAAGAAAACACACTGTTTTTATTGCTGTATGTCATGATTTCTAGCCCTGGACTATATTTCATTTTCTTAAATTATCAAAGATTGAAAATTAATAGTAAATTCAAAAAATTCAGAAATAATCACACATGTACTTATATACATATTTGCTAATTATCAAAATAGGTACACAAAATATGTACACAAATTATCTTCCTATCTACTATATATTTTGGAAAGTTGCTTATCTCTTCAGTATGGGTTGTATCCAATGCTAGTCAGAATTGATCAACTGAGATTAATAGACATGGCTAACGTAGGTTCATTCATTTTAATAGGTCTGCTCTGAGTAAAAATCAGGCTGTGTATACATTACCATTAATTCTGGCTTCAGTGCACTCCAATACAACATGTTTCCTGCATCAAGAGTACATTGAAAAGTCTCCTTTCCTCTCCTTCTGCCCACCCACCAAATCTGCTCCAAAGGGCCCCCTTAATCCTCAGGATCAGATTTCTAGGGGGCACAGTGGGCTGAGGGTTCCACCACACAAGTCAAAGTCTGATGCATGAACATAACAGCAGTGTTGGAAACAACCCATTCATCTACACAGATTTAAGCATACTAAATTCCTATTAATTTCAGCAGAAGAGATTTGAGTATGTATTTTATTCTCTCATGGAAGTCAGTGGTATTTAAAAGGCTAAATGAATCTACTGTTGTAAGTATTTTGGTGGCATAACATAAAAAACTAAAGAAGGTATTGAACTGTAACCTCGAGACAGTCTTTGGTGCCAAACCTTCTGTAGCACCAGTGCTCTGGAGCTTAGTCAGCCAATCAGATAGAGGGCACCCCTAGAGGCTGCAGTGCTGGTCTTAGTGCTGTCAGCTGACCCTACAGCAGTGGTATCCAAACTTTTTTCGAAGAGGGCCAGATTTGATGAAATGAAGGGCGGTGAGGGCCGACCAAAGGGCCGACCAAAGTGTTGATTTAAAGCAGAGCCTCGTGCCCAGCGGAAGGATGAAGAAAATGTGCTGCATACTCCATATAGCTTTATTTACAGTTCAAAGCTGGTATATTACAGAAAGACATCTTGCCTCTGCAGGAGCAGAAAAATGCATCCTCTCTCCTCTCTCAGCTCGGAGAGAATCACAGAGAAAAAACAGGAAACCAGTGTACGTCACATCCAGTCTCCCTTTCCCGTGAGAAACTCCAACAGCACAGACTGTGGAATGTAAACACCTGTCTCATGACAAGCAGAGCTGCACAGTGAAGGAAAGCAGAAACCAACATCCTCCCCCTTTCTGTGAACATCACTGGGCAGCGTGTTTGCACAATATCAGTACAAACCCAACTTCTGCACATAGGTACAGTGTTGATCCCTTGATACAATCTTGGACAATACATCAGCAGGAATTTCATTACCTGGCATATAGGACACCGTTACGAGTCCCTTCTGAATACATTCCCTAGCATGCTGCAACTTTAATTGCAAGTGCTTTGTGCTTTGCTTACAACCTTCAGACTTCAGCAAAGTCAAACATGCTTTGTTGTCCTGGTAAACCTGGATTGGACATTTGACAGGAATTTTCATATCTTTGCACAATTGTACTAACCATTCACAATCCTTAAGTGAATAAGACAGTGCATTCAGTTCGGCTTCACAAGTACTTAAGCTAACTGTTGTTTGCTTCTTGCATGACCAATCACCAGACTCTGATTGTACATGTAGCAAACTCCAGACGTACTCTTCCTGTCTGTAGCGTCACTTCCAAAACTTGCATCTGCAAATATTTCAAGACCACCAGACTTCTGATTGTTAAATCTCAGTCTGTAATGCATAGTGCCTTTCAAATACCGCGCTATGCGTTTCAGAGCTTTCCAATCCTTGACACTAGGATTGTTGACTTGTCTGCTTAGCAAATTACAGCTAACAGCAATGTCTGGTCTTGAACATCTGGCAATGAAGTTTAGCTTGCCTAGCACACTCCTGTACAGTGTAGTGTCAGAAAATGCTTCTTCAGTGTCATCTACCTGATAACCTGTTGTCATCGGTGTGTCTACAGGGTTAGCATCCATCAGATTTAGTTTGCTTAACACATCAGCAATTTTCCGTGACTGGTGTACTAGAATGTTACCATCTTGATCTCTCTCTATTTCCAGAGATAGGTAGTTGTTTACCTCACCAAGATCTTTCATGTCAAAGTGCTCTTTCAGTTGAGCTAGGGCGTTATTGTACATTGCGACATCTTTCCAAAAGAATAATAAATCATCAACATAAAATAAACAGTACAGTTTCTTTTGCCCCTCCTCTTTGACAAATACACATGGATCAGCTTTCCCTTGCTGAAAACCTAGAGAAAACAATACTTCAGTGAGTTTTGTGTGCCAACACCGTGCACTTTGTTTGAGACCATAAAGGGATTTCTTCAGAGCACAAACAAATCCCTGTTTAACCTGTACGCCATCAGGTGGAAGCATATAAAGTGATTCATCTAGAGATCCGTACAGAAAAGCTGTATTAATATCATGGTGACTAATGTGTAGATTTTCCTCTGCAGCTAGCTTAAGCATAAGCCTAATGCTTTCATATCTCACTGTGGGTGAATAGGTCTCGTGATAGTCTTCACCTGGTACCTGTGCAAAACCTCTGGCTACCAATCTGGCTTTGTGTCTGACTATCTTGCCATTTTGATCTGTCTTCGCTTTGAAGACCCATTTGCTTCCAAGCAGTTTCATTCCTGGAACTACTGGAACTAGTTCCCATGTTTTGTTCCTTTCTAAGGAATCAAGCTCAGCCTTCATGGCATTTAACCATGGCTCAGCTTCCTTTGAATCCAAACCCTGGATTTCTTGGAAACTTGAAGGTTCAAATACCTTCTTGGAGCTTTTAACAGCTGTTACTGCTATCTTAGCAAACTCATCAGCAAATCTCTTTGGAGGTTTGCCTTTTGTGGCTCTCTGTGACCTACGAATTAGCCTTAAGTCTTCAACACTCTCCTCTTCCTTCTTAGGAGAAAACGACCTATTGTGAACAATGGTTCCTCCAATTCTTGATCAGAGCTTTCAGAGGGTCGCATAGAGGCTTTCGCACTCTTGAAATCCTCTGAATCACCCGATTCAGTTTCAGAATCAGACTCAGAACCTTCATCAGTGGGTGTGGGCTGTTGTGGTTGCTTTTGACTATCCTCAGTCTCATCACCGTCATCAGGATAACATTGGAAAATTCCCACATTCTCCCCCCCACTTTGCATTGTACTCAACACTTCTCGTGAGCTTAATTGTCTTGGAGTCAGTCATCATTATTCTGTAAGACCCTTTCTGATAACCTAGAAAGATACCATGCAATCCACGCTTGTCTAACTTGGAGTTTTGTGGTGAGTGAACCCACATGTCAGAACCAACACTCTTCATGTGTTTGATGTATGGCTTCGTGCCAAACATCTTCTCATAGGGGGTACAACCAATCGCTGAAGATAGCCTGCGATTGTAACTGTAAACAAAACACGAGAGAGATTCGGCCCAATAACTCTCTGGAAGATTGGCATCATGCAGCAAGGTTTTTAATCCTTGAAGCAATGTCTGATTTGCCTGTTCCGCAAGTCCATTCTGCCATGGCGAGCGAGGACTAGACAAATCGTGTTGAATTCCTTTCTCAGTCAGAAAAGCTTCAAACTGCTGAGAAGTGAATTCCCCGCGATCACTGAAAAGAGTCTTTATCTTCTTACCATGCACATTTTCCAACCAAGCACAGAATTCCTTGAACCTAGGAAAAGCCTCCGATTTCTGCTTGAGATTGTACACAAAAATATATCTAGAAAATGCATCAATGAGAACCATGAAGTATCTATTTCCACCCAAAGAGGGCGCAAGTGGTCCAACCAAATCAGCATGAACAACCTGGTATGGTTCTGTAGCTTTCCTACTAGACACCTTACCTTTCGCAGCCATTTTCACCTTGTTTGCTGCGCATGCTTTGCACTTCATGTGGTACCTGCAGGGTTTAATAGTCATACCTTCAACCAAGGCAGGCATTTTAGATACTGCCTCAAAATGCAAATGAGCAAATTTTCGATGAAAATCGTGAATACATTCTGCATGCAAACTTTTGTTAGAACCTGCAATGCAACAAGTGTCATCCTGCACCACATCATCATAATACAAAACAAACAAATGATCAACATATTCTGCATGCAATACATAATCATTTTTCTTTGTGATGATGCACTTCTTGTTCTTGAAGGAAACGTCAATGTTCCGCTCATTCAGCTGTCCAACGCTGAGCAGATTATGTTTGGCGTCTGGCACGTAAAGCACATTCTGTATCGATAAGTCCAAACTGTGAAGAACAACAGTTCCGTAGCCTTTACTGGGAATAGTGTGGTCATCCGCCTGGTGAATCGCACCTTCCTGCGGTGTAAAAGACACAAACAGTTTCTTATCGTTACACATGTGGTGGGTCGCCGCTGAATCAACAACGAAGAAAGATCTAGACGTCTTCTGGACCTCTGCAACCTTTGGAGTGAAGCGTGAAACCATAGCCTTGTGCTGCGTTGTCCTAGACACCGGACCTTTGCCTTTGCCTCGGCCTTTTCCGCGCGATGAGCTTCGCTGCGCTGCTCTGTCTTGGCCCTGGGATGTCTGCATTCCCTCTTCATATGGCCTAGACGTCCACACGAGTAGCATTTTACTGCCTTCAAAGCTTTGGCGCCATCTGGTGGTTCCACTGCACTATGGGATGACGTCTGTGAAGACTCCCCTTGCCCATGCAGCCAGCACCCGGCGATCTGCTTCATTTAAAATCACGGCAGTAACAAAGTCCACTGTCAGCTGAGCAGTTGGTTGCACAGCAATCTGGGTTGCAACAGACTCCCAACCTGAACCCAAAGATTGTAGTATCATGAAAGAATACACAGCCTCTGGAAAGTTGAGTCCTCTCTGTTGCAGCTCATGTCTCAGATTTTGCATCTCAATCAGATGTAAACGCACATCTCCACCTTCAGCAAGAGCCATATTATGCAGCTTGTTAAAATAAAACATTGTGGATCCAGCTTCTGTCCTTAAGTGAGCCTCTCTCAGAGCGTCCCAAATTTCTCTGGCTGAGGTCTTATCACGCAATAGACAGAGCTCTTCTGGGGATACTATCAATGTAAGAGTTCCCTTGCTTTGGAATCCTTAGCTTCCCATGCATCTGTAACTGGAACTGGGGGTTCCTGTAATCACCTCAAACAAACCCTCTTTCCGCAGAATTGCCTCTGCATACTGAACCCAGTCGCTGTAATTTTTCTTGTTGAGCTTAGGAATCCCACAAGCATCCTGAAGGGCCATCATGACTCTGGCATTAGTCTTCAGCGTCATATGCTGCTTTAAATCTTGCTGCGTCACTGCTGCAGCTGCCTTATCCAAAAGCACACTTAAAAGTTACTTTCGATTTCCCCAGCATAATGACTTGTGCCTGGGAGCCTTTTGCCTATTCCCAGCAAAACCGGCTTTAAAAGTTCAAAGTCCAGCCATAAAGCCATTAACTTGAAGCTGGCAGGCTGCCCGGAGCAGTAGCACATACCTCATCAATCACTTCTACGCGCAGAGCAGATTCCTTTCCGATCCGTTCCTCTGCATTCCGATCCTCTGCCGGCAGTCCGATTCGACCTCTGGAGTCCATAACCACGTGTTGATTTAAAGCAGAGCCTCGTGCCCAGCGGAAGGATGAAGAAAATGTGCTGCATACTCCATATAGCTTTATTTACAGTTCAAAGCTGGTATATTACAGAAAGACATCTTGCCTCTGCAGGAGCAGAAAAATGCATCCTCTCTCCTCTCTCAGCTCGGAGAGAATCACAGAGAAAAAACAGGAAACCAGTGTACGTCACATCCAGTCTCCCTTTCCCGTGAGAAACTCCAACAGCACAGACTGTGGAATGTAAACACCTGTCTCATGACAAGCAGAGCTGCACAGTGAAGGAAAGCAGAAACCAACACAAAGTTGTTGACCTTTTTTAGGATTGAAGCTGTTGAGCACCTTTAAGGGTTGGAGTTGTTGAGCTTCTTTTAGGATTGAAGTTGTTGAGGGTTTTTTTAGGATTTTATGTTAGGAAATAAACTGCCACAGGGGCTAGATTAAACCGGCCAGCCGGATTAGGCCCCCGAAACAGACTCTGGACATGCCTGCCCTACAACAGCCTAAAGCTGGTCAACTCACCATGCAAAGCAATCATAAGATCATAAGAAGAGCCCTGTAGGATTAGGCCAAAGGCAGCATCCTATTCTCATGGAGGCCAACCAGATGTCAGAGGGAAGCCTGCAAGCAGCACCTGGGTACAATAGTGCTCTCCCCACTTGTAATTCCCAGCCACTGATATTCCTCTGACAGTGGATGTATAGCACTGCCACCATGGCTAATAACCATTGATAGCTTTATCTTCCATGAATTCTCTTTTAAAGACATTCAAGTAGGTGACCATCACTGAATCTTGCAGTTGCAATCAAGAGGAAACAGACATTATAAAGCTCTTCCTTATAGGCTGGTCTAGCAGTCAGCAACTGATTGAAGTAACTGTGCAATCCCTCCCCTGTCTCTATCTTTAATCCAGCCTTTGGACTCCAGTCTATTCATGACCACACATCCCACCTCTGTCCCTCTGTCCCTGTTTCCCTGATCTGATACATACCTTCCCAGATTCCATCAATGTCAACTATTTGTGAAATAGGATTCTTCTTACATCCCGGCATATATTCTCCTCCATTTGGATAAAAATCAAGGTGTCCTATAGCTTCACTTATACCAAACCCTGGAAAGTTCATAGCAGATAAGTATATGTTAAATTTGAAAGATCGCATGCATATTATTGCACATGTTGTATACTGCAGTCAACTTACCCATGTATGGAATGGTTGGGGCTGAATCAGTATGAATAATGTCAACAAAATCAGCGTGACTTTTATCCAGTCTGACCTCAGTTGGTGTGCCTTGAAAATAGGGTTGAGCAGGATCCAGTCCTATAAATATTTAAATGTTTTGTTTCAAGAGATGAAAATTTACGGAATATGTTGAACCACAATTAACCGAAGTAACAACTAACAACATATTATTGGAAATGGGAGCGGAGCTGGGAAAATTCTGATTCCCATCAGAACAACTTTGCATTCAATTATTTGCCAGGAAATCCCCTCAGACAAATTATCTGAACCTGGGCAGGATTGTAAAACACCTGTAGCTGCACTGATCCTGAAATATGCCCTATCCTTGCATCTCCAAGGCAGTGTTATATTGCTGGGCTTTCAAATGCCATTCTACAGTAGACTAGGCTACACCCAACAGCAACACATGCCAAAGTGTATTCACACTTTCCCATTCATTAAACACTTTCCCCCCCAATATAATGAGCTACTATAATTACATAAGTACAACATGGCAGATAAGATTCAAAGTCCATATTGATTGTCTTGATACCAATTTGCATTGCACCAACCTACCAGTTATTCTTCCAATTCCTGGTATTCTTCTTCCCATCTCACCACCTGCATGTGCCCCAAGGCTGTGGCCAATGAAATGAACCATGGATGGAGAGTATCCATACTTTGACTAAAAAAAGAGCAATTGTAAAGAAAACAGCATACACACTGGTAGATGTGTGTTATGGTTCATTCACTTTGTAACTCAATCTACACAAACCTTTATCCTTACAAGCTGAATTCAGCTTGGAGCCACTCCATGTGTGAGAGAGAAAGGGGGAGGGGGAGGGGGGAGACTGACTTTACGGGTAGCTTAAAGGTGCTGAAGGACATTGCAAAACTACAGAGTTGAAGAAAGACATAGCATATTTTTGGATTTCATATCTTTTAAATAAAATGCCAGCTAGGTTAGATCAACTTTCCTCCATATGGTGCCCTCCAGCTGTTTTTGATCACAACTCTCATCAATCCTAGCCAGTACATTGACTGGGGATGATAGGAGTTGTAGTCCAAAACAGCAGGACACCACAACATTGGTGAAGGCAGCATCAGCTCTTAACTGGTGCTTGTTACTTAGCACAAATAATATATATTGAGATGGTCTGTAGCTCAGTGGATATAATACCTTTTGGATTTTGACACAGGAGTTCTGAATTTTGTTCTTAGCTGTGGACTTCTGCCTGGTGGCATTGGGAAAGTCACTATGGTTATTTTGTTTCATTTCTAAACCATTTGTATGTTATCTATGTATTTATTTTATATTAAGGGTTCTATTTTTGTCTGACTGCTTCGCATATTGCTGCATTAAATTTGAATCAAGTGCATAATTAATATATGGCTTTGCAAATCTTGCCCTAGTGCTTGTGGTAGTCAAGAATGCATATTTAAAACTGAAAACTAGGATTATACTTCCTTGCTAAAAATTCAATATTGGCTTAGCTACAAGTGACAACCTTTTCCTCTCCCCAACAAAACATCTTCCCGGAATATGGTAACTGAATTTTGACACTAAACTTACTCTGTCCACCAGATGATATAATAAATTGTTTCTTGTATAAAATAATGCTTGGAAAAGTATTTGGGTGGGGTTTTTTGCCCAGGTTTTATCAAATGATTTAATCTTTCTTGTCACGGATGCCTTCCAGTAACTGTAGGATTCATAACTATGGCATAGTGAATGGAACTGCTCTTACCTGAAGGACATTTACAAAGTAGGCCACTTCAGCTCCCACCACACGGATATTGTTCGATGCTTGGGTGTATGGACACCTGGAACCACCACTCCAGTCTATGCAGATGCAGTTCACATCTTCCACTTGAAACATCCTCTGATGCAAACAGAGTAAAAACAAACTTGAGGGACAGCGTTCTGGCTCCACAAATCCTGAATGTTCTCTTTGTGCTAAAGCACCACTTATCCTATTATTCACAGAATTGTGCTACTGTAGCCACCTTGGCTGGCAGCTGCCTTAGGCCATTTTACCTTTGTCATGTTTCATCGTTCATTTCCTTGTGTTATCTATTTTCACTATACTAGTAAAGTTTGGAGGCAAGTGCTACTCCTAAGTAGCCACAGTGGCACCACACACACACACACACACACACTAGGGAGAGGTATTAGCATACTTGTAGAAACCCCAAGGTTTCCAGCAATACAAAAAAGATGCAACATGCAACCCTGATTTTCAAACCCTCCGAGTCCAATGATCACCGAATGATGAGTGTTGAGGAGGTGGAAACTGGAGAAGAGAGGGGAAATGGAACGGAGTATCCTAGAAAATGGCAGGGTTGGCTGGCTGGAACCCTGAACAAGAGCACTCCACACTGTAGCATTTCTAGGCCCCACATGGCCTAACTGTTTTGCAAGTGAGTCAAGTAAGAGGAAAATCACTTCATATTTTAAGTATCAGAGCCTCAGAAGCATTTGAGTACGACAGATCTGGCTTCATTTTAGGGTACTGGATGACATGATCTTTAAATCCCTCCAAGAAAATACTTTAGTTAATCCTGACAAATGAAAATCTGAACTCACAATTAAGTGCAAGTTCATAATTCTTATGGTTGTTGTTGTTGTTGTTGCATGTTCCCTATGGCAAATTGGTAACAGGCAAAGAGCTATGATAATTGTGAGGGCTATATGTCTGGATATGAATGTATTTCAGAGCTATTTCATGAACATTACATTGTACTGTACCTTGCACATGTCTGACAGCCAGTTTTCTTCACCTTGATCTACAAATCCATGGGTAATGAAGCGAGTTATCTTGCCGGCATTAAAGTTTGAATAATCAATCGTTTCTGGATTAATTGCAGTGATTTCCTGTGAAAGGTATGAAAGAATATAAACTTTAACTGCTTCTCCCAACTCACCTAAAACTGAGTGAAAGTACCAAACACCATCCATAATGATTGAGATGTGTTTTAATTCACCCACACTGTCTGTGAATTTCTATATGTTTCACAGAGGTGTTTCTCTGAGGCCACCTCCAGATGACCTGCTTTTTGAGCACTCATCCTGATTTGTTTGCAGTGAGATTAGATGGTGTTGGCCATTTAATAGGCATTCATTAAGATCTGAATGTAGGGATGTTAGACAACATTGTTCAACACTTTCCAGTACATTTTTCTGCCACTTTCCTTATTGCAAAAAAAATCTGATACTTTGGGAGAAGTGGGTCTGCAGGGCAAGACCTCCCAGTCAACTATAATTGTGCCACCTGAATTTGCCCATATGTGATTGAATCCTACCTGAAAATAGCAAGCCTGGAAGTGCCCTTAAAGTATTATCCCCTTTTATTCTGTGTATGGGGAAATCTTGAAATTTTACATGGTTGTGGGCCTTACTTGGAAGTTATTAGGGTTCTGCTTTGTGTAGAGAAGGAAGCGAGTGTTTATTCTTGTTGGGGACCAAGGTAACTTTGCAATTGGTCGTTGTACAGTTCCAGCCCATGGTATATCATCTGAAAAGCAGCCCAGTCGGTCATAGCAGACTTCTTTTCCTGTTATATGGGGAGCAAATAACCAAAGCGTGAGTGACCAAAGTACTAAAAGAATTCACAGTCTGTCCTTTTTTTGATGTTCAGGCAAGCTCATGTGAAATAAGACAGTTATTTAAGACTGCTTCCAGCAATTGTCTCATGTTCAGAATAGTGGCACAATATAATGCAGAAGGACTTGTACGTGTTAACGGAGCAATTGGTTTGTGAATAAAATGTTTAGATAGGTTCATCTTTCCATTTTGGTTTCTTTCTGTTTTCAGTTTTTCAATCTTAAATTTCAATCTTTAAAATTAAAATTCATCAGCATTTAGCATAAATTTCTCCAAAAATACACACTTTTATGTAATTTGGCCAATGCAAACATTTTTGTAAAGCCGTTTTCCTTAATATACTGCACTTTGATGTGTTAATTTCAATAACAAATGCCTTTCATACTTTACCCTAGTATATGCATTTTTGTACACATCACTTAGCTGAACAACTGCATTTCAAAATTTGGAGACGTGAATTTTGAAGGATGATTGTGTTACAGTTTAATAATAATAATAATAATAACAATAATAATTTTTATTTATACTCCGCCCTCCCCGGCCAAGGGCGGCTAACATCAGGTATAAAAACAATTGATTAAAATGCAACTTAAAAACAGGATTAAAATACAACTTCAAATGCAGCCTCATTTCAATGTTGAAAAGGCCCTGGCCCTGGTTGAGGCTAATCTGAATTCCTTAGGGGCCGGAACCTCTAGAGTGTTGCTATTTATGGACCTTAAGGTCCTCCGTGGGGCATACCAGGAGAGGCGGTCCCATAGGTATGAGGGTCCTAGGCCACAAAGGGCTTTAAAGGTCAAAACCAGCACCTTAAACCTGACCCTGTCCTCCACCGGGAGCCAGTGCAGCTGGAAAATCACTGGGTGAATGTGGTCCCGCGTCAAGGACCCTGTGAGGAGCCTCACCGCGGCATTCTGCACCCGCTGGAGTTTCTGGGACAACTTCAAGGGCAGCCCAGTGTAGAGCGAGTTACAGTAGTCAAGCCTGGAGGTGACCGTCGCATGGATCACTGTGGCCAGATCAGGGCGGGAAAGGTAAGGGACCAACTGTTTGATATGGCAGAGATGGGGGGCCACAAGGGGGTGCATTGGAAGACGGCCGACAATACCATCTCTCCGACCCACACGGGGTAATTAAGAGGCTGTTATGGAAGTAGGCAGCCTCCCTTGTTGCCCCAAGGAAATGGGGAACAATGCCCTTGCCTGCTGTGCCCATAAATCACCCCCTAATTCGAAAGAAGGGGGTGAGGGCCCTAGGCAGAATGCCCCCGTGTGGACCTCGGCTCTCCTGGACGCTGTCTCTGATCGCACACTAGTTGCAGCAATTTGGAATAATTAATTACAAAAGAAGCAAATGCACATATTTCAAGTGAAGAAGGGGAGTGAAGTCTGCTAATTTAAGTGACCTCTGCGAAAGAAGACGACGGGCTGGAGAAACAGGAATATTTTACGATGAAGATACACCAAAGGCGGGGTATGTTGACAACGGGGCTGAATGGGGGGGGGACCTTTTTTACTTTCCTTCTATGTGATTTACAAGAACCCCTCCTCATTAGAATTGTCGCTTGAACTGACCCAAGCAGGATGATTAAGGTCTGTGTGGAGATAAACTTTAACCAAAAGTATGCTTTATGGAGACCGAGAAGCAATAAGAGCTTTTGGGAATGGCGCAGCAATTAATTCGGAGTCACCATCTTGCTAAAGGATTTATAGCCGGGAGGAAGAACGGACTTGTTTTCAGACTGCATTCCTAGTGAATCTCCTCAGAGGTTTTGAGAAAGGAGGCAGATTGGTGAAGATTAATGACGCTAAGACTGTTTTGATGTATGGAAGTGATGTTATATGGAAAACGTCTGGATATGGCTACTGGATAAAAAAAAAAAAAATCCACGCAGGATTACAAACTGTTCTAACCAGCTTGCGGAGACTATCAGAGGTCACAAAGAGAAAGGAAAAATATATGAAAATAACCACAAGAGATGTGGAAAAATAATAAGAAAGGACTGGATAGTACTGTTAACATCATAAGGTTAGATTTGTGGACATTAAAACAGCAGTAAGAAGCAAGAAGTTGATTGGATCCCTTCGGAACTTGAAATATGGGTACCCTCAACAAAAATTTAAAATTCGGCTGTGTAATTTGGAATTTATGTAATTTGGTTTGATTTGATGTGATTGGTCGGTTAATAAAAAATTATTCTTAAAAAAAAATGATATGGCAGAGATGGAAAAATACTGCCTTTGCAGTAGCTGCAACCTGCACCTCCATGGAGAGGGAGGCGTCGAAGGTTTCACCCAAACTCTTGACAGAAGGCACTGGCACAAGTTGAGCCCCCGCAAGAGATGGGAGTTGTCCCCCCAACCCCATGCCGTCCCGACCCACCAGAGGTCCTCTGTCTTCAAAGGGTTTAACTTCAACCGGCTCCCACACAGCCATCCAGCCACAGCTTCCAGACATCTGGTCAGTGTGTCCGAGGCCGACTCAGAATGGCCATCCATCAACAGATAGAGCTGGGTGTCATCAGCATATTGATGACAACCCAGCCCAAAACTCTGGACAATCTGGGCAAGGGGGCACATAAAGATGTTAAAAAACATTGGGGAAAGGATTGCGCCCTGCAGCACTCCACACACCAAGCGGTGCTGCGACAACATCTCCTTCCCTAGCACCACCCTCTGTCCCTGACCTGAGATAAAGGAACACAGCCATTGTCGGACTGTGCCCTGAATCCCCACGTCGGCAAGGCAGTGGTCCAAAAGTTCATGATCAACCATGCCGAAGGCCGTCCCGACCCACCTCAGTCCAGTTGTCTACGGAGATCATCTGTTAGGGCGACCAGAGCCATCTCGGTCCCATAACCAGGGCAAAAGCCGGACTAGAATGGATCCAAAGCCAATGTTTCCTCCAGAAACCTACCAAGCTGTTCAGCAACCGCTCTCTCAATTACCTTACCCAGGTATGAAAGATTCAAAACTGGGCAGTAATTGGATAGATCTAAAGGATCTAATGATGTTTTATTTAAGAGCGGACACACCACTGCTTCCTTCAGCTCCCCTGGGAATGCCCTTGTGCCAAGGGACAAGTTGATGATCTCACCCAAGGGGACCCACACCTCGTCTGGGCACGCTCTAATCAGCTAAGATGGGCACAGGTCGAGGAGGCAAGTGGTAGGCCTTCCAGCTTGGAGGAATCTGTCCACATCAGCAGGGAGTATCCAGTCGAAATGGTCCAATACTGGACCCAAGGACAGTCAAGGGGCCTCCAGTTCTACTGCTGTATCTAAATTGGCAGAGAGGTCATGGCGGAGCAGCAGGACCTTCTCCACAAAAAAGCTCGCGAATGCCTCACAGCTATGGGTCAAATTCGTATTTAAATTTGGCTGTCCCACTGGGGGCGTTAAAGACCTAATTATTCTGAAAAGTTGTGCTGGGCGAGAGCTAGCAGATGAAATGGAAGCTGAGAAATAAGACTTCTTAACAGCATTCACAGCCTTCTCATAGGCTCTCAGTTTGCGTATTGTTTCAGAAAATCCAGATTAGGGAGGTTCACCTTTAAATGTGAACTAAATCAAATTTCTCTCCCATTCCTAATAATACATAATTAGGATCTAAATCCCAACACTAACTTGCACCTTAATTTCCCTCTCACCATCTCTCCATCTGCAGTAAGGAAGAACTCAGTCTCTCTTACTACAGTATTACTTCACTTTGGCATCCTTCAGCAGACTTACTGGGATGTGTCTCACACTGCTCAGCTCCCTTTCCCTGACGCACCGTATCTCAGAGGCACATTGCTGCAAACCAACATTAGTTTGGGGATCATGCAATGCCACATTCAAAGTAACAATTGGATCTCACCTGCTGTTGCATCGAGCAGTACAAGTGCCAAGCTCCAAAAGGCAAACATCTGAAATGGATTTTTAAAAGAGTAAAAAGATAGGGCCAAAGAAGGCAAGAATCAGTATTAATTTTGTCAGAGTCTCAATGGCATATTGAAGACAAATACATGCACATATATATTGAGAAGACTGATACCAGTGATAATTACATAAAGGAAAAGGGTTACAGTGACAATTAATAATGCATTGCACTTGACAGTTAATAATGGTATTGCACTTAGTCTTTAAGAACAGACCAACAGGCCGTTTGCCTGTTTTTGCTGCAGCAGACTAGCACAGCTACCCCTCTGGAAATTATTGATTTTGTTCTCACTGTTACAATAGCGTTAGTGCACAGTGAAAATGCATCAGTTGCAGCGCTGACTTGATGAGATAAGATGTGACTTACCGCACCGTCTTTGGATGACTCCTTCCAGCAAAGTCTTCACTACCTACACATGGTCTTTTTATAAAGAGTCATATCCTTGGGGGCTATTATTGAAAGCAAAAAAGTGTATAAAGATAGAAACTGACGTGTATTTCTGATTAAGGTTATCATAAATACACAAAGCACGGCAAGCATATCACAGATAAAATGGACTGAGTGACCAGGCAACATTCCTGAATTACATATACAGTGGTGCCTCGCAAGACGAAATTAATCCGTTCCGCAAGAGTCTTCGTCTAGCGGTTTTTTCGTCTTGCGAAGCAAGCCCATTGACGGATTAGCGCTATTAGCGCTATCAGCTGTTTAGCGGCTATTAAAGGCTTAAAGGCTTAGGGGATTAGCTGCTAAAAGGCTATTAAAGGCTATTAAAGGCTTAGCAGATTAGATAAAGGGGAAGCGAAAAAAATCTCAGGACTCGCAAGGTATTTTCGTCTTGCGAAGCAAGCCCATAGGGGAATTCGTCCTGCGAAGCAACTTCAAAACGGAAAACCCTTTCGTCTAGCGGTTTTTCCGTCTTGCGAGGCATTCGTCTTGCGGGGCACCACTGTAAATGTAAGAGCAAAGATCCTGGTTTGCTAGGGAAAGTGATATTGTCCACTCACCTGGGGCTCGGGGGGGGGGAGGGTGTTTGCTGTACGGCGTGCCTGAAGGTGGTCCAGGGAGGCCAACATAATCCTGTGCAACCAGGAAGGGGATGGCCACCCGGTGCTGCCCAACTGGACCTTCCAGGTGGGTTGGCCTGACCCTCTAGGCCAATTGGGGCAGGGGCATGCTGGCTGCAATATGCCCACCCCTGGCATATTTAAGAAAGCAGCTTCTATTTTTGTGTGTGATTTTCTTAAAAGGGAATTAAGTTCCTTTCATTGCACTCCCATGGTCAAAATATCAAGAATGTAAATGTCAATCAGCAGGACTGCCTTTGGGAAGGAGTATTCAAGGCGTCATATATTGTGGAAAAATATCAAGCCTTCACACTCCTGATTAAAGGCCTGATTAAAACTGTATATAAAGACAAGGCAATGGCATTGGAGAAGACCACAATCAGTCAGAATCTCTTCTCAACTGATCAATGTGGTGTTCTGATTGTATAGTGAGCTAACAGCATTTTTATTGTGATCACAAATTTATCCCAACCCATTTAATAAGAAAGCACAAGAAACTAGCTTTACAGGGAAAACATAGGAGAAGCAGCATTACTGAAGTCAAAACTTCCAGCATTCCATACTTCTTCATTCTTTCACGTTCTCTCTCACCTTCATGCCAACTCTATACATTCTGCTTCCACAATGTGTATGGAAGAAAGCCGAAAGTAACCTTTTAAAAACGTGGATTGCATGTTTTGCAGCAACTCCCTTAATAGGTGCTGAAATGTTCTACTGGAAAAAATACTTGACTGTTCTTCACAGCTTTCACTTCTGAAGCTTCTAAAACTTGGAGGGGTCAGTTTTCAGCCTGTGCTTGCAAACCATCAGTCTCACATCCTACCATAGTAATAGGGGACCTGCATTCATCTGAAAAAAACCTAACATGTACAGGATTTCTGAAGTATTTAAAGAGGACTTTCCCAGTTGCTTTATTTTAGAATTAAGGAAGAAGAAAGTTTTTTTAAAAAAATAACTGAAGCTGCAATTCTCTATACACTTACCTGGGAGTAATAATAGAACTTACATCCTGAGTAGCCATGTGTAGGATTGTGCTGTAAGAATACACTCCTATTGCATGTTTATCTAGACATCAATCCTATTAAGTTCAACTGAGTAAACATGGATAAGATCAGGCTGTACAGATGACAGAATTGTGATTTGATGACAATGAATTAATATCCTGTACAGAGGCACTACGCAGTAAACATGTATTCTCACACCCCACTGATATGCTTGGGATAAGGTGGTACATATACCCTTTCTCTTTTTCAGGCAATTCCATTTCACCTGTGGTCTTATAGCCAGAAGCAGTATTCCTAGAATTGCATTTTATTGCAGGCTTTGGTAGCTCCAGTCACTAGATGTGTGAAGGAATAAAAGGACACCACCTGTGCACACAAATACGAAGCTGCCAAATTATATAAGAAAATTTCCATTAAAACCAGCCGGCTGTTTTTGGTTTGGATTCAGGGACTTATTCCACCTGTTGCTTAGCAAGTATGGAAGGACCTTCACCTTATTTTCTCAAAATATACTTTTGTTGTTGCTAAGATTATTGCAAATATTTAAGACTGCTTTTCTGGTCAAACGTCCATCAAAAGCAACTTATGGTTCAAAACAATGACATATAAAAAGAACACAAATCTGAAAACCACAACTCAGCAACATTTTGTTTGTTTGTTTTTGTCTGTGTGTGTATAAAAACATAATTCAACCAGACTGCCACCTAATTAATAAACATAATACCTGGAAAGCCAACTGAAAAACCTAAGTCTTCAGCATCTTCCAAAAACACTCCCACCTGCATGGCTTTAAAAGAGGATTGGACAAATTCATGGAGGATAAGGCTATCAATGGCTCTGTCTTCAAGGAGCAGAAAGAACCGTATGTTCATAAATGTTGCTACAGCTTGTTTTGTTTTGTTTTTCCTGATGAGGAGCAAATCAAAATCTGTAAAGGTAATAGGGGACTTTGCATTTTGACAGACGGAGCTCACCCTCTGAAGCCCCCCATGATTTTTAGCATTGATTATTTGTAGCATATGCTCTGCCCACAGTGCTCTGCCCCATTACTTACACAATGATACAATGTGATGGGGGCTAAATGGTTTGGAACAACTGCAAGTCATTGATCTCTAGGCTTTTGTATGTGCTGAAGAGACAAAACTCACCTGCTGCAAAATATTTGAACTTATGTGCACAGGGTATCATTTAATATATATGAAATATATGTTCATTTGTCAGCTGTTGTCAGATGATGGAAGCAAGTAAACCATTAACATGTATTGGACTTCTGCCATGTATAGAAGCAGCTTATCTGTTGCTCTCTCTTTTAAAAAACCCTGAAACCCTCACCCACCCGCTTGATTTGTAGGAGTTTTAGTTCCACAGTTCATACTGTAACCTGCAGAGTGAGCAGATAACTCTGAAGATGTGGCATGTTTCCAAGTTGCTAAAGTACTAGAATAAAGAGGGTGAAATCAATGAACATATTTTAAGCTACAGTGCCCTCCAAGTTACTTAATCTTGAGGTCCCACAGGACCTTCAGTTTATGGAACTAGTCTTCAAAGAACCATGTTGGAAGGAAGGTAATGGACTATTGAAACTCAGGAGTTGAAACTCAAATATGGCAGGACTGTAGTTATTGTGTTGTGTTGTGAAGATTTTGTTGTTGGCATCCATCTGTCTCGAGAGATAATGAAGTGCACCTCTGGGGGTGAAGTCAAACGCTGCATCTGCAGCACCAAAGTGTTCTCCCCTGGGCACACGTGTGGGTAGTGTGTATGGAAATAATCAGGCAAAAAATGATAAAAAGAATAACTGTCTCATGCGTTTTAGTCATGTGTAATCAGATATGTACACCAATTTCTTTCTTTATGAGGAATTAGTTTATAAATTTACTGGATAGATAGATAGATAGATAGATAGATAGATAGATAGATAGATGGCATTCTCTCACCATTTATAGACTTTTGTAGAGAGAGTTTGGGATTCTATCACGGGTACTAAAATAAGAAAGCAAGCAACATTTTTACTCAGTTGTTGCAATTTCTTTATTGTGGGTGGTTTTTTTTTGCAGCCATTCATTAATTAGTCTGACAAAAAATGCATACATACCCCTGCTCTTCAGCTAAAAGGCACACAGCTATTGTAACAGAAAATAATATACCATCTCTACGAAGCACTAAATACAATATTTTGTATGAGGGTTCAATATAGTCTGGAGCAGCTATTGTTATGTACATATCATGCTTTGCTACTTGATGCTCAAAATGTGAGGTGGGATGTCTCTGTAGAAATGTGAGCAACAGATTCCTATTAAACATACACATATAAATACACACACGCACACACATTTCACCATTTGGACATATCAATTCAATCAATTCAGTTCTGGATCTGGAATGAACTCCCAGCATACATCAAAACATCCATTTTTTATGTCTACAGTACTTTCATGTATTTAGAAGCAGATAGAAATTATAATAATGACTTCTTGTTTTAAAAACAAACCATGATTTTGCACAGAGCAGACTAAGAAAGAAGCACAACTATGTTTCAAACCTTCAAGCTCTTTCAGTGGCCAAGTGAAAAAAGCAGTTCTATGTTCTTGTAGTTTACATATACATAATCTGCTTCCTTTTAATGCTCAGCAAGGTGTAAGTATTTGAGGAACTCCATGTGTTGCTGTCCCACTGCCACAAAAGAAGGATCTGGGAGAGAAAAGGCAGAAACCACCATGTCAATAAATCTCTCACTTCCAATAAGTTTTTCTTGCCCCTCCTCAATATATTTCGCTGAATGTTGAAAAGAAGCAGAGATAGCCAAGTGTGAGCATAAGACTGGTAAGTTAAGGAATGTACATGATTTTCTCAACTGGAAAGTTGTGGTTTGTTCCAACAGAATTGTTAATCATTCAAGTAGTCTTTAAAGCAGGAATGGGGAGCTCTGGCCTTGACTACGGAAGAATCTCAGTGGATGCTGTGACTGCAGGGACTGGTAACTTGTAATTTCTGCCTCCTGCATTGTTTTTGCTGCATTCACAGCACCAAAGTGACCTCTCTAGGGCATAAGCCAGGGCAGTTTGCATGGAGGTCCTGGGCTGCCCGGATTACGACACCTCCTGCCCCTGATGGTATAAATCATGAAATCAAAACATTCAGAATAGCCATACTTACTCATGCCCATCCTTTCCACGGACTAGGCGCACTCTTTCAGCTCCCAGTTTAGCCCAGAATGAAGTGAAGATCTTCTTATGCCAAATAAATTCAACTCTTGAAGCTTTTACAGGATTAATTTCGACACTGATGAGCTTTGAGTAGGTTTGCCCTTGGTTAAGGCTGCCACTGAAAATGGGCAAGCAATGAAAGTCATTAGAGAGCATCAATATAACAGTTGTGCTTTGCAATTGTCAATTTAATAGTCAGGTAATCTGCAGAATTATTGTTGCTCATTCACATTTCGTGTCACTCACGTACATATATTTCAAGATGGATGAGCAGGTGAGGCTGAAAGCCTGACTTGTTAAAGATCACCCAATAAATCCATGACATTGTTGCACATTATTATTACATACCAACTTCTAAAAGAGGGCATCAAGGTGTTATAAAATCTGCTCTGAACTTTTACAGTGCTGTCCGTTCTTCATTGTAAGGACTGGTTGATCATTTAATTGTTTTAGTTGTTTGTGTTATTTAGGCATCATATGATAAGTTTAAATTGAAACAGCTTCCTTTCTAATCTGACAACTTTCTGTTTTTGTTTAGGATTTCTTTTAAGAGAAGCAGGGGTGGCAAAAGACACATACAGAGAAAGAGAGAGGCACAGTCAAAAGAGTAAAAGTAGGTTCCATATTTAAGGTTAAAAATTGTTGGTGTCCATAGCAGCCCTATACATTCCTCAGAGCACCAGCAGGCTGTGGACTGTCATACCTGCAATTATTTAACTGTGACAGGCAGGGCCGTCTTACCCATAGGCAGTAGGGGTGTGGGGCACCCGAGCGCTGAGCTCTCAGGGGTGCCAGGCTGAGAGTCTGGGGCCCAAGAGTAGAATCTGGGGAAGAGCCCGCCCGTCGGTCAGAGCACCGTGGCGGACTCTTCTGCTGCGGGCGGCTCTGCACCACGAGTTCAGGGGCAACCGAGCCAGTGAGATGCTGAGGCGGCCAGCCGGCTCTGCCCTCCTGCGCGCCTGGGACTGGGCAACCTGGGGAGGGGCACTGGGCGGATCTTTGCACCCCGGCGCCGCATATGCTTAAGACAGCCCTGGTGACAGGCAACCGAAACTATGTGTACATTAACATCACAGCATATAAACAGAACAGCTGACTTGTGAAATATCTGCACACAACTTATAAACATGTTTAATGATGATTAATTGAATCATGTATGAGCAAAACTGCAAAACCTGCTATTTCACTATATCATAAAACATACCTCCCAATTTGGTATTCTTTTGTCTTTCCATCTTTCATTTGGAAAGCTATGTCCATTTCTCCCTTCACGCCTGTCATTCCAGATAGCTTGACCGATATATTATATAGCCAGCCTACACAATAAATATATAATGAATCAAGATATGAAAGTAGGAAGAGCAAGAACTGCAAATAGAGAGGAAGAATTCTATGCATTTAGCATTCATGCCTGAGGTAAATGAAAAAGCAACCGTGGTTACTTTAATAGCCTTTAATTTAAGAAATTTGGGAAGAGGTGAGTTGAACAAGACTTTCATTACTTGAAATTTGGATCCAGGCCACTGTTGCTGTGTTGGTTCGAAGCTTAGATTATTAAAATAAATTTAAAGGTGTATGATTTTAAATCCACTGCAGTGTGGGAAGAGCTTAATTTCTTTAATTGTTAAGAAGCTGGTGCTATATTTGGCCCAGTTATCCCCCCCCCCTTGAATTATAAAACTAGCAAAAAGAAAGGGAAAAAAGAAAAATGTGCAGTGCCCAAATGTGTGAAGTATTTCATTGCCTTTCCCCATGTATTTTGCCCATGAAAAACAGCATTTATTTGTACCTCGATCATCAACATTGCCCAATTAGACAATCCTAATTAGGAATGGGAATTTTATGTTTAAGAAATGAATCTCAATGAGGTCAGAGAGATATGCTTCCTGGTTATGCATAATTAGGATTGCAGCATGAAGGTGTGTGAATATTATCCATGCATATGTGATTGCTTCCTGTGCTTGTTGACATGTGATCTTTAATCATTTCACACATTGAAATGCTGTAGCTCAGTGACAGAACACGTGCTTTGCATGCAGGAGGTCCCAGGTTCTATCCATGGTATCTACAGGTAGGATTTCTGTCTGAAACCCCGAAGAGCAACAGCTAGTTAGTGAAGACTGTACTGAGTTAGATGGACCAATGGTCTGACTCAGCATAAAGCAGCTTTCTATGTTTCCTATCGAAGGTTTCACACTTGGAGAGAGAGAAAATTGACCAGGAACTTTGTAATCTGTTCCTTGCAACTTCAAACACATTCTTGGGGCTTTGTACAAGGTCACCTGGGATAAGAAAATCCACAGCAATCCTCCCTGCAGTGTGTTGGCACTTGGAAATGATTCCAGTTGAAAACGTGTTCATTTCTCTGCATGGAAAACAATGGGGAAATCACAGCTATGTGTCCTGTTTTGATTCCCAAAACTGTGATCACTGCATGGACTGCTGTAAAGTGTCTTGTATATCAACAGATTTCACGGCAATGACACACATGTGTATCTGTACTGAACTGACTTTAATTTGTGCACTTACTGGTAAATGGCTTCTTAGGTGCTGTATCTAAAAAGTACTTTGGGTTGTTATTCCTCAGTTTATTATGGAACCGATCAGCATAGTGGCCCATCATTGGACAGCCTTCTCTGGGGCATGGAAAGCAATTTCCCTAGGAGAAAATAATGCATTGGTCAAGAGAGCATTTGCTTTTTCCCATTCAAACATTTGTTATGGTGTCAGTTCAAGTATCCTTTGTTGCTGTTCCGCCTCATTGTCTCAAACTATGAGGGGTATGAATTATTATTTTTGTTCTGCAATTTTCCCCATACTAACCTGGAGTACTCAATACCTGCAATCCTAACCCTGAGTATTCAAAAGCAAGTCTGGTTGAAGTCAGTGGAACTTAATCCCTGGTAAACAAGGTTTGGAGTGCAGCTGATTCATGGGATTGTAACCAACATACTTCTAACTTTCTTGTTCCATCAACACAAGGTTTCTGCTTACACAATGGATCATTCTCCCCTCTCCTCCACCTGCACACTCCCTAAATCTGTTCTAGTGGTTCCCCCAACTCTCCAGGAAAGATCTGGGGAGGGCTTGGGGCATGCCTGAGGAAGGGGGAGGGGGAAGTCCTGTTGTGCAAGCAGAAATCCTTGCACTGATGGGATGTGGTAGTTGAATTGCCCTTAATTTCTACAGTGAGAGGTCTTGGTATTCAAGGCTGCCTGACACTCACATTCTGCTCTGAAAGTCTTTGTGCCTAACCCTTGATGTGTACGGAGTCTGTGCAAGTTTATGTTTAATATTACATAAAATGTTGGATATTTTAAATGCATTGTATTCAAGTTACTGTAAAGAATGTTTAAGCACATGGCCAGTATTTTTCCATGGAACTGGTGTTTTTTCCACTCAAGGTGAGGCAGCTTGAGGTTGTGACTGAATCACAAGGTTTGAATACTATTACAAATGTTTATATATGCTAATGAAATTGCTTGCGTGTGCAAAAACTATGTGTAGTCTCTCTCTCTCTCCGGGCATTAGCTCAGCATGTAGCAGGAAGGAGAAAGAGAGATAGAGTGTTTTGTATTCCTAACTACATTTTAGTAAAATCTGTTCTCAAGTCTCACACTGGGCTCAGTCAGTCTGTGAGAAAGAAGTTTTGTAAGATTAACATTTGAAACTTGAGTTCTGCTAGTAAAGCTCTGAAAATGCAATTCTTCTATGGAATAAAATTTAGATGCAGAATATTTATTGATTTCATAGATCTGTAGTACATGCTAGGCCCTGCCCTAGTTGCAGAGTGGGGGTGGAAGGCCCCTCATTGGCACTGTGCCAAGTCCTGTGTCCCTTGCCAAGTCTGGTATTGGCCCTGCTATGCTGATATAATCTAATCAAACTAGACCACCATGCTTACCTCTTGGAAGGATTCATATGATTCACATGGGTAAGCAACAAATCCTCCAGGAAAGAGAATGCTGTACCTATAGTACTCATGGCTTCTTGAGTGGTGACAGTTTCCAACACCCTCCATTTCTGCCAAAAAGAAAAAAGAAAAGCTGCAAGCCTCAGTGAAGAGCTTTACAACCCCATCCAACATTACTTATGGTACAACAAACACCAACTTATGCAATTCAGGACAAATATGGATGCAACATTTAAGTGTGGTGGATGGTCTTTGTGCTCTATCTATCAAATCTTGTCTACTAAATTCAAGGCTCTATGTAAGAATAGCACCTGCATATTTTGCATGCTACAGCACCATCCTAGAGCTCAAGTCCTATAAACCACAGAGTATGGCAGAGATAGCACAAGCAAAGTAAATTACAAATATACATTAGAAGCCACACGTGGAATGGAGCAAGTTGCCCCCTTTCTGGTTTAAGCTTGCTATATAAGCAGACTCTGCATGTATATGCTATAAACCAGGGCTCACCAGGCCACACGGTACCCACAAACACCTTCATTGGTTCCTTTGCCTTGGACTCTGACCTTTCTTTCTTTCTTTCTTTCAAATCTCTAGCCCTCCTAGAAAAAAGTTATGGTGCAAAATGTGCAAGTACTTTCTAAGCGATTTCTGTGAAATCAGAATGTGTGGGATGTGACCACCTTCCTGGTGTTGTTGTTACCTCTGTGTGTAATCATTATTATGTGATCTCCACAGTTAGAACCAGTAGGACATAGCTGACTTCCCAAGGTAAACATAAAGTTGTCAGGATGGTTGTCTCTCTAATTTTATGATATGGCACTCTCCCCATAGCAGCCATACTTGTGACTGGTGTCCCCAGCACACTTTCAAAACTTGAACTATGCCCACTGGTCCAAAATGTTTTGCAACCCCTGCTATAAACAATGCAGACAGGCTTACCTGTATCAAAGTCAGTTTCAACTAGTGTTGTATTCTTATCATCACATCCTGGCATAACTCTTCCACCATTGGGGTAAAAGTCAAGATCACCAGTGGCATTGAACATACCAAATCCTGAAACAGATTCATAGGGCAATAAATGGTTTGGTCCATGCTTCAACTTTTAGCACAAAATTCATGTGTTTGGCAGTTACCTATTGTGGGAAACTTTCCAGCATTGGTATGTATGACATCCACAAATTGAGCATCGGAAGGATCCAGCCTGACCATATCAGGGAAACCTTCAAAACCTATCCCAGCTGGATCCAAGCCTAAAAAAACATAAAATAATCCAGTTAGGAATTAGCAAACCTGTTTTGTTTTTTTCTGGGTCCAAGAATACAACCCATCAAATCCCTGACCATTAGCCTTGCTGCTTGGAGCTGATGGAGGTTGTAGTCCAACAACATTTGAGATCCCAAACTTGGGAGACACTTCTGCATCCTGATTAGGAATGGTAATGAAGGAGATTTTTCTGTCTCCCTTTATCTCTGTGTTAGGACTCTATCTGGTTTGTTAGAGCTCCATATTTGCTGTGTGCCAAGGCTCCGTGACCCACACTTCCCTAGTGGTTAATAAACACATGGACATAAGTATTTAGGTTTATGGGTTCAAATAGGCCACAACTTTATTGGTTACAGATGTGAGTGGTTTGGCTTAGGCATTGGGTATAGCCAGACTATATCTCTACTCCTGCCGGGAGTCCATCTAAGGGTAAACCACCAATAGGGGGAGCTTTGACTTACATCAAATATGGACACCCTGAGGGGTCCCCATTGGGGTCATGGCATGGCCCTAGCCCACATCCAGGCATCAGAAAGAATCCGCACCCCCGGATACCCTTAATGAGGAGGGGCAGGTAGAGGCTACAACCTCCCCTCCATCCAAACAAAGGCTTACCCAATGCCTAAGCTCACAAAGTTGTGACGATTGCTACAAGGTAGGCGAAAACCAAATGGCTGGTGCCAATTTGCCAAGTGGAAAAAATTCCTACCCAATCCCAACAGTATTGCAGACAACATTTGTCCATAGCAGGGTTGTGTCATTGCAAAGCATAAAAAAGAGGGTGGGTAGGGAGATTCGGCAAAGGGCGAGAGAGGAGAGGCCCCTGGCTGCACTGTGGTTTATGTTTCCCACGGCCACGCCCCTACCAGTGCTGACTGGACAGCAGGGCCACCCCTGGGTGTGGCCCCACCCAGTGCCCATGACGTGGTTGGGATGGCACGAAGGGGGTGTCAATCTCTGCCCCCCGCCAGATCACTGCAGCAGCCTGGATGCCTGGCTGCAACCCCACCTACTGGAAAAGGTGAGCGGACATATTAGCAGTGCTCTTCAGCAATCCATATATGAACCCTCACCAACTCCTCCTAGTAGAAAAAAAACCAGATTGTTTTAAGTGGAGATTAAGAAAATTCTGTATTCGAATATGAAAGGATAGAAATTGAGAATACATGAAAGGAGACTAGCTAGGTGGAACAGTATCATTTAATTTTAAGTTAACATAGAGAAAGGATATATTAATAATAAATTATTAATAACAGTTGTTTGTAGAAAGGTAAGGAATAGTTTAATTAATCGAAAATTAATTAAATTAGTTCTTGAAGGATGGCAATGTTTAATGACATATTATTATAATGAGAAGGTTGGGGTAGGTTAGCTAAGGATCTCTGATTGATTTCAAATGATGACTATGGATTGTAATTGCTATGGGAAAGTTGTTCTAATCCTTTGATTGGTTGTTTGTAATCACAGGCTAGCATAGAAGTGTATAAGAGTTCATGCTCCTGTATGTCACTTCATAGCCTCTTTATTTTTTGGGCTGTCCCTGTGAACATTTTTATTTCAATGAAGGCCTATATTTTTACATGCAGCCTGCACCCTTTTCTTTGGGTTTCTGGAAGTGCTACCTCCGGTCTAGGAACCCCTTTTAAATTTCTTCAACAGTAACATCTACACCAGGCCTTTATGCTGACACAGTAAATAAGGCTCAAAATGATGGTCTGCTATCACATGAAACTATAGAAACCTCCTTGCCCACCCAGTATCTTTTGTCCTAAAAATCAGGATAAAGCACATCTACTCCCTGCTAGCTCCTTTCTTTTCACTCCCACCTTCTTTTGCCAATCTTCTACATGGCTGGAATGTGGTGAGAAAGATGAAATGCAGAATGTAGGACATCTTTTTCAGTCAGCTATACTGATATGATGTAAAGCTTTGCCTTGCAATTGTGTTACTGTGCATTTTTATCAATGGTCCTTATACTTCCAGCATTTCCTAGTGATGTTGCATCTGAATGAGCTTGGCCATAGGTAAGCATCTGGTTTGCCTTTATCAATCAGATGAGATCCCACATTTTCCCACTGACTATCTTTCACCAATCAAACTTTCTCATGTGGCATTCACACCATCCATTTAAAGCACATCCCTTGTCCCCCAAACAGAATCCTGGGATCTGTACTTTGCTATGGGTGCTTGGAACTGTAGCTCTGTGGGATTGAACTACAGTTCCCAGGATTCTTTGGGGGAAATGTGCTTTAAATGTATGGTGTATACACAACACAGATTAAAATGCAGTTTTATAGGAATTCATACCAGTTATTCTGCCAATGCCTGAAAATTGTCTGCTAATGCCTCGAAGTCGTCTTCCTACTTCTCCAGCAGTGTGAGCACCAATACTATGACCAATGAGGTGGATCTTGGATGGAGAATAGTGATACGCTTTCTAGTGATTCAAGAATGGGGGTGGGGAATATATAAGCTTAAATGATTAGTAAAGGAGACATCATTATTACATTATGCAGCAGAGAGTTTTGCACAAGCACTGTAATGCAATTGACATGGACTCAGGGCTTATATTGACACTGGCTGCATTGAGTGAACTGGATAAGTTAAGGATTCTTCGGCGGGGGCAGCAGAAGCAAGGTGGGGGGCACTTCCTGTTTTGCCTCAAGCAGTGAAACGAGACATACCGCCCTTGCTTCAAAAGATGAATAAAACTGTACAGTATGTGCAACTTGTTGGCAGTGCAATAAAAACAGAATGAGAAAAAATGAATGCAAAAATTACATAAAAGGGTATAAAGTGGGAACGGAATGAAATCTAGGACGTTACATACAAAGTTGGTATCCATTTACAACATGCAGTAATACCTCATCTCAAGTACATTTGACTTGCACAATTTCGGCTATACACAGTTGAAGGTAGACTGGTAGGGTTGTTCTCTTGAGACTCCATGGAACAATTCGACTTCCTGCAAGATCTTGCAAGAGTATCCCTAACACTTCTAGAGTAAGCACAGTGAGCAGGCCTTCCCCAAGAGACAAGGCCAAGAGCTTCAAAGCACTTTTCACAGTGGGTAACTCCAAGCGGTCCTTGTGTGAAAAGAGCTCTGAAGCTCTTAGCCTTGCTTGTGGGGCAATGCCCACTTAGCGCACTGGCTGTGGGAATGCTGAGGGTCCTCTCTTTCCCTCCCCCCTTATAGAAGGCAGGCTTTGTGGGGTGGATCCAAGGGTTTGGCAAGATGCAATTTCCACATCTATGCATAATCCCTGGAACTGAACTCTTACGTAAGATGAGGTGCACCTGCATTTGACCTGGCTGAATTCATATGGAGAAGTTGGTGCTACAGTAACAAAACAGATTTGGGATTTTATTTGAATATACTTGGGTCTGCTATCTGCTTAGAATCTTCTTGCATGTATAATGTTTCTATTATATGCATTTTTATTTTCTATACCTATGGAGAAAAACATAAAATATATTTTTTAAAAAGAGCTGATTTGGTAGGATATAGTATCTGGCTCTGAAACGTAACATCATACTTACCGCTAAAGTGTTGATAAGATAAGCTGTTACAGCCCCTAAAACACGAATGTTGCTTGCGGCTGTGAAGTAGGTACATTTGGCACCATCTTCCCAATCTACAGCAATGCAGTTTACGTTCTCCACCTTCACCAGCAGCTATATCACATGTATGTTTCAGAAAAAGTAATATGTTAGAGGTTGCTAATGCAATCAGAAACACTGGAGGTTCTTTCAAATGTACTTGATCACCAGTTTCAAAGGATTCAAAAACTAGGTAGTCCAATCTCATACCCAGAAGCAGGGCTAGCCTTCTGCCCACCTTCCACAATCCAGGTCACAGTGCACAACAAGTAGACAGCAACTGTACAGTAAGGTGTGATTTTAGAGCAAGACACCAAAGACTCTTGCAAACCAATGCATCCCCCGAGTTTGAAGAAGGCAAAATGACCTACTGATTCCCATTGTTATTATTGTGAGCCTGTGTGTTTGCATAATGTTCCCCTGTTCCCCATGTCCTAGATTCTGTAACTGAAGAAGGAAACTAGTCAAGATAAATCTCATACCAAGCACATCTCCACAACCCAGCCATATTTTCCAGTACTGGTAAATCCATGGATAACAAAGCGAGTTTTCCTCAATGGAGAGAAATAAGAATTTTGAACAGTTGATTTTTCGGTGTATAACAGTTTCTGTTGGGAATTAAAAATATAAAATTAATTTATTTTAAGGATCTTCAAAGCAAAGAATGTTTTCTCACTTATTCTCAGGTACCAACATCCTCATAAAGTTCTACTGGCTAGAATTGTGCTTGATTTTTCAACTGTTGGCACTAATGTCTTGTGAAAAGATCCTAGAATCTGAGGTTTTCCAAATCCTCAAGTGACTCATATGTTCCTTGACAATACAGATTTCAATGCTAGCTCATCTCTAGCCTGCTTTACAAGCATATATATCTCAATTCCTATACAGTGGTACCTCGGGTTACAGACGCTTCAGGTTACATACACTTCAGGTTACAGACTCCACTAACCCAGAAATAGTACCTCGGGTTAAGAACTTTGCTTCAGGATGAGAACAGAAATCGTGCGGCGGTGGTGCAGCAGGAGTGGGAGGCCCCATTAGCTAAAGTGGTACCTCAGGTTAAGAACAGTTTCAGGTTAAAAACAGACCTCCAGAACGAATTAAGTTCTTAACCCAAGCTACCACTGTAATGAATTAGTTATCCATCAGGATGAGTGAATATGTCTGTATCAGTTTCTCTCAGTTTCTCTTTTTCCCAATCTTCAGCTCTCCATATTTCCACATTTGCAAGCTATTTTTTTAATATAAAAAAGTTATCATGAAACTTCTTATAATGGTATGGGGTTGCTCGTGCGTAAGTTGCCGCCTCTCCTGGCTAGGTTGCCTTGTTAAACCTTTCTGTCTGGACAGCCCTTCAATTCGTGGCTGCCTCAGTTGCTAGCAGAATCTGTCAGTGGGCGTTTCTTAAACCTTTTCCAACATAAAAGTTGTTTGACACCCAGTCTCCTCCTACTTTCTCTGCGCGGAAGTCTTCTGCGCAGGGAGGGCGTGGGTAGCGGAGGACCAGTGCTCTCCCCGCTGATGTCTGGTGAAGAGTCTGGGAGCCCTCTCTCCGATTCCCCATCTGCCCTCCTTATTCCTGGTGTTGCACTGAATTGCTTCCCCATCTGCTGAGCTGCCTCTCTCCCTGCTGGGCCCTTCTCCAGCATCATTAGAGAGCCTCCCCTCCACCTCTAGCTCCGATGTCAGTTCCCTGACACTTCTTCAGCATTTTACTGCCAATTTCTCCCAATAGGCACATTTTTGTATGCAATTTGCCCAAAGTACACATTTTTCCAAAGCATTTTCTTCTGTTATGATGCATTTTCTATGTTATTTTCAGTAATATATGCAATTATGTGCACACTTTACATGAGTAGATGCACTTCTGTGCACATTCTTGGCTGGAGAACTGCATTGCAAAATTCAGAGGAGTGTGAATTTCAAAGTACGGTTGCATTTCAGTTTGTGATTTGTTTTGGAAAGCGTGACAGGTGAGTTAGCTTTCAAATGAGAACTGAACTGACTTTCTCTCCCATCCCTCATTAGCAATTATATACCACAGGCATAGGCAAACTCAGCCCTCCAGATGTTTTGGGACTACAACTCCCATAATCCCTAGCTAACAGGACCAGTGGTCAGTGATGATGGGAATTGTAGTCCCAAAACATCTGGAGGGTCGAGTTTGCCTATGCCTGAGATACCATTTTCAATGTGGAAAGAGCTTCATAGTTTCTGTCATTCACAGGCATGGCAACCCTGTCAGATGGTTGATGTTATACAAATGGTGAGAAAAGGAGGCTGAGAACCTCTGTCTTAGCAAATGCCATTGTCTGATTAGACAGGATCAAGCCTAGCACATACAGGCATACACAGATATTGCCAACTGTTCTTAAATAAACAATTAAAAAAGGTTGTCTCACCTGTGAAAGATTCCCAGTCTCTCTAGTGAAAAGCAAAAAAGATATATTCATGCTTTCAGGAGATGCTGGTAAGCCAAACAACTTTCTCCCAGGTATTCCTGACCAAGGGGGCTTATCAGAAAAGCAACCTAGATCTTTATAGCAGACTTCATTGGCTAGAGAGCATGCAAGGCAAACTGTTAAGTACATGGCATTCACCAGACATAGCATCACCTATAGCATCACCTATTACAAATGTCTCATATTATTATAGTGAGTTTGATCTACACTTACAGGTAAATGTGGTTAGGACTACTGTCTAAATTTTAGTGGTATAAATTAGCTTCATATATCCAACATGCTTAGCTCTAGTTAATGCATGAAGGGGTTAAGACCATAGATCAAGCTATTCTGCTAGACTTAACTAGGTCACGCACGCTTAACTTGGAACAAAGGAAGTCAAGTTTCTCTATTCACTCCCTTTCACCATGTGAATCTGACCAGAGAAGATGTCTGGGCTAATCACTCCAAGCCCAGACCACATGTTTAGAACCATTTTATCACCAATTTTGAAGCTAAGCTTTACTGCCTCTCTTCTCTTGCTGCTGTATGGAAAAGCACATGAATCTGACCTTTGAAAGTGTTTGTAAGTAAAAAACATTTTTAAACTTTCCAATCTGCATGGTCTTTTCTGTGCTAAAGGGGAATACAGGGGGAACCTTGTAAGTAACTTAAAAAGGGATATTTTAAAAGTCTAGTTGCCTACATTCCCATGCTTTACTTTGCTGGAAGTTTTGTGATTTTAAATCTCTGCTGTAGCTCTCTTACCAGACAGGAATTCAGGAAATTTTTCTTTTATTAACCAAAACCAATCATAATCAACAGTTTTATGCACTGAGTTTCTTGTGAGCCACTTAAAGACAATTGTAATTAAGCAATATAGAAACTGTTGAATTGAAATAAATTATAAATAAGTTAACCATATCTTAATTCCCATTAAAATCAATGGGATAGGCTAGACATTACTTTAGTATCATAGTCTGCATTTGACCCATTGCTCTTGTAAGAATGCATATGTTTAAATGTGTGTCCACAGATCATTTTACGGATGTCTCTGGTTGGATGCTGTAAATGTGTACATGCATAGGTTCTATGCAGAAACCTAATAAATGTGTAGAGGTTGACAATAAAAGCCTATTCTTCCTCCATATGTTTACTATCCTGGAATAAAGGTTGTCCACTCAGAACTGTAACAAAAGAGCCTGGTTGTCACTAAATTTCAGTCAAACATCTCGGAAGTACTGCGACTAGTCCATCTAGTTTACTACACTGACTGGCAGTGGCTCTCCAGGTTTTCAGGAATGGAATCTTTTCCAGTCCTGCTTTAGCAACTTTGTGGATTGAATCTGGAAACTTCCACATGAAAAGCAGATGTTCTACCACTGAGCTGCGGCACATCCCCTAAATGTCACATTGTCATGCCACAAATTGCACAGTGAGTTTCTAGAATGTTTCAGTCTTTGGTTCTCTGCCAGTCAAAAGGATGTTGATGCCATTTGGTGGCAAACTGGGAGAGGCTTTAGCTTACTTTGTCTAATCATGAAATTGTTCTCTTGAAATACATAATGTGTAAAGTATTGCCTCACCTGCTGTGCCAAGGAGGAGGAAAGCACCAATCCAAACTATAGGAATCTGCAATAAATTTAAATATACATGTTATACAATGTTAAATATACATGTTATGCAATAGATGTTATACATCTATGCTGTGGCAGTTTTACTATTCCAGAACCACTCATTTGCTGAAACAAGTTACTTAACAGTGCAGCCAATATCAGCACAGTACAAGGTCCCCTTTCCCCATGAGCTTATATCCTTTCCAGCTAGACATGAAATACTGTGGGTGCTGTTTATTCTCTTCTCTGTAGCAAACATAACTGGGATGCTTTGGGGCTTAGATATGTGACACACAAAAACAAAGCCTGTCTCGATGGGAGACTTGAGCTTTTAAGGCGGAGACTGTAAGCCCCTAAGGTGGCGAGTGAGTTGTTAATAATACCAAGAATACTTAGTACAACAAAAGCACTGTTGGACTGTTTGCATCATGCGGCAATTACTGGACAAGATGATGAATGAAAATGGACCAGAAAAGATGAGGTTAAAGAAGACACAGATCCTTTGGAGAATAATATTGATAAAGGACTGCCAGAACAGGAGAGTGGAACCCTAAAGCTAGAGGCAATAGATGGTGAAATGGAGAGGACCTTCACATAGGTGCCTAGAGGAGTGAAACAATCAAGCAGTGGAGTTAGGATTTTAGAGGAGTGGAATGAAACCATGGATGAAGAGATTAAGAAATATTCTGAGCTGGTAGAGAAAGAGCTGAGAGAGAAAGGATTGTGTGCTCAATTTGGAGTGAATTTAGAGGGAAAAGCTACCAAGCCTCTGGCAACATTCCTGAAAAAAGAATGAAAGAAGCGGAAATGGAAGGAGTTAAAAAACAAAAACAATCCAGATGAGAGATCACAGCCAACAGGAAATGGGATTGGAAGGTAAGGAACTGAGTGTGAATTAATGAATATACAATAATAAATAGCTATGGATCACTGTTTTAATAAAAGACCACAGCAGAGAGACTTCTATGTGACTAAAGATGAAGGATATATTATTTTTCAACATGGAGGAATGGTTCTTGAAGTTTTTGGAGGTATAGTTGTTATGCTGGACTGGGGAAGACTTTTTGACACTTAAGAATAATAATTGGAGAAGCCCTTTAAGACTTTTTGTTTGAAAGGGGAAATGAACAAACTTGAGATGTCTGGATCTGGAAACTGGGAAAATATCACCTAGCAGAACGAGGAACAGCTGCATTTCATTCTGCAATGAATACTTTGAATAACCTTTATATGTATATAACTGACAGAGAATTGGAAGCCCTTTTTATTTCTCCCTCTTTCCCTTTTTCTTCTTTAAGAAGAATCATTCTGCCCGGACACAGAGGTCCAGTGCTGAGGGCCTTCTGGCGGTTCCCTTGCTGTGAGAAGCCAAGTTACAGGGAACCAGGCAGAGGGCCTTCTCGGTAGTGGCACCTGCCCTGTGGAACGTCCTCCCACCAGATGTCAAAGAGAGAAATAACTACCAAACTTTTAGAAGACCTCTGAAGGCAGCCCTGATAAGGGAAGCTTTTAATGTTTAATAGGTTATTGTATTTTAGTGTTTTGTTGGAAGCCACCCAGAGTGGCTGGAGAAACCCAGCCAGATGGGCGGGGTATAAATATTTATTTATTTATTTATTTATTTATTTATTTATTTATTTTAGTATTTTTATTTTCCTGCTTCTTTTTCTTCTTTTTTCCTTGTTTTGGTGTCCTCTACTTTGGGTCATTGAGGGGATTGTACACACATGAAGGTAAAGGACCATGTGTGAGAGGCAGGGAAGGGAAGATATCTCAGACTGGGAAGCTGGAAGAAAAAAGGGAAGCTCCCAGCTGAGAGCTGGGAGAGTTCTGAGTGGGATAAGAGTTAAGATTCACCCGTGAGAAGGGAGGACTTTTTATTTTCTTTGTTCTTTACTTTTTTATATTTAATTTATTTTTTATTGTATTGTATGATGGAGGAACCCTCCTCTTGTGTTGCAAAAGTCTTTGGGCTTGTAAAACCCAGCAAAGCACTTGTAAACCAAGGCAGGCAGTAGTATCAAATACAGTACATGAAATACCTAATTCTCATTCCTGGCCTCCTACACTATGGCAGTGCTTCTTGGAATTGAACCAAGATAGCAATTAAGAAGCATAGTATGGGGTGGGTGTGAGAATCATACTGCAAAATATTTGATATGAATCAGAAGGCACATGAATGTGGAGATGTCATTAGTTAAACACCACATAGCCTTAGTCTTCCACATAGTCTTCCACATAACCTTCAAATGCTAGGAATTCTGGCATTTCCTTTTGGTTCAGTTTACAGCAGTAAACTGCTGTCATACCTCGTGTTGCATTAGGTTCATGTTGCGTCTTTTCCGCTTGTGAACACAGCAAACCCAGAAGTGTATACTTCCGGGTTTCACCATGTGTGCACATGCAGAAGCGTTCTGCGAGCTTTGCGCATGTGCAGAAGTCTTCTATTGCGCCGCGCACTTAGAAACACTGCTCTAGTTACGGACTTTTCAGGCACCCCGTAAATGGCACCCTGGAATAGACTGAGTCCGTAACTAGAGGTACCATTGTATTTTTTAAAATATCATTGGTTGTCTTTCCATATTAAGACTGGATAATAAAACCTAGTTTCCCAGTTGCATTTCCATTCTCTTTACAGAAAATAGTCTTTTCCACATCAAATAAATTACCCTGAACATCAGTATGTATAAACATTCACTTACCATTCTAAAGCCTGAAGTTCAAAAATGCTGTGAAATCCCCTTTCAGATGGTTCTCTCCTGCTGCTATGCTATTCCATCCTCTCCCTCCTGTGCACATAAGAATCGCAGAGAGAGAGAAGTGACAAAGAATATTCTTCCGGAAATGATATGTCTGGAGAAGATCCAAGTTGGTGGGAGTGTATTTTCCCTCTATGGATGCTAATCATGCAGTTTTATATGCATGAAACAGCCAGGCAGCTTGTAATATATGGGCTTCTGCTATTCCTTCCTGCTTGCTTCACCCTCCTGCCTCTGTCATCTTTGACTCATTGTTTGTGGACCGACTCCCTCTGAAGTTTCACCATTTACTTCAATAACAGACATAGGAGGAGCTAATATTTTGTATGTTACTTCCTGAAGTCACATGTGTATTTAAATTGATGAAAGAGACTGTGGGGATGAGAAATATGGAGTTACCTAATGCTTCTTCATCTATGAGTAAAGAGTTATCCAGTTAGGAGCCAGGGCCTGTGCTACTTTTGAAACTTTAATGGGGAAGGGCTGTAGCTCAGTGGTATGAGCATCTGCTTTGCATGCAGAAGGCAACAGGTTCAATCCCCAGCCTCTCCATGTAAGGCCTGTTTCAAATCCTGGACAGCCACTGCCACGCAGTGTAGACCATCCTGGGTTGGGTGGGCCAACAGTTTGAAGTATAAGACACTGTCCTGCTAGCACTCCAATTGGAGAACAGGCTTTACAAAATGTGTCAAGGACTTTGAAGATGAACAAGCTCAGGGTGAAAAGGAGAAATGAGCTAATAGGAAGGCACATTTGGCAGACCCTCACAATGATCAACTCTGCCCAGAAACCTATGTCCCCACTGTGGAAGGACGTGTGGATCCAAAACTGGCCTCCACAATCACTTACAGACTCACTGTTAAGACTGTTTTCATGGAAGACAACCTTACTCAGCTACAAGCGATCACCAAAGAAGATAAGACAGCTTTCTATGTTTCTAGATGTGGTTGCATGATTTCCTAGTCCTTTAAAAATAATTTCGGCTGTGAATAGCCCTTGCAGAGAAAATAACTCATGGTGTAGCAATACTGAAGGGGGGAAAAGAAACCAGATGCTTTCTCTGTGAGTTGGTGGCCATTTATTACATACTGTACGTTAATATTTCCAAAATGGAGAATATTGTGCCTGCTGCATCAGTACAGCTCTGGACTTCCTGATTGCTTTCTCTTTCTAAAATTATGTTTGTTTGTTTGTTTGTTTGTTTGTTTGTTTGTTTGTTTGTTTGTGCCTTATCTCCTTTGGGTTATGAAGACTACTATGATATGGTTTGGGACGTGGGTGGCACTGTGGGTTAAACCACAGAGCCTAGGACTTGCTGATCAGAAGGTCGGCAGTTCGAATCCCCACAACGGGGTGAGCTCCCGTTGCTCGGTCCCTGCTCCTGCCAACCTAGCAGTTCGAAAGCACATCAAAGTGCAAGTAGATAAATAGGTACCGCTCTGGTGGGAAGGTAAACGGCGTTTCCATGTGCTGCTCTGGTTCTCCAGAAGCGGCTTAGTCATGCTGGCCACATGACCCGGAAGCTGTACGCCGGCTCCCTCGGCCAATAAAGCGAGATGAGCGCCGCAACCCCAGAGTCGGTCACGACTGGACCTAATGGTCAGGGGTCCCTTTACCTTTATGATATTGTTATGGGTTTGCAGGGGGCAAGGATCACCACTAAAATTCCTGGGTGCCAAGTTCACCCCATAATTTCTGAAATTGTAACCTGAGGTACCACTGTACTAGACACTTCAGGTTACCCATTTTCGGGTTGCGCACCACGCCAAACTTGGAAGTACTGGAATGGGTTACATCCAGGTTTCGACGCTCACGCATGCGCAGAAGCACTAAATTACACTTTGCGCATGCGCAGAAGCACCAAATCATGACCCGCGCATGTGCAGATGCAGTGCTGTGGGTTGCGAACACTGCGGGTTGCGAACATGCCTCCTGCACGGATCACATTCGCAACCCGAGGTTCCACTGTAAATGCGGGGCTTGAAGTCAAGGCAGCTTCCTCAGGAGCTGGTTTAGAGAGGTGCTATCTAAGAAAGCCTCTCCTCCTACCAGAGGGGGAGGAGTTGTGAGCGGGAGCCGGTTCCCGCATTGGCAGGGGGGCGTATTCGGCCCCCTGCATCAATTTCCCGGCTGCTGCACCGCGCCCATCAGCCAGCCAATAGGGCTGGCTTGGGGGCGGATTTTAGCCACATTCAAGCAGCCACAGCAGCACCGTGCCCTCATGCTGCTGCCTGGAGTCGTCGGATCACCCGCCCACCCTCCCTTTAGGTCAGATTTATGCTTTTGACCTTGCTATGGACTTTGGTTGGTTGCCCTGGTTGCCCAGGGGGCCTGGTAGGAATTTTTCTCCATTTGGCAAACTGGCAACAGCCTCTTGGTTTTTCACCTACCTCGTAGCAAATCGTCACAACATTTCAGGTATTGGCAGTTAGGCATTGGAATATGTGTTGTGTGTTGGAGGGCAAGTTGTGGCCATCACCTACCCCTCCCTTTGTTGGGTATTCTGTTAAAGGAATCCGGCAGTCATGGATCCTGTCCAATGCCCTGCTGGTGGCTAAGGCCATGGCATGATCCCCGGTGACATCAGGGGTAGCTTCCAGTTGTATTTGCATCAACAAGCTCCTACCACTGGTTGTTAACCTTCGGATGACTCCCTGCTGAGTGGGGTGGAGTCATATATAGATTGTTTGATCCATTGCCTAAGCCAATACCACTCACATGCTGTAACCAATAAAGTTGTGGCCTTCTTTAGCCCATTAACCTAAAATACATGTGTCCTTGTGTCTTATTTATCCCTATGTGGGTGGTGGGTCCTCGACTCACAACAAAGGCAAGTGATAGCAGAGCCATTACCCTGACGAAAGGTGAGACAAGAAAGGGGAGGCTACCAGGGGACATGATGTCTCCACAGGAAAAAGTGCCTTTTGTAGGAGTCTTTTGAAATGGAGGTCACAGAGAGATGGTGAGATGCTGGAAGTAGAACAGGATGAGTTGTTTTCTGCAAAGACTTCTTAGAATAAGTAGGAGGAAGTAGGCAGAACTCCATGCAGTGCTGGCTAGAGATGGCTGCACTGAGAGACTGGGAGCCATGACTGTTTTGCACTTAAGTTTGCTGAAGCTATGAGAGGACCAATAAGAGACACTCTTGGGGTATAATGTATAATAAGCATCTGGAACCCCTGGAATCTTATATAGTCACTCAGTGGAGATTCAGGTGGTGTGTAACAATATGATACAGAAGATCCCTGGTGAAGGAATGAGAAATTGGCTAAGTGGTCACTGCCCACCCTTACAAGGGGGCCCAACACAGCTGGAGGTTGGCAGTGTCAGCTATCTCCTCCCCTGGCCACGCTGGAAGATGGCAGCCTCCCTGGACCCACTACGGAGGCACCATGCAGCAACAGCCATCCACACTGGAATCCCCAGTTAGCGGATAATAGTGAAGAAAGTTGAGTGAGGATCATACAATATAATATGAATAAGAATACTTATTTGACATCTGGGAAGTGGAAGGGGGAGATGATGTTCATATTTTTCTTTGTATGGAGGTTATTGTGTTTCATTTATGTGTAGTATTGCAGTTTCGAATTACTGGTTTGCTTTGGGCATTATATGACATCCATCCAGTCTAGGAGAGTGTGGGTGGCGGAGGTTACATCTCCTGTCTCACAGTTGATAGATAGTAAACAACTGTATGAATGTCCTAAGTGCCATTTAAAATACCCAGGGCTGGCCTCACCATTAGACAAAGTGGAGTGTCTTCCTCAGGCAGCAGACACTGGGGAGGACTAAGATGTTGTGGTACAGGGCTATGTGTGCTACATGTGGGCTATCCTAAGTTTACCTCACACTGCCCACAGATATGGTGGAGAATGCTTTCGTCAGTCTTGAAGGAAGATTCAGCTGCCAGTCTGACTGGCTTCTGTATGTGGAATTGGGAGGGGATGCCATCTTGCCTTTCACCTTGGGTCAGCCCTAAAACTTACAAACATCTGATGCATACGGTCTCCTAAGGTTTTGCAACTGTTCCCATGGTTAATGAGGCCTTTGCTTCTTTGCAATACTTTGTAAGCCTCAGGATGTCATTCACGCCCTTCTGATTGTCATGCTGATAGAAGCCTAATAACCTCACCCATGCAACACTGATATGACAACAGTCACGGTATGGGGCTCCTTGTTAAACACATTATCTGCCTTGCTAGGGATACCTGTTTCGACCAACAGATAATTAAGTCTTATCATTTTCATCAAGGGAGAAATGAACCTGGGGAATGAGAAATAGGTACAATGCACAAAATAACTACAAACAAGCACAACTCATCTGCCCCCAAAAGGTAAGGCTCCATCCATCTAGAGAAGGGTCACAGAAGCCTACTTTTTCTAAAATGGCGACAAACTCAAGACGAATGCATATTTCTCTCGAGTGTGTGGCTGCTGTTTTAATTCCTGTCCAGCCATTGTGCCTTTGGTAGAATGCTCAAATGAGCATTTCATAGTGTATCTGAATGCCATTTCAACACATAACCCCACCCCTCAGATCACTCAACTTGTCACAGAGAGTTCAGGTAGCCAGGTGTGTACAATGAGCTCAGACACAAAATAAGTCAGTCAGTGCTTATAAAACTTTATTTGCATTTTGAGTGTGGCAGCTCTTTCATAAATGCCTGAGTTACCGCCTTAGGGTTCATTAGCCCCACAATTATCTTTCAGGCAGTTTCACCTGAAGTACTCTCTTCCTCAGTGTATTGTAGATTTTGCCTTGTAAAGAGCTGAGTTCAAAGCATGTAGAATGCTTACTGACTAAACAAACAAACACTGTGGCTTTATTCTTCTGTGGCATTCATTGCAATAAAACATGTGCCACACTGAGGGACAGGCAGTTGAATTAACTCCCTGTGATTTGGCTTATATTTAAAGCCCAGAACTGAAACAGGGGCATGTTGCAGACCCTGCTTTTGTTCCCTGGTCTCCCTGATTGAATGAACCGTTTCTGATGGCAAGGAGCTGTTTCAGTATGTAAGCAAGTACAGACTTTCCCCTTATGTTTGCTCTGAAGAGCTGTCATTTCTCAGGATTATCTTCAAGGTACTTAGGGCAATGGAGACTTTATGCAGCTGTACAATTTCAAATAGTACACATATCTGTAAACTCCTGGTGGATGTATGGTGGGGGAGACGCCAGGAAAAAAAATTTCAGCTGGAACTTGCCAGACAGTTCTGGGAACTCAACTGGGTGACATTGCCATTACAGTGGTACCTCGGGTTAAGTACTTAATTTGTTCCGGAGGTCCGTACTTAACCTGAAACTGTTCTTAACCTGAAGCACCACTTTAGCTTATGGGGCCTCCCACTGCCGCGGCACCGCCGGAGCACAATTTCTGTTCTCATCCTGAAGCAAAGTTCTTAACCTGAAGCACTATTTCAGGGTTAGCGGAGTCTGTAACCTGAAGCGTAAGTAACCTGAAGCATATGTAACCTGAGGTATCATTGTATAAGAGAACAACGGAGGGGTTCATGGTGAGTTCTGGCACCTCTTTTTCTAGAAAAATTGCA